GCCCTGAAGGGTCGGTTTCTGTTTCTTTGCCCCCGTCGCTAGGACTTGTATTTACTTCACTTTGGTGGCTTTGTAGCGAACACCTGCCCAAGTTTTGCATGTAGCTCTTGAGAAGAGCTTCTCTACGACGGCCAGGGGAGTGGAGGCTTTCCTGGGCACAGAGCCTCGCAGAGCCCCCAGCAGCTGGTTACTCAATAAAGGAGCAACCTACTTTAGCTTGGCTCTCGTATAAAACCTCCTGCTCCTTCATTGTTTTAGCTTAAAAATATGATGAACTGTACATACAGAAAAAGCCTGAAATACATGCACATCAACTTAAAAGTTATCAAGCAAGACCTTGTGACACCACCGCCCATGTTAGAAATGGCAGTTCTCGTATCTTAGCGCCCTCCACACATCCAGCCTCAACACAGTCTCCTCGTTCTCTCACAGGTAACTGCTAGTGTTTGTAATTGTTACATCAACTTCCTGTACTACTTTCACTACCTATCTCCTCATTTAAATGGAATCAGATTTCATGAATTCCTGGTAAAACTTTCTTCTTTCAACATTGTATGTCAGATTTCCCCAATTTGATAAATGCAACTGTAGTGATTCATTTTTCACTGATGCGGAAATGCTCCATTGTGTTAATGTACCATTAGATATCTTCCCAGTCCATTCTTGACGGACATTGATCTCATCATTTCCAGTTTCATTGATTTTTATGACTAACACTGCCATAAATATGCGTGCACCCATCTCCCTAGAGAGACATATTTCCAAATATTTTTTTAAAGACTTACTACCTGGGGGTAGAATTACTGGGTGGTTGGCTCCTACTGATTCGATTTTATGAGGTTTTTTTTTTTTAAATAATATATTTTTAGGTTTTACATACTTTCTTAAAATCTTAAGCAACCTGTTTTTTTTTTTTGTTATTTTTAAAATCATTATTTTTTAAAAGTTGAAAACATGATTCTTAAATAATATAGGATGAACACAGGTCATAGGCTTTTTAACTCAGTACTTAATTAGGGAATCATTAAGATGGTGAAGTTTAGTTCAAAGAATTTGAAGACTGGAGATTTACATTGTTGGTCACAGGAATGCTGAAATGATGTTACTTATAGACACAAAACTGTATAATGTCCCTTAGACATTATACATTACATAGTCTATGTACATAATGTACATAGATATTAGTGATAAAACTGTAAACTTGAGGTTTTCTTTCTCTTTTAACCAGTCAGAAATCCACTAGTCAACATAGCTACATAGTGTCTGGGCTCTAACTGAAGAGTAAATAGCAGAGTCTAACAGTGTATTCTGGGTAACTAGCATCTATTAGGTGAGCTTGTGAGTCAATGACATTGGCAAGACAAGTGGTCACTCTCCTGCCTTCTTTCCAAGTTTGGGGTGCCTTTTTCATAAAAATACTGTCCTTTGCATCCAAGCTTGTGGTGAGGATCAAATGAGAATATAGTAAAATGCCTTGTAAACTCTAAGATGCCAACCATGTTTTCATTACTACATTTACTTTACAAAGGCCCTTGAATAATCTACGGGAATTAACGCTGATGTGGGCAGGAAGTTAATTCTTGAAAACCTGTCTTTTAAACTGTTGTTTTTTAATCTCATTTAATTCTTACAAAAAGACTGAAAAGACATAACAACCACTTCAGTTTCCCGGTCTGTTAGATGAAGGGAATGGTAGTATGCACCTCACTGGGCAGTTGTGGGAACTGATGAGTAATACAATCTTACTGCAGAAGGCAATGCCCGGTAAACAGTAAATACACAGGAAACACTGGCTCACTAAGTGTTTAATCTGTTATATCTCCATAAGTTCAATTTTCTTTAATTCCAGTATATTTGATCTCTAGAAGTTCTATTTGATTCTTAGTTTTTCATAATTCTGCCTTTATTTTTTTAAATGGTGCTTTATTCTCATCTCCTGTTTAACTTCCTTTGGTTTTTAATCTTTCTAATCAAACTTACGGTCTGACTTCAATATTCTTATAAGACTGTTATGTAAAATGTGAGTCTAATCCTGCCTTTTGTTATGTCTGTTGATTCTCACAGGGATTGTTTCTTCATTAAAAGATTTGTCTGCTGCTAAAACTCCAATATTTCTAGCAAAATAAATCGTAGTCCCCTTCAGTAATTAAAAAAAAATCATAGCTTATGAACAAGAGACGGCTGAGTTCTTCAGACCAGTTGAAAGAGGAGGAGCGCGTAGTGCCACTATAGCCTTGGAAGATGGTATCTTCCTTTTCTAGACTTTCATACCACGTTTATCTGCAATTTGGCCTAATTCACTGCAGGAATCATCCATTTATGTTTTGGGGTATCCCCTCTACCCTGGACACTGGTCCCATTTTGATGAATGTCTTACTATGTAATGAAAGCGTAACTCTGGGCCAGTTACCTCTTCTCCGAGTCTTGGTTTTCTTCTCTGTAAAAAAGGGGTGATAATAGGGATGTAAACATTTTCGTTATTGTGCACCACAGTGTCTGCCATAGTGTAAACCCTCTGTCACCTCTTAGTGGTATAATTTTTCTTTGCATTAGCCTTTCCCAGTAACATTTAGAGTCCCAAATCAAATGCAGCCTGATACGACCACCATTATAACGACTCAATGGCTACTGACTCCTTGCCTTCCCCTTGTGTCCCACGAATGCAAGCGCATCCGGCCCCTCCATCCACCCTCATCTCTCCTGGCTTTCTTGTTGTCCTCCGTACACACCACGCTCATTCATCTTTCCACTTAATGGAGTTTTCTGTCTCCACAACCTCTTTCTTTTTGGCCTCTAACTGAATCATCTCTCCATCCTTCAGAGCACAGTTGAAGTTCAATGTCCTTTATGAAGCTTTTGACCAAACTTAATCCATACTAATCTCTTTTGAATTTAAAAAGCCTCTGTGGAGAGGAACATGGAATGTAGCTTTCTCAGGATTTGGTGGCTCTGTTTGTGGTGAGGCTACGGATGTCGTCCTTATGAGATGGAACATTTTCCTACAGGTAAAGGACATGGTATTTAGCCAATGCATGTGAACTCCCACCAGGTTCAAGTACGTACTTCCATGTATTTTTAAAATTTGGCTTTTTAGCATAGATTTGGTGGGAAATGGGGCCTGACTTCTGTCCCTCCAGAGAGGACATCTCTTTGTTGGTGACAACTGTTCCTTGGCTACCAGCCTGGGATCACTTTTTGTTGTTGTTGTTAATTCTTCAGACTGAAGTCTCGTGGATTACTCAGGTGGTATAAATTCCAACCCCAAACTAAGTGAGGGGACCTGGGCTTTTTGGAAGTGGGAGCTGTTGGAGGAATGGAAACCGGAGGGAAAGTGGCATCAGGGAAATGGACCTTCGGGTTGAATGCGTTCTCTTTGTTGCTACACTGCGGTAAGCCAGGAGCACAGCTGTGACGTGGCAGTTCTTTAAGATGTGTGATTCTGTCACTATGTCTTTCGGTCCATAGGAAGACGGGGAGCAGATATGCCAACCCCATTGTACAGCAACAGAAATTGAAGCTAAAAGAGTACTGGGATGGAAACTAGGGCCTCTGGGAACCCTCCATTTTGCAACTTCTCATAGAGGTTGATGAACCTCTATGAGAAGGTGGCAAGCAATTTTCATCCATACATTATTGCCCAGTTCCCAGGCTCGTCTCTCTCCTTCCCTGACAGCCTGGACCCTATCTCAACTCTCTGCAAAGGAGAAAACAACTCCTTTCCATGGGTGCCGAATGTATTACAGAGCATTTATGTGTGTCGTTTTTCCGCAGTGCTGTGAGGCAGGCGACACGCGTGCTCTGGGTCTGCTTTTATAGATGAGGTGTCTGAGAAAATGGAGCTCAGGCTGGTGACGGGGTTTGCTGCCAAGGCCACATAGTCAAGGGGCACACCTGGAGCTTTAGCTCACATTCTTTGTCATCCCAAGCTGCGGCATCAGAGAGGTACTCAGAATGCAGATGATAACGGATTCTTTTTTGTTAGCTTTTTATTGAGGTGAAATTCACAGGACTCACAATTAGCCATTTTAAAGTGAACAAGTCATGTCATTTAGTACATTCGCAATGCTGTGCAACCACCACTTCTATTTTCAAAACTTTGCATTGCCCGCTCCCTGGGTTTTGGTGCAGAATAAAAGGAATAATCTGGGCAAGACATCCATCCAGCGCAGGGCCTTGCCCTTTGTCGGGGCCTGTATCTTGAGGTTCTCCAGCTCTCTCTCAGCAACCTCATAATATAGAAAGAGAAAGTCTTTCCTAAATTTAGCACCTTGAGAAAATCGGGTTGAAGATATGTGAATTATTCATGTCCCAATCTTATTTTTTTAAAAATGATATTTCAAAATTGTCCTCCCCAGGGAACTTTTCCCAAGGAATTGCTCCTAGTCTTGAGAACAATCGGACACATTTACCCATCAATGTCCCAGTGCTGAATTTCATACTGTCACCGAGCTTCTTGTCTTTTGAACGAGTTTGTCTTCTTGGCCATGTACCTCACAGCCTTGGAGGCCCTACAGTGCTCTACGTGGTCCTGGGTACAGAACAGGTGCACGACCGGAATGTGTTGGATTGCACTGGATGGTGGCCAGGCAGCTCCTGAGTTCTAGCCACCGCTTGGTGACCAGTGTTTTCCCCACTTTTGAAATAGTGGGTGGGTTTGTGACTGAGGCGCTGTCCCTCCAGTGCTGGGCTAGAGCCTGTCTGGCTCTGGTCGGCAGCCATCACTTGGGCAGCTCCCACGCCTGCGTTGCATAACAGATGGAAGGTGAGAGCTTCAAGCAGGTTAACTCAAGAATAGAAGGGCTTTGGCCTTTATTTAAATGTGTCAATTCTAGGAGCATAGGCCTCAGGCCTCAGTAAGTCATGGAGACCCTTTTGGCACCCTGCAGCGCCGGGTGTCGAAGCCAGGCCCTCTGGTGGTCCGGGGGCGCTGAGGTAGAGGGCTGGTGAGAAATGGTGTGCCCGGGGCACTTAGGATGAGCGTCGCCACACGACTGGCAGGCCTAGAAGCTGGTTGAAAGATTTTCACTCTGGCTCCTTCTCACGGCTCTCCAGGCCATCACCGCGCCGACGCCAACGACAAGGCCACCTCCTGCTGCCACTGGCACAGCCCAGGAGAGCACGTTGGGGCCTGCTTCAGCCTTGTCTCGGGGTAGACAGCTGTTCCTCAGGGTGTGGAAGTAAGGGCTCTCCTGGGGTGGAGGAGAGAGGGTCGAGGGTTAAGGGCCTCTGAAACCACCCACCTGCCCACCTTAGTTAGGCCCCCCGACCCCCATTATGGAGATGCTGCGGTAGCCTTGCACATTTCCATGGTGCCTCCATGTGTAACACTCCCTTGTCTACACTGTGCCCAGATCTTCCGAAGGAGGAGGGGTATCCAGAGCGAGCGACACGCCATTGCAACTTCCTTGTGGTGTCTCGCCGCATCTCCTTTCCTGTTGACCCAGTTTTGAAAGACTGGGAACTGACAGGCGACCGATGAGAGAGTCCTGGGGAGCTGGCAGGGCCCCCAACTCAGTTTCTTCTAGGCCACCCCTGGACAACTGCCCCATCTCCCATCCAGGGTGGCCTGGGGAGCAGAGAAGCTCAGTGTGGAAGGACAGCTGGCTCTACCGTAGATAAGAGAACCAAAAGTGAGGGGGTGGGGAGGTGTTTGGGCCTGCCTCCCGGGACTCCTTCCTCCCTCGCAGGGAGCACTAGTTGAGCACCTGGCAGTGTGGAGCCCTGTGCTGGGAGTTGGGAGAGTCCCCGAGGGCTAAGATGTGACCAGAAGATAAGGCACATTGCAAAGCAATAACATCACAAAGGAGCCTGTCTGTGTCTTAGGAGAGGTGTAAACAGAAAAGAAAGGCCAAAGCAGGTGTGTGTCTGGGGTGGAACCCGAGGGTGAGATAAGGTGGAACAGTAGCCCAGAAAAGGCCTGGAGGATCTGAAAATTTTCCATTGGTGGCGCTGAGGGCTGAGCCGCTGGTAGGGGCAGAGGGCAGTTGTGGGGCTCCTCTGGGAAGCGGCAGTAGCTCCGGGAGCCGAGTGGCTTAGGCGCCTCTCTTCAGTGGGCAGCGGGAGGCAGGGAAGGGTTTTAGGCTGTCTTGACAGCACTGCAGTTACTTCCAGGGAGGCTGCTCCATGTCCAGCAATGGTTGCAGGATGGAGGGAAAGGGGAGCCGGGGAGCAAGGGAGGGACTTTGTCAATGGTCTGGGCGAAGCTAGTCTGGGCCTGGAATATGGCAGCCTTGGAAAGGGAGGAAGAGGATGGCAGGCTCCCAGAACAGACAACGGTGTCTTATTTCTCTTTGCCACCCCCCCTCCCACCCCCGACCCCGTGCAGTGCCGTGCCTGGCATGGGAGGGCTCCTCGACCTTGTAAAGACAGAGCATGACTCAGATGCCTAAGGGCAGCGGGTGACTCAGGTCCTGGGCAGCGCTGTGTGCCTCCCCTGAGTGCCTCTTCTGCCTCAGTCTGTTGCTTCCTCGCTCCCCTCACCCATGGCCACGCACTCTAAGGAGCTGAGACGTGGCAGGGGCAACGAGGAGAGGTGAGATTTGAGAACGGTGGCAGTGAATGAAGGCACGCAATGCCAAAGCCTCCCAGGGAATTTTTGTTGTCTCCAAGTGGCTTTATCAACATGCTCCCCGCCCCCCCCCCCCAAAAGGTGCTGGTCCATGCTAGACAGGCAGGATTTACTCACAGGAGAGGGACACTTGAGTTTGGTTCGGCTGTAGGTGAAGTTGTTGGAGGTTGTCTTATGGCCCACTGGTTCCAGCTGACAAGAGGAAAAAAAAACCCTGATTCCCTCGGAAGCTAGGAAGTGTCTCACCCCAGACTCCCTCCCTTTGCAAGACTGAAATCAGCAAAGAGGTGAGACTCTGGGCAGTACCAGCAGCCCCAGGGCCGGAGCTGGACCTGACCCTCACTCAGAGAGTGACAGGTCAGAGTCCACCGAACAGGGCTGGCCCCCGAGTCTGTGTCCTGGGTTTACGGAGGCCCAGGAGAGACTGACCAGTCTAGAGCCCACAGTGAGTGGAAGTCAGGGCCCAGACCTTCATTTCCTGCTTCCCTTGTGGGTGGCTGTGATCACAGACACTGTGCATTTGCAGTTTATAAAATGGTGATAATCATATTGACCAACTTCTTGAAGTGGATGGGGCTAGTCAGTCTCAGGAAAACTTGGAAAGCACCTTGGTTACCATGACACCATTACCACACTTGGTTTGTCAACTTTAAGATATCTGGTTTTTCTCACATGAGCATCTTTGTTTTTTCCACAGAGAAAAAGGTTTACTTGAAACATTCCTGGGAGCAATTGTGTTTCGCAGAGGTTCTGCTTTAGACTTTTGATCCTGGGACCCTCTGAGAATGAGCTGGAAGCTGCCGCACCCCCTCCTCCCAGCATCTTCAGCCAGCAGCCTGTCCCCTGACACGTGGCCAGCCCCAACCAAGAAGGATGGACACCTGGCACATTCCCCTATTCAGCCTGTCCCGAACATCTGGCCTCCACCGTCTTATAATCTGCGTCCCTGCCTGTTCCTGTCCTCATCGGGTCCTGACCCCCCAGGTACCGCCTATGAGATAAGTGAAAGTGCTCTGCCAGCTAATGATCACACCTGGCTTGTGATCTTGCTTGTGGTTTTAAAGCCTTTCTACCTGTTCCTTAGTAACACAGAGGAGGAAGGCCGCTCAGGTCCTCGGAGAGGCACCATGGTGACAGGAAAGGGCACAGTGGGCCCAGCAGCTGGGGTCCTGGTTCTACAGGTAATGACTATATGGTGCTAGGCAGGCTCCTGAGCTGCCCCAAGGTTAGCTGCAGGGCCTTAAACCCCATCCTGACAACTCCACACCGGGCTGTCGTGAGCATCACATGAGAAGATGCAATGAAATCACGTGTGAGCAGGAGGCAGCTTACATATGTAGGGTACTATTATTTCTACTTAGCACTGTTGTAACCAAAGCACCTCATGGCTGCTAAAGGCAAGGTTGGGTGATTCCCAATGAGATTCTAGGAACCCAGAAACTAAGTGGTGCAGAGGAAGGTAATGACCGTATGGGTTTGGTGACTGCATGGTTTTCTCCTTTCTACTGGTTCCTTGCTATCAGAGCACTGCCTACCACACTGTCCCCCAGCCTTTAAGTGCCTCCATCCCACATCCCCTCCAGCGACCTTCGCCATTACTTCTCACAGCTCTAGGAAGCGCTGTTAGTAGTCACTGGCTCTACTTCTGGACCTCCCCTTTTCTCTGACACCCATTCCCATCAGTCTTCGGTCTCCTCATTTGACTGAAGCTCTGGTCAGAGTCACCAATGGCCTCTATATTGCCAGAGACAACAGTCGCTTTTTTTTTTTTGGTCTCTGCCTTGTTTGACTTTTCAGCAACATTTGTCAAAATTGATGCCTTTCTTTCAAACCACTCACTTCTCTTGGCTCCCTCCTCCCCGCCCCCCCGCCGTTGCTGGTGTCACAAGTTGGAATGACTGTCCTAGGGCTTGGTAGTTGGTCCTACACTTGTTTCCACCTGTTCTTTCTCTAGGAGCTCGCAGTCAACCCCACGGTTTTGAATACCACCTGCATGCTCACAACCCCCACATTTTGCTCCCGCTCTCCATCCCTGATCAGCTGAGAGCCAGACTCATATATTTAATAGCTTACTGATAACACCGGGTGGATATCTGGAAGGCACCTCTTACCACATCCAACATAGAACTGGGGTTTTTCCCTTCCAAGCCTACTTCTCTCTACCACCTCAACCATCCACTGAGTTTCCTCAACCCCAAACTGAGGAGTCATCTTCTGTGTCTCTTTCACCTTATTGGTCAGTCAGTCTAAAACATATCCCAAATCTGACCACTCTCTCCTCTACCTCGCCCCTGGACTCAGCAGCCTCCTATTGGCCTCTCCAAGACCATTCCTGCTTCCTCCTAGACCATCGCTGCTCAACAGCCGGAGGGTAAACTGGCTCATATGGCTGGAAAGCCATCCAGGGACCAGGCCCTGCCCCCTCCCTGACCTTGCTCACTCTCCTGCAGTCACACTGGCCTGTATGTTCCTCAGACACTTCAAGTTCATTCCTGACTCTGGGCCAGCACAGGCCCTGTTTCCTCGGCCTGGAACTCGAGCCCTCACCCCGAATGCCTGGCCGACTCTCTGGTTCACGTCACTTCTGCCTTGAAGCCTCCTTCTCTCCCACCATTACTCTGTCATATTGCCCTGCATTTTTTTTAAAGCCCTGAATGTGGTCAGAAATTACCTAGTTCATTTATTTGTTTATCTGTCTCATCCCAACTAGGCTGTAGGCGCCATGAGAAAAGAGACATCTTTTTTTATTGCTGTGCCCCCAGCACGCAGGGATGCTCAATAAGTGGCTGTTGAGTGAGCAGAGGGACACAGTGGAGTCGCAGAGACCTGCGTGGAGAAGCTCCGGGCAGAAGGCCTGGGGCTGGCCACAGAAAATGGGGTTGTTGTTCCCAGAACCCATCTTCCTGAAGCCAGACACACCAATGGATGTCCAATGACAGGCCTGGGCCAGGGTGCAGTGGGGGCGGGTGGGCCTCTAGGCCACTCTGGGGGTTTAGAGAAAACTTCCTGTGGTAGCTGGCGCCGGTGTTGAGTGGCGAGGTAGGGAAGAGTCAGGAGAAGCAAGGTGGAAGGGCAGCCCGGGGCAAGGGCTGAGCGACAGCAGACACGCATGGGCAGTCAGCATGGGCAGCGCAGGAAATTTCACTCCTTATTAGATTGCCAAGTGCAAGTCAGAGGGTGGCCGCACGGCTGCTGGACAGGTTAACTAGGGTCAAGTCCCAGGAGGCCTGGCGTGCTGTGCTAAGGGGCCTGGCCTTGCTCCCTGGGGGAGGGGTGGGCCTTGTAAATTTGAAAGCAGGAAGTGACTTGGTCATATTTTCATTTCTGCAGACTGCTGTGATTGTTCTGTGGTGAATAAATCTCAGGCGATCCTTTGCAAACCCTCTAAAATAATGTCACCTGGGGAGCTTTAAAACATATTAAACCCAGGTGCCACTTTAGATTAAGAATTTCTGGGGATGAGGCCCAGAAATTTTTATTTTAAGGAAACTTTTTAATGAAGCTAACACACATACAGAAACAAGTAGAAATCATCAGTGAGCAGCTGATAACTTGTGATGAAGTGAATAATCATTGTTGCAGGTAACAAGCATCCAGATCAAAGAACAGAATATTACCAGTGCCCAGAGGTCTCCTGCCACCCTCTTCAGGAATAATTCATCCTCAATAAGGCAAGATATTGCTTTGCTTGTTTTTGAAATATGTATATATATCTACATACATATGTATCTATATGTAGATATATCTGCATGTTGTTGAAGTTTGCCTCTCCTCATTGTAAAGTATTCCATTGTATGAATGTGTCACAGCTTTTCCAATCCTCATCTGAGGACATGTGTACTACTTTTAGAGAGAAATCAATGTGTTGTCTCCCGTACACGCCTTGACCGTGGATCCAACCCACAACTTAGGTATGTGCTCAGACTGGGGATTGAAGCTGCAACATTTTGGTGTATGGGACAATGCTCCAACCAACTGAGTCACTTGGCCAGGGCATGTGACAGTTTTTTTTAATTCATCCTCCTGTTAGTGGACATACGGGGAGTTTCCCATTTTGGGGATTGTGAATAGTGGGGCTGTGAAAAGTCTGTATGCATCTTTTGGTGAAGCCGTGTGCTCCTTTCTGAGAGGAAAATACCCCGGGAGTGGAATCATTGGGTCACAGGGCATCTATACATTCAGACTTAGTAGATACACCAAAGAGTTTTCCTGAGTGGTTGCAGGCATAATCTGTTTCTAAGAGTCTCCAGGTGACTCTTCTCTCGCCCAGCTGAGGACTGCTGTTGTCAGGCTGTAGCCTGGAGACAGGGACGCCAATCGGGAGGCGAGGTTGTCACCCAGCGCCTGGGGAGATGCAAATGGCAGCTAAGTGTGGGATTTTGACTGGAGGAAGGGGCCAGCGGTGAAGGAATAGGCATCAGAAAAAAACGGAAACACTTTATAAGATAAAAGGATAAGAAGGAAGAGAAAAATCATTCACTGCTAACATTTCTGGCTTTGCAGAAGTCTCTGGAAAAAGCATAATCTGTTAAGAGAGGAGGAGCAGATGAAAAGTTTAAAGCATGTTTATTGTCACAGAAGGGGACCTTGGGAGCATCAGCCAAAGGCTGCAGACACTATGTCATAGGACTCTAATTATGAGACATGAATTCACCGGTTACATATGCGTTTATCTGGCTGGGAGTGGGAAGGCCAGGTGGTGCTGTGTCCAGAGCACTAGGCAATTAGACCTGGGTTCTATTCCCTGTTCCGCCACTCCTGGGCAAACTGCTTCATGTCTCTGCTTTAGTTACTGAGCATTCTGGCTAGAGGACTTCTAAGAGCCTTTTTAGTTCTATGGGCCTATTATTTATCCTCTAGGAGTGAAATTCCAGTAAGAAAATAATCTGAAGAGTTGGCATGATGCAACAGGTATATATCTGAGATGGTTTGGGATGAAAATACTGGACTATATAATTATTTCCCCAACTTATATAGCATAGAAGACTTTCTTTGATGATTCCAGTCCAGTTTTTCTTTGTTTCTATTGTTTTTTAAATTCTAAGTACGGCTGGGGAGCCGTGGGCAGTCCTGTAGCTTTATCACTCTGGCCCTACAGCAGTGTGTGTACCTTTGGGTTTCAGATCTAAGCCCCTCCCACTTGCCTATGCATATAACAGCCTCTCCCCTGGGTGAATGCGGGGAACTTCTGAGCTGCCTTGGGAGAGGGAGGCCAGAGCTACACTCTTAATTCACGCAGAAAGCAAGCAGTGGGGCCTGTCATTTTTTGAGTCATCAAGCTCCAGGAGACTCCTGGTATTAAGCAGGCTCGAAATGCCACCAGGTAGAAAGACCACAACGTGACGGAAATGTTGGGAAGGAAGGCTAAGGACTTAGCATTCTGGGCCCTTTTAGGAATCCAGATCTCCCCCCAGATCTCTGGGGGATAAATAGGATTGTGCATAGGTACCCATTCTCGCAGGGGGAGGGGTGGATTTTAAAAAGACTAGTGTCATGACTCAGCCACTGAAGGACAACTGGATGTTGCTCAAGTTTGTTTCCATAGAACACACTTTTGTAGATTGAAGTTTTAATCTACAAAAAAAATCAACTCTACTGTACAAACCCGGACTAAAAAAATTACAGTGTGGAGGTTGGATCAGAGGGAACTTAAAGATGTTTGGATCGAAATTCAGAGTCTTGGGCTGAGAGTATGATGAAAGATTCCGGAGTGGGCAGAAGGCAATGCCAACAGGAGGGAAACACCAGGAAAACAAAAGTAGAGAAAGGCCAAGTCTGCAGTTACGTAGGCCAAGGATAAAGCCTGCTTATGTGCTGTTCTGAGGAGGAGAGGTTGCCAGAGAGGAGGAAAAGGTGTAGCTAAGGACAGAGTCAATATTGTGAGTCAGCTGAGCGAGGTACTGGACCTATTGGATGATCTGACAGGTGTGGGAATGTTTGCACAGTGCGGGTGGCAGGTCTAAGCTGCAGTCAAAGGGTCAGGAGTGCAGAGTGCTTAGTCCCCACGGGAGAAAGGAGGGAACGTGCACGTTAGCGGGGGTGTTGGGCTACCCACTGAGACTAAAGCAAAAGACGTCCGTGGATTGGAAAGGCATTTCATTGTTCTGTGCAAGAGGATACAGCTATTGGGGTCATTGGTCAAGCTCTGTGCAATGGTAGCTGACTAGCCAGCCATACAGGGCAGAGGCAAGACCAGGTGTTCTGTGGGCCCTGGGCTCTGTGTTCATTGCATAAGGTCCCCTTTACCACCTTAAGAAAGGATGAGAATAGGTGGCAGCCTGGGAAAACAGGCTGGGTGGCTCTCTCCTTTTTGCTGTTTAAAGCAATAATGGTTGGGAATGTGTTGAGGCCAGAGTGGAGGGGCTGACAGTTGTTGAACGTTAATTATTGTGCTGGGTGCTGTTCACACATTATCTCAAATTTCTGAGATCTGTGTCACTTTCATTGTTTTTACAGATGTGGACACAGGTGGCCAGAGAGAAGATCATTTGCCCAAGATCACAGTCAGGGGTTGGCGTTGTTACTTTCATCTGGTTTATCTGATTACAAAGTTACCCGCCCCCCGCCCCCCAACCCGCCCCAGCACTGGGGCATTACTGAAAGAATCAAATCTGTCAGAGCAAGTAAGTTGTGCTGCCCTGTTGAGCTCTGGGGAGAGAGGCGCTCTGTCAGCCAGGAGGCGTTTGTGGTCAGCATCCTGGGGTGGCCCCCAGCACTCACCATGTTGTTCCAGAGTGCGATGGCCATCTCGGCGTGGCCACGTTCCGAGAAGTGGGAACAGTCTTCGGAGAAGAAGGTGAGGTCAGCTCCTCCTCTCTGTGACCAAAGGCAAGGGGATCATCCTTCTGGGACAAGGGCACCACGACGGGTCCCCCACCCACCTAGCAGGCCCCCAGGGCACCTCTCCTTACGACCCTGCTGACGACTGGCTTGGGTATCGATGGAGAAATGCCTCAATTTTTGAATTTTTAAACAGGCAGGAATCGTAGCCACCCACAGTCCATCCTTTTCCTCAGCTTCTCTGCCCTCACAGTTGAAAAAGAATAACATTTTTAGGAGGCTCTCCATTCTAGCCCAATCCAGCAAAGAGCAGGGCCATGCGCCGGGAGCTTGGTCAATGTTGATTTTCTCCTTTTCTTTCCTAGTGCAGCTAGGTTCTAATCATATTCCAAGAAAGGGTGAAGGAGAAGCAAAAAGAAAAAAAAGCCCACAGAGAGGAGAAAATACATCGTCTAAGATACAGCGTCTACACGGGTGCCTCCCAGACATGCCCGCAGCTTACCTCGTTCAGGGGGACGAGCGTGTTTTGGAAGAAGGGTTGCACGACTACCGTGAAGTCCTCACGCTCCAGGTACTGGTGCCAGTAGGAGAACCTGGATATGCCGCTCTGTGGAAGGGGAGAGAGGCTGCTCGGCCCTCCTGGCAAGGAGGGCCGGACCCTCCTGCTAGTCCTGCTGCCTTGGGTCGGCCGTGACGGGGGCCAGCCCTCCCTAGACAAAGGTGACTTAGAGGGTGCGTGCGGGAGTAGCACCCGGCTCCACTCTGCAGTCCCCACAGGGCTGGGTCTGAGCCGCTGGGCAGCCTGCTGGGGCCCAAGGCCTCCCTGATCTCGGGGCGTGAAGAGGCGAATTAGGACACGGGCTCCAGTCAGATCCCGCTCAAAGGACGGGGCACTTCCATGCCAGCTCCCCTAGATGCTCATGAGCTTAAGGGGATGAGTGTCCACAGTCTTTGGACTTAAGGCCCAAATTCTGGACTCTAAAAGAGATAGACCAGATGTGCTTATTCTTAAGGAGCTTATAATCCACTTGGGAAAATGAGACAAAATGTGAAAAAAAAAACCAACAAAAAACCCCCCGTGAGAACAATGTAGGGTCAGGGAAGTGCAAGCTGAAGCTGACATAGGGAGATGTACAAAGGTGAAGTTTGGTCGGGGGGAATGGCTGAGAAGAGGTAAGAGATACCCTGTGCGTGAGATGGGTAAGTTGCCGAAAGGCTCAGAGTGGGTATGTCAAGGGAGGGGACAGTAAATGGGTGGGGCTGAGACTTCGGTTCTTAAGAAGAGAGAGAGGCCAACAGGCAGAGAATACCACCCCGCCCTGCCTGGGTGGGGGCTGGGGGCTGTCACAGGACCGGAACCCTGGGAGCCCAGTGCAGCTCACCTGCTCCGGGCCGGGAGGCAGGAGTTCTCTCAGCTTCCTTGCTGAGATTTCTCACTCCCCTCCCCACCCCTTCCTGGCCTTGGTGTTTGATTCACCTGCAGACACATTTCAAGGGCTGTGACCTGCCTTAGCTCTCAGGAAAACCCTGCTGAACACACACTTTGGAATCCTTGCTCTGGAGCAAAGGCACCTCCCATCTCGGGCAGGAAGAGAAGCGGAGCGGGTTACCTGAAAGTTCCAGTTCACTTTCTTCAGTTCTTGCATCTCCCACGTGTTCTCCTGGGAGCGTCTGAAGCATGTGCAGTTGCTCCTGTAAGACAAGGAGTCCCGCAGAGAAACTCACTGGGAGCGGCCTGGCTCTGGGCCTCCGGGAGGCTGACTCCCCCCACCCCCCTGCCAGACACACACACACACACACACACACACACACTGAAAGCAGCTACCCACAGGGGCCTGGGCCCTGTGCTGCCTCACATGGGGGATGACACAGGTGCCCCCACAATACAGCCTTGCTGACTCGTGGACCCAGGTCACAGAGCTGAACCTCAAGGTCAAGAGGTCCAGCAGGTACTTGTTGAGAGAGAAGGTGGCAGAGCTGGCTTCTGGTGCCTGGGCCTCTGTGTGGACAGGCTGCCCAGTCCCCGTGCTGCCTGACTGCTCCATCCCAAGCTTGAGGCTTCTGGGGCTTCTCCAGGGAAAGACCAGGTAGGGGCTGGAGTTCGGGGAAGAATGCCACGATGGCCCAGTCTTTCTTCATGTTCCTGATGCCTCCCTTCTCTACTTTTGGCTGCTTGGGACTCTCCCTTAGGGCTCCTGAGTGGGCAGACTCTTAAGAAGCTAGGACAGGTCAATGCCTTGGGGTACCTTGCCAAAGTACCATGTAAGAACAGCAGGGGCTGGAGGAGCCCATCACACCCCCCCAGACATTGGCTGTTTCACACAGGGGCGCGCTTCCTAGCAAGATTGGGAACTAGCTTGTCACCTTCCCAGCAAATCCATTTGACCCCAGCTAGGACCCTTCAACCCCGTACAGAATCTCCCCGTCCCCGCCATGGCAAAATCCTCGGCGACCCTCTGATCTCAGAGGATGGCAACTTCCTCCCAGGGCTGCCCCTGAGCTTCAGATAAATTCTAGCCCCCAGCAGAAATTCTCTTCTTGCACTGGCTTGCAAGGACAGTCATATCAAGGACATTATAGAGGCAAGGGGATCATCTTCCTGGGGCAAGGAACCCACTCTTCCCAGAGAGCCTGCTCCATGGGGACCAAGGCCTTTACACGTGTTTCCTCTAGATCTCCCTAGTGCTTTGCAAGGAGATTGTACAGGTGAAGAGCAAAAGGCCCAGAAAGGGTTAGGTGGTTTGGGCATGGCCCCAAAGCTCCCAAATGGCGAGCCAGGATCTGAGGCCACATGCAGCTGTCTTGAACACGCATTGCCCTCTGCTGCCTCTCAAACATGGAGCAACTCACTGGAGTTGGAGTTTGGAATCATCAAGAGGCTTTAAGGATCATTTGATCTATTTGCTTGACTTTACAGAAAAGCAAACTGGAGTCCTGAGAAATGAAGCGACTTGAATACAGTAGGCATTTAATAAGGTCCAGACATTTCCAAAAGATTTTCCAAGTCCCTGGCTAGTTGTCCTCTTGACAGGACTGGCTGCTCTGCCTGCAATGGTCTCACCATTGGCGTTCATGAGCCCTACATGCCCCAGGTGCCCTCCCCCGGGACCGTGGCCATGTACTTACTGAGCGGCCAGCGGCATGTCACATTTCCCGCCTTGGCCCTGGTGCAGGCTAGCCAGCTCCATGACCTGCACCACATTGACAAAAGCTCGTGGAAGCTGTGGGGAGCAAAGGGGTGGGCTTCATGAGTCCACTGGCAGTTGGGGGGAGTCAGGGCACTTATTACCACTAGAATGAGCCTAAGGGATCATCGACAAGCCCCCTTCCCCCTCCCCAATTTTACCAATAAAGAAACTGAGGCCCAGAGAGAGAACATGACTTGTATTAATCTCACTGAATCTCCTTTATCGGCCCCACTTTCTACATTAAGAAAGCGAGACGCAGAGAAGTCACTTGCCCAAAGTCACATTGCTGGTAAGCCACAGCGCCTGGCTGTAACCAAGGCCAGTTGGCTCCAGAAGCAAGCTCTTTGCCACCAACAATACAACAGTCTGATTGAGTTAGAATTTCCCCGCAGGGGAGCTGGGCAGCTGCCCCTCCTGTCCTGTCCCATCCTGCTGCCTACTCATGGCGGGGTCCTGCTCAGTGTGCATCTCGTCAAACACAACTTGCCCAGATGCACCCGGGGAGCAGCCCCAGGGAGCAAGCAGACAGGCAGGTCACTGGCAGGAATCGGGACCTAGGCGTGTGCCCCGCTCCGTCCTACCTCGTAGAGGATGTCCAGGGCCTGCTGGATGTGCCGAACGTATTCTCCAGCTGAGAAGGCCTCCTGTGAGGAAAGAAGGGGATTCTCCTCAGCCCCTGGGTTTTACTCGCGGGAAGGGAGGAGAGTGATCTGATGCCCAGCAGAGGAAGGCCTGGGCGCTGGGATGGTGGCAGAGGGGGTGTTCAGAGGAGCTTTGGTGGCACTGGGTGGGCTGGGAAGCCCAGCCCCTGTTGCTGGTGGGCAGAATCTCTTGGGAGAAGTCATCCCTAGGCCCGTATTAGACAACACAAGCCATCCCCGCCGGACCCCGCTCCTGGGATCTCTAACCCTAGCAGTGCTGGGCCCTGCCCAGTCTCTGGTCCCATCTGTCACCAGCCTCAACCTTCCTCAGTCAGGATGGTGCCCCTGATGGCCTTGCTCTCTCTCCTCAGGGCGTTGGCCATGCTGGCCCTACTGCCCGCCCCCCAACCCCCCCAGCTCCTACTGTCCCTTGTGACTCAGCTTGGGGTCTCCTCCCCTGGCCCATCTTCTGACGGAGGCTGACTTAGCCCCTCCTAGTTAGTTCTGTGTGGTGGCAGTCAGGTCCTTTTCGTAAAAATACTCTCAGGAGTATAAACCTGTTTACACAAGGGACAGGTATTCTGAAGCTAGCAGAGGCATTTTCCTGTACCAAGTGTCCACAGGTGGCTCTGGGGTGACTTTGGGCTTCCTGGACCCTGTGGAGTCCAAGATGCGATGACATTGTAATCCCCAGGGGGTTGTGTCACTTCTGCCTCCAGAGTCTGTGCAGTAAAAGGTGGAGCGCAGAGGGGACAGGGCCTGGGAGGGCGCGCTCCTGTGCGGGGGAAGGGCTTCTCATCAAGCCCTTGGTGACTGTCCCTCTGAGCCACAAGGAGCGACAAAGGTCTTCTCTGCCCACCGCCTCGCCCCCTCACCTGTGACTGTCAAACATTCTACCATGATCTCTGAGTAATGGCAGCTGTCTTTTTCTGGCCAAATAAAATACAGGACGTCCTCAACTTAGAACAAGATGTATTCCAAAAGTTACAACTTCCCGAAGTTTGTAAGTCTGGATGTGTTTCCCCACAGAAATGTTAGGAACAGGGCTGGGTTCCCAGGCCGGCCAGCTGAGGTCGGTCAGCTCGTGACGTCCCTGCAGTGCGGCAAGCCGTCCTATCGGGCCTGGTTCTGTTCCATCCAGCCCCTCTGATGTTTCAGTGCCCCCTGCACACTCTGCACCCGACCCCACGAAAAAACACCCACAAACTGGGCAGAGACTGCAAGCACACGTGAGGTGGGCCTCGCTAGTTACCCCCGGGCCCCAGGAAGCAGCGTGTGCCTGCGTTAGAGAGGCCACCCCATCCGCAGTGCCTGAAGTGTGGATGCTTCTAGACACTTCTGGAATCGGGAAACCAATGAAGCTGGTCTCCAAGAGACCCCTCACCAGGGGCAAATGTCCAGCCTCCTGGGGCATGTGTGAACCAGCGGCTGCCTGGGCAGACTCCGGTGCCGGGGCGAGCAGGCCGGTGGGACTCCCACGAGGGAGCCCAGGGCCCTGGGCACGGAGAACGCCACTGGTCAGCAGCTCCCTTCTCAGGCCCCGAATGGGCCGCCCGGGGGCCTACCGGGTTTTCGCAGTAATGGCACAAGTCGTTGCCCCCAATGAACAGTGTGATCAGCTTCCAGTCTTCCTCCAGGTTGATTTCCTGAGGGGACAGAAGATTCTAGGTTTAGGGCTTGGTGGGGGGGCACATTTGGGCGGTGCTTCCCAGGCCAGACACCACCCCGCCGCCCCCCGCCCCGGTATCTCTCACTCTGTATCACAATGGAGAGAAGATGCCAAGTTGAGCCTCCCTCACCTTGCCCTTGGTGCTGGACAGGGGTGCCTCAAAGTGTGTGCGTGTGCATGCATGTGTGCGTGTGCGTGTGCCTGCTCATGCAGTGCAGGGGACTGTTTTCCCTTCGAAATCCTCTTCAGAAAGCTGAAGTCCCCTGTGAGGTGGAGTGGATGAACACACCCCTGAAAACGTGGTCTGAAGGCCTTCAAAGGAGCCGAGCGCAAAAGACGCAGCTAGAAGCAGAAGCCCAGAGCCGCCTGTTGGGAGAGCTCTTCAGGTGTGAGACGAGGGAGGGGACAGGAGGGTTGGGCTGGGGGCTGGGAGGCCCTCCAAGGAGCCTGCCTTCCCCTCAGCCACGACTGACCGACCATAATAGGAGTTCTGCCAGGAGCTGAATTCCAAGGCATAAACACAGAGTGTAAGAAAAAGCCCACTAGTGAGAAGGTTGAGAGGGGCAGGGTAAGCGGGAGGGAGGAAGGACTGGAATGAGAAGCCTATTTTTAGAGCCCAGCATTTACATAATAGGGCTCTGTGAAGCCAACTCTGGGTAAAGTGGGAAGCTGCCAGAGGCCACGGCCATTGATCTCCAGCGCTCTGGCCCATCTCGCCCTTCTGCTGCCTGCCCTAGGGATGCGGGTGCCAGAGCCGGGGTTAGGGGTGCAGCAAAGAGGGTGCCTCTGTGGTAAGGCCTCCCTTCTTGTGGCTCGTTTGGCCGCTCTTTCAGGTGAGCCTGGTGCAGGCGCTGCAGCAGGGCTGAGGGGCCCTTTCAGAGCTGCTGTACCCACCCCCACTGGAGACCCAGTGCCTTCAGGTGCCCGGAGGTCCTGTACTCACAGGGCTGTTTTTCATTCGCTCCACCAGGTCCCGGGCCTGGGCTGGCATGTCCCTGGGCAGGAGGAGAGAAGGGATGGTGAGAGCTGGCTCAGGTGCTAGGGCTCAGGCTGCAGGAGCTGGGCCTGACGAGGATGTGTCTCAGGAAGACTAAGGTTATGTTTATTGCTTCGGCATGTACTGAAAGGCTTGGTTCTCGAGGGAGCTCAGCTGAGTAACGATCAGAGATCTGCCACAGACGTCGGAGCCGCGTGGATCCGGACCCTCCCTGGGGCTACTCTGCTTCCCACCACCCCTTCCTGCAGGCCCATCCTCCTGGGCCACCTGAGGTGGCATCTGCTCAACCTTGCATCAGGGATGTGTCCTTATCGTTCATCCAGCTCTTTCCTCGCAAGCTGAGTCTGTGCACTTCTTATTCGGCTGTCTGCTTTAAAAATAACCTTTTGTGTATTTGAAAAAAGTCAGAGCCCTAAATTATCCCTCAGCTTTTCCCTTTCCAGGCTTCACGGCTCCTTGAATCTTTACTTCTAAGTCCCACTCTCTGTTCGCCTAATCCTTTTGTTTGTCTTCTCTGTAATTACTCTGGATTTCTAAACCATTCTCCGTCACCTCAGTTTTCCCCCTCCCCCCAAAAAACAGGATGCGAGGGGGACAAAAATGGGCAGGGTTAGTTCTCCACCTCCTGGACGTCTGCCAAGAAAAAAGAACATGGGTGCTTCTGGATAAGGGAGCTGTATGTCAATGGAATACTACTGAGCAATAAAGGCGGACCATTGACAGATGCAACAACCTCCAAGGAATTTTGCTGGATAAAAGAGATTTGACAAGCACACATAGTCTATGATCCCATTTACATAAAATTCTAGAAAGCTAGACTAATTTATAGTGACAGAAAGCAGGTCAGTGGTTGCCTGGTATGGGGTAGGGACAGGAAGGGGCAAGAGGGAGAGGTTACAAATGGGCACAAGGAAACTTTGGGGAGGGGTGATGGGTGTGCATCATCTTGATTGCAGGGATGGTTTCACAGGGATGTGCATCTATAAAACTTATCAAATTGCAGGCTTTTAAAGGCAGTGTATTGTAGGTATATGAGAAGTTATGTCAGCAAAGAGATACAGCCAATAGAGGCTTCCTTGGGGAAGATATAGAAGCAGCCACGGGTACAGGATGGCCATTTAAAATCTCTGTGTGGCCACGATGAGCCAAGCACAAGGCCAAGCACAGCAGACACCCTCCCTGCCTTTGTTTCTCATTCACTCACCCAGGATCACACCCATACACTATTGTTATTGCTGGGTACATCAGATAGCTATAAAGAAAGCTTGTCCTGGTTAAAGGTAACCTATACCCTTTTAATAGGTTCAAGATGTGCCGAGGGGAATTCATGGGTGATTAGCCCACAGGAGCACTAGGGGGGAAGTCAGGAATGCCCACGTCCTCCTCCCTTCCGCCAGGTTCTTCGGGCTCAGAGCAAGCCTCGCCTCCCCCACGAGCCTGCTCTTTGAGCTCACGATCCACGCCGCCTGCATTTCCTTTTCTGTCCCTGTGCAAAGAGCCCTGCTCTTGGAGTTCTCCTTTCAGCTCTGCTAGTAACTTGTTGGGTGAGCTTACCCAAGTTACCAAGTCCTGCTAGGGCTGAATTTTTCTCACCTTTTAAATGAAAAGGTTGGATGAGATGACTTCTGGGGTCCCCCTGTCTGGGGCTGCCTCTGTATTTGGAGTGCCTAGTCCTCATGCCACCCTTTTCTGTTCTCTTGGCTGCACTCCCAAGCGCAAAATCATTTCAGTCTGCAATGTTGCCATACGCAACAGTCCCCCCCCCCAAAAAAAAGTTATGTTTGTTTAGTCTCCTTACCCAGACAGCAAGTTCTTTGTAAGGAGAAAGTTCACCTTTTTTTGACTGTTTTGTATCTTTTAGTAACCACCTCAGGGCTCAGCTCCTGGCAAGTGTCCAGTGAATTCTCGCTTGCTGATTGATTGAAGGGAGGTTAGATGTTTACTAAAACCTTAAAACTAAATACCCTAATAATGGCAAACTTCTTTTTTTTGCATACATATTACATACTGTTGTGAGTGCTTTCCATGGATTATTACCTCACTTAATCCTTATGACAACCCTGAGAAATGGGTACTATTATTATCCCTATGAATAGATGATGCAATGAAGACTCAGAGATACCAAGTGACTTACCCAAGGTCCCACAGCTGGCACATCTGGGAGCTGACATCTCCACACACTGGGTCTGACCCCAGGCCCCTTATCTTAATTGCTCTGCTGTGGTGTTTATCTTTCTGTTTAGGTGAACTTACCATTATCTACACCATCCTAGGCACAGAGTGTAGATAAAGGAGAGAGAGAACCATTCTCCAACCTTGCTTACTCAAGTCAGTGGCTTACTCTCCTTTCCCCAAACACGGGCGGGGCACCAGAGACAGAACAAGAAGCTGCGAGTCAGGGCTACTTCCCCTGCCACCGGTTCTTCGTTCCGGTGGAGGCACTGAGCAGCAGTAAACTAGAAAAGGCAGTGAGAGAGGTGAAGCAAGAAAGCGGCTGAAACATCGTCAACAGACGGAGGAATCGCCTCCTGGTTAATGAAGCCTGGGCTGTGGAATAATGATGAAAGGACAATGATGATGATGATAATGATAGTAACTATAATGACAATAGTCATATTAGCAGTGAGGTGTTGACGTTGTGACCCCACGAAGCCCCGGTTTTTCACAGAAAAAGAAGCTCTTCCTGCTTATGACGCTGAGGAACTGACATAGCTTCCTGTGGCTCAGAGACTCAGACAGAGCGTGGGGCCCTCCTTACAGGGCCTGAAAAGAACGCTCCCTGTAAACACAATGAGTCAAGACAGTGTTGTCTCCCTGGTGATCCGAGTGCAGCAATCCTGCTGCAGAGCAAATACCCAGCACTTTCCGTGCAGAAAATCAATGAACTCTGTCAGGCATTTCAGCTTTAATTGTCTGGGTTATTGTCAACAACAGAAATCTGAGTGAAAACAAACAACTACCATGCTGCTCCAGGGGCCTGAATATCTAACTCCCTAATGTCAAAATAACAGCGTTTTCAGCATCAAGCACTAGAGATTCTGAGGCAGCGGGGGAGAGAGGAAAGGTGGCCGTCCATAGAGTCCCACACTAAGTGCTGAGCGCCTGAGAAGTTCGGGAGGTCAGCTGGAGCACCTTGCGGGGGTGGGAGGCACTACCTCCTGCTGCCCCGAGAGGCAGTAACAGCACCGTGGGGCAGAACAGAGGCCCTGAGTCAGCCTGGTCTGATCCTGGCACCTCTGATAACTTTCTCTGATAAGCTTGGATCATTTGGGGAACTTTCTAAGCCTCAGTGTCCTGAAGGGTGCGAGGATTACCTGAGAGCATCCACGTGCGGAGCCGGCTCAGGGCCAGGCACACAGAGGCACCCCATTCGTGCACGGCAGCCATCGCTGCTCACCTGGGGCCAGGCTCCCAGGAACCAGCCTACCTCCTTCTATTTAGCCTCCAGGACCTCCCAGCCTGCCCTCCGTTCTCCCTCCTGGCCCCACGTCCACTCACCGAGCCCTGGCCCCTTCGACAGCTACATTCAGTCCTGCTGTCTCCTCCTGTGTGCCGGTGGAGAACCCGAATATTCGAGGATTGAACTTCTTCAGAATGTCTTTTAAGAGGGAGGAAGCAGACAGCACGGGTGAGTGGGAGATGGAGGTGCCGTGTTGGGGCACGGGCTGGGGAAAGGACGGTTTTGGGTCTTTTCGGGGCTGGCTGCCTTCCCTCCTTGCAGACAACCTTCTCTTCTGTTTCTCAGGGGAAGGCCGTGGCCCCTGCGAACAGCTGTTGTGGCTACAGTGATGGTGCTTCTTCGTGTGGCTACTTACTGGGCAGTGTCGTGTGGGTCTCCAAGACCCCGTCCCCTCCAACGCTGGGGAAGAGAAACACATTTGTTCAAATCCCCTGGCCTGCTGCTGCGCATGTCCTCCTGTTTCTGAGTCAGAGCCAGAGAGTCTGCCCCTGGAGGGGATTCCCATTCCCTTAGGACCAACATGAGCACCAGGGTCTCTCCTTGCTTCTCAGAGCTGAGCCATGGAGCCTGGCCCCGCCTCTGGAGGCCGACAGGGAAATACCACTCCTGCCCCTCTGGGGGAGTGTCGCCCACAGAAAATAAGTGGAGAAGTCCTCACCTCCAGGAGAGGCCCCGCCAGGACACGAGCAGGTCACTGGAGTTGCTGGGGCGGGCTCCCACCGCCGTCTGTGAAAGGCGAAGAGGAAGCAGGCTGCAGGCCCGGGCTGGGCCGGGGCCAGGCTGAGGGCGCTGGGAAAGGCCCTCTGTCCCCCCGGTGGCTGCCGGGACCTGGATTTACCTTTTCTGAACATGGTACCAGCTTTTCCCTGGGACATTTAATCTCTGAGTTGTCCTGACTCCCTGGTCCTCTACATGCAACCAGTGACCAAGTGTTAAAAGAACCAAGATTCTTCCTTCTCAGCCTCTCGAGCCCCCACCTCTTTCTTTTTGTTCCCTTTGCCGTATTCTGAGGTGAGGCTGCTATCGTCCTGCCATGGGCAACCCTCTGACCTCCCACCTGACCGCACAGCCCCCTGCGTCTGTTCCCTTCTCACCTCACCAGGCTGTCTGTCTGCTCTCCTGAGCACACATGTCTCCAAACTTCCCCTTGACGCCGACCTTTCAGCGGGCTTCTCTTACCGCCCCCCCCAAAGCCAACCCCCATTACCAGCTCTCTGAGCTCACCATAAGCTGGTTTCCACCTTTCTTCCTTCGTTCACCCGCTCCTTTCCTGCCACACGAACCTCCTGGTCTAAGCAAATTGATCCGAAGGCTGAAGGCCTTGGACCAGCCTGTGCCATGACCACCAACTCCATCCCTTCCGGGCAGACTGAATTCCCTCCTGCCCAGCCTGGAATGTCTAATTCATTCTTTAAGGGCTTTGTCGGTTTCTACCTCTTCTATAAAGCTTTCTTTAAATGCCCTATCTTAAAAAAGAAATTCTTCTTTGAAACTTATAAAAAAAAATACATATGTACCATAACTAGTAAAATGATACAGTAATCTTGCCCCATTCCCACCTGGCCCCTGACCCACATGTACACATTACCAAAGCTAATTAATGGGGACGGGCCTGGTGTGTTTGTATGTGTATGTATGTATGTGTGTGTATCCTTTTATAGCTATATATAAAAATATATTTATATATAATATATAATACATTATATATGTAATAAATAATATATAACATTATATATAAATACATTTTTATATATAAGGATATATCCTTTTATAGCCATATATACTTATATATAAAAAATATATTTTTATATATATGTGTATATATATATATACACACACAAAGACAGATATATAGATCCTTTTATAGCTTTCTCCATGTTCATACCAAAAGTAAAACACATTCACATACCTACGGGGAAATTGTTTGTTTTTACAGAATGAACACCTGATTTTAAAAGTCCTGTATGCTATCTATATGATTAGGTAGCTGCTGTGTAAGTTTCTTGTTTTCCCAGTTGAACAAATTTCTTGAGGGTCACGACTGTGCCTCATACTTCTCTCCGCTCAGAAGGGCCAGCAGAGCGCCTTGCACACAGCAGTAGCGAAGCAGCTGGCTAACATGACTCACTTAGTGAGATCGTGCCATCTGTGTGCAGGAACTGGGCTCCCTCTGCCCCGGGGAATGCATCTCTAAGCGGGGTGAGCGGCGCTGGGCAATGTGTGGTAGACCCAGCGCTCTGTGAATCAGGGAGCAGGAGATGAGTTTTCTGACAGAGGCAGGGGGACTTGGATGAGCACCACAGCACACAGATGCAATGCTCGGGGACAGTGTGGATGGGCGGGGAGGGTAGGCAGCCTCTACCTGGGGATGGGGGTGGTGCTTGAGCTGGACTGTGGAAGGACGGAGGGTGGGGCGTTCTACAGAACCTGGTGATGTCTGTGGCTGCCTGGCTGTGCTCAGTGCCTGACACATGCAGTGCTCCTTAGTGTCAGCTAAATGCAGAGCCAGCTTGGAGGAGGAGTTGATTCTGCACAGGGGTTGGCTGGTGCCCACACCTGGTGCAGTTCAGTACTCACCGTCAGCGAGTCACCCAGGGCGGCTACCACTTTGATATCTGCTGGTCGGAGCTCATGGACTAGGACAGACAGGCAGGAAGATGGATGGTCAGGAGGAGGTCTTCCTTTTAAAGTATAAGCTTGACCAGAAGTCTGAGATTCTGTTGTAGTCCCACAGGTTCCCATTACACTTATTTCCAGCTTAGGGCACTAGCAAGTTTGCCTCTTGTGTCCATTTAGAGCAACCAAGACAATGAAGGTAATGGCCTTGATGGTTACTGGACATCCTGAAGGAGCCCAATTCACACTGGAGTGGTCCAGGGAAGTTCTGGCTGCTGGCATCATGAGCATAGGTAGAGAGGACCCCAATCCCTGACTGCCCCCACCAAAGTGCTGGGCAGGGAGGCCTGAGGGACACCATTGGGACCAAGTGGACCAGAAGTGGGATTTGTGGAGAGGCCTGGGGGCCCAGCAGGGGTTGCAGGCCAGCTTGTCATGGGTTGCACTGCACAGGAATCAGCAAGGCCTGCTCGAGGCTCCAAGGTATGTTTGTCGGGTCTCCCACCACCTGTGCACTCCGCGCGGCCCTTAACTGAAGCAGGGAATGACGTTCTCACTCACCCGAGGTGGGAACACTGCTGGAAGTACTCCATTCCACACACAGGAAGTCACTGCCCCAGTTCTAAATCAACAGGAAGAAAGATGCAACGCCCAGCACCCATTGTGCAGGGCAGTTAGCTTTAGCCCAAGAATTAGCTAAGTAATTATTAGTAGAGGCTAGAACTATGTGACTGCAGGGGGTCATGTGAGGGTAAGACCTGTTGGTTGTAGACGGACTGTGAGGGGCATGAGAGAGGAGGAAATGGGTGTCTGCCTCTCCCTATACACAAAACACACCATGGTGGGCACGCACATGCACACTCACACAGCCTTCTTCATCTCCACTATCTATACTCTCAAGGGGAGCCGGCAATCCTACCAAAGCAAGGGAAACACAGGGCAGTGATGCTACAGGTTGTCTCCCAGGGGAACAGAGACTTGGGCGCCTAATGGACACCCAAGACTTGGGACTAGAGATGGGTGTTGGCCTTGCTGTTTGACAGTAAGCTAATTCGTTAGAATGCTTTTAGGAAAAGAACATGAAAGTTTTGCAATTGCTAAGTTCCTGGTTTCTGCATACTTTTTTCCTGCACATGTGTATATCTTTTTGGATATTTAACTTCACAGCCAACCAATTCCTTGCATGTGTAAAACTTAATGCCTGTAACCTGGATACTGTTAGTCAAATTTGTTTGTTTCTATAATACAGAACACCTTTTCCAGGTGCTGGAGGAAGGGATGGGGTGAGAAGCAGGGGACACAGAAATTACCAATGCCAGCAAGCTGGAGGAGAAGTCAAATCTCTTGTGTAGAGTCCCACACATCTGCATGTCCCCAAGGTGGCCTGAGAGACAAGCCCAGTGCAGGACGCACAGGAGAGCTGCACAAACAGGCACTGACTGGTCGGCTGATTCTCTGCCAAGGCTTTGGAAGCCCATCTCTTCTGTTTTAGTTGGATAATGATGAAGACAAAACACTCCTCTAATGAGGGAGCAAAATGAAACTTCTTTTAAATAGTATTTGCTTAATTTGATAGAATTTAGTTTATTCCAAGGAACTGCTCAATTCCTCACACTGATGGATTCCTTCTCCTGTGCGGATGTTCTACTGCAGTCAGGAATATGCTTGTGTGCCAATGACAAATATTGGGAGAACTGCCATTGAAAAAAAGAAGGTCTGGAGCCATGAGTACTAATTTAGAACTCTCTCCACTAGCTGGTGAGCCCCAGCCAAGCAGGTGCTGTGCAGCTTCCCAGACACAGGTGGGAGTGTGAGCATGCTCATCTGTCAGAGGGGAGAACCACATGCTGCAGTGTCCAGATCCCCTGGGTGTCCTGCTAAATGCAGATTCTGACTCAGTAGGACTCGGGTGGTGCCCAGGACTCTGCATTTCTAACCAGTTCCCAGGTAATGTTGATGCTGCCTGTCTGTGGCTAAACTAGCAAGGTATTAAAAACACATACACGCATTCTAGGCCTGGGTTTCTCACTCGTCCAGCAGCAGAAGCAAAGACAGAGAGACTGTAAGATCCAAAAGGGCAGGCCCAGGCCCACTCGGCTCACTTTATCTACCCAGCCCTTAGCACAGTGCCTGCTTCATGCCGGCATCCAATAAATAAATAAATGCTAAATAATTAAATGCCTAAGTGACGAGACGCCGCTGACATTTTGATTATAATGAATTTTGGTCGATAGTGTGCCTGGGACAAAGCTCCACTGGGCTAATGCGAGCCTGAAAGAATCCAGGGAGGCTGCACGGCTGGCATTCCCCCGGCCATGACGCTGTCATGGCTGGATCCCAGAACTCAGAACCTAACAGCTCATCAGTAATTTCCTATGGGCGGGTCTCAGTGCGCAGCGAGCTTACAGAAGGCCCTTCCTCAGTCACTGCTGCTGTGCCCCAGTCCGTTTTCCACACTAGTCAGGGAGACCTTTTCAAAGGTGAAGAATATGTCGCCCTCTCTCAGCCCTTCCAATGGCTTCCCGTCTCTCTCCACCTGGAGTCCAACCTTCCTACTTAGGGAATCAGATTTTGGGTGATCTGGCCCCTGAAAACTCCTCTGATCTCATCACCTCCCTCTACCTAATTCACATGCCCACAGCCACCATGATCTTCTTTCTCTTCCTTGAATATAGCCAACTCAGCCCCTTTTCTGAAGCTTTGTGTTCCCTGGTCCTGCCTGGGACCCTGGCTCTCCAGATAGCTGGTGTCTTTTCATCATGCATGTCCCTGCTCAAATCCTTCCTCCTCAGAGAGGCCTGGCCTGCCCAGCTCATCAGAATAAAAAAAAAAAAAAAAAAAAAAAAAAAGGACTGTAAGCCCCATGAGGGATAGGACCCATCTGTCTGTTCTTCTGCTCTGTCTCCCTCGAATAGTGCCTGGCACGCAGTAGGTGCTCAGGGTGGAACTGACCTTTCTCTAACTCCCCAAGGGGAGGGCCATGTCTGATACCTCTCTGAAGTCCCTCCGGCCTCTAACACAAGATTGGACATACCATAGATGCTCCACCAAAACTGGTGGTTGAGCCTCTGTCCTGGTGGCCAAAGGACCAGATCTGGACCAGGCCTGCCCTTCGAGGCCTGGTGTGGTCCAAGATCCTCCAGGCCACCTTTGGATTAGCAGTCCTTAAAGGCCTGAATCCTTTGGGGTTCCTCAGAGCCAGTACGACTGACTTGAACCAAGCCAGCCTTGGAGACCCACCTGGATATGCATGATCTTTCCACTGGGCCCAGCCCCTGGAATTAAGATACGTTCTGCTCAGCCTTCACCTTTCAACAAGTCAAAGGCACATTGTACCTACTGCCTCCCTGTCATCCCTTCTTGAAAGGCTGAGCTGCCTAATCAGAAATGATGTTTGTACAAAAAGGTCAAAGAAAACGGATCCATGAGCACTTCCTCTTGCTGGCTGCTGATGTCAGGTAAGCACTGGGGAACAGGTTAGGACAGTCCCGGAACTCTGTGGTTCAGGAAATTTTTTTTTACATTCCAATTTCCCGTTTGTAAGAAGTCCCGGAACTTTGTGGTTCAGGAATTTTTTTTTTTTTTTTTTTTTTACATTCCAATTTCCCATTTGTAAGAAGGGTACATTTCTGCTTAAGCGAATACTCTGAAACCTGCATCACACCCCGAGTCACTGGCTGGTGGAAATGGTCTGTCCCTGAGAGAGGCAGGCGTGAGCCAGGAGTTACCTCGATGGCTGGCTTGGTGGGGTAGGTGTAGTTGCTGTTTCGGAGGGTCCTCAGGAAAGGCTCGTTCTGAGAAAAGGAACCAGAAAAGGAAGTTATCTGACGATATCAAAGATTGCTTAGGAAAGATAAGAACTAATAATCCTGTCCTCTAGATTTATTTAACATGATTCTTCTGCATCCAATAGGAAGAGCTGTATAAACACAATTTTGTTCATTCCCTAGAGGGTTTTACATATCAGCTTTGGCAAGGGATACACAATGAAAGCCCTGAAAAAGGGTTCCCTGTATGTTTGATTCATGGCTCTATGCTTCCATTTTCTCCCTAGCACCTGAGCATCTCCCTAATCATTGCAATGATCTTTTTTCTTTCCTTTGTAATTTCTCTGGCAAGCGATTCATATTACAGTATTATGATTATGAATTTATTTTTAATATCTGCTTTCCTCCTCTTTTGAACTGTGTGTCTTACCCCCTTCTGGTTGGCTTCATACAGTTTGGTCACGCTTTTTCTCATGAACATCCTCTTCATTCCCTACTCACCTATGCACTTTATGATTGGTTCTAACACAAGCCCAGTCAAGAATCCAAGTCTGTCCAGTTGCAGGTGATGGGTTCATCAAGAAGGACGAATGGAGGCAAAGGAGAAATGTGAAAAGCAAGGGAGTGAAAACACATAAAAGTGATGGTGAAGCAAGAATTAGTTAAGAAGACCGAGATCAGGAAATACCACAAGGCCCAGGGCTATCAACTCTTTCACAATGATGTGAAAAGGGAGGTAGAAGGGCCATGGTCTGAAATTTGGGAATAAGAAGAAAGAACCAGAGTGCTGGAGAAGAGGTCATTGGAGATCAGTTCCAGGGGTTGAAAGCTGACTGTTCACGGGCTGAACCCATCCAGGAGACATTTCGATTTGGACATTTTCGTTTATTTTCACCTGAATGGTGTTAACAGAGGAAGGGGAGTGAGAGGAGACAGAACCTGAATGCTCTCAGAAGAAACATGTTCTCTTCAGTTCTGGCCCCGCCGCTTCCTCTAGGCACATACCCAATCCCATTCACACTGTCGTGTTCCTGACTGGCCTCAGATCCAAGTTTGCAACCCCTGAAACCCCCCATTTTACAAATGAGGAGCAGCTGAGGTCCAGAGGGTGGAAGAGATCTGTTACAGGTAGAGAGCAAGTAGTGAGTGAGAACATGGCCTAGCTGGTTTGGCAGGCCTTCCTGACTAGAAGTGGCCTGGCTCCATTCCTCATGCTGGTATCAGGCCCTGCATGTTCAGAGAGCAAGAGGAAGAGGGGGACTCGACAGTCACCTTGGGGGACCAAATCTCCATGCACAAATCTCCCAACCCACAGCCCCCTGGCTCCCCAAACACCATGTGTGTGTCTCTTTCCTTCTGAGTCTCTGTTCCTAGCTGACACATGGGCCAGAGGAGCACTCAGGGCCAGGGACAGGAAGTGTGTCCAAGACTGTCTGCAACAGCACAAGGCAAAAGAGGCCTTACAATGGCATGTCACCATGGCTAACTAGGCTTGTCTCCAGCTAATGTCATTTAGCATCCGCTGAGCATTCCCCATCACATGAGGGCAACCTGGGAGTGTCCTATACATAACTGACCCACATTTGTCAAGCGCCCATGTGTTTAGCACTAAACACATCATGCTGGGATGAGGGGAGGATATAAAGGGGCTTACAATCAAGTCAGGCAGAGAGGGTGAGAAGCTAGGAGGTAGCAGTGAAGCATCAAAGAATGTCGTGGCCTTCGTTGCAAAGAATAAGTGCAACAACTGATGAGTCCTCAAAGACTGGACTTTAGTGGGGGGCACGTTGCTAATTAATATACTCCCCCCACTTCAAGGGAACTTGATTGGGCCTAATGTCTAGGGGCTAGAGCTAGTCCCAGAGTGGCCAGCACAGGAAAAACAAAAGGACAACGAAGCACCCTGACCTTACAGAAGTGCTGAAAGTCATACTGGAGAGTCTATCTGGTCATATGACCCAAGAGTTGGGGGAGGGGCCAGAGAGGAGAGACTGAGTCAAAGGGGTGGGAGGTCAGGGAGACACTGTAATTCGGCGGGAGGGAGGCCAGAGCAGGAATAATAAGAACAGGTCCAGGCCAGTTGCAGGCAGGTGGACTGGGCTGCCCAGGGCTTGTTTTATTGACCAGGGGCTGTGTGGTGTGTGCATGAGTCAGAGTGGTTTAAAGGCCTGGAGGTGAGCAGATTACTGGGGGAGAGATTCCATCATTAGTCCGACAGGCTCTGTTAGGCTCTGTTTGTAACACTGGTGAGTAGAAGGTGAAGCCTATTAAACACTGGGACAAGGAAGTCTGTGCAAAGACGGTGTTGCCTGCCTGGGGGTGGGGCAGAGCCAGGGCAGCCACCTGATGTGAGTCAGCAACGTGAGTCAGAGGCTTCGGGAAAAGGTCATGTTCATCTTGGCTGTGTCACTAGGTTTAAAGTTCCACGGTGAAGGAGTGGCGGTTCTTTTTTTTCTGTTCCGTGTTGCTCGGACCAAACCGGAGTGTACAGGCAGGCCTGGGCACCGCCTGGAGAGGGGCCGTGTTCCAAGGAGACATACCTACTACATGAGACAGGGTTTAGAAGGCTCGTCTGTGACAAAGGACTGAGGGAACTGAGGGGAAGGCTCAGGGACGGGCGGTGGGGACGGTAGGAGGGAAGAGGACATAACAGGCCATGCCATTCCAAATGCTGGTGCGTGACCTACTAGGCTAACTTCACAACCTGTTAATGGGTAGCGACTTGGCAGTTTGAAAGGCACTGCCTTGAGAGTGTAGACATTGAAGTAGAGGCTGTGGTAATGCCTCAGGAGGGATGTGGTAAAATATTCCATTTATTCTATGAGAATTACATCAACAGGACCCCCAGGTACTCCCCGCTGAGATCCTAAGGTTATATAACCCCCTGTTGTTTTATGATGGGAATGTAGGACCAGCTAACTTTCAGTATACCAAGTGCTAAGGGTCTAAATGGGGGGCGGGATGGTGGTGGAGCTGGGTACTGGGGTGGGCTAGAGGGGCACTGGGAAGTGTCCTACTGGATAGGGCTCCTGCCTGAGCCTCGGTGCCTGCAGAGAGGTGGAAACCACAGTAACACTGACAGAAATAGAAAAGTCCTCAGGACCATCAAGTTTGGAAAGACAGATATTTAGTTCCTATTTTGACACTCCACACTCAAAAATTATTTTTTGAGTGACAGTTTGTTGCGTTTGAGGTGATGGTGAGAGCAGAGCAGGATTTTAGGAGATTTAGAAATCCAAAGCATCAAAAGGGAATAGCGTCCCCGTATATAATTCAAAATAGAAACACCGCTAAACAATGTGTGTAATGGAATCGAACAGGCCTCTGCTTTTTCCAACATGAAAGACTGGATGTAAGTCACTTGAAACTATTTTGGTTTCTCCCTTTCCTGGCCTCTCTGCTTCTCCCTCTCTCTGTGCATCTCTTTGGTTCCCCTGCTTTGTTGATACCTTGACCATCCCTTTAAGCTGCTGCCTGGGTAACTTCACACTATGTAGGGAAAACAGTTCTTAAGGGTTAGAAACACAGAGGTGGAGTTTGGGAAAGAAACAAGAACTACAGACACAGAGATACAGACACAGGCTCATACAAAGAATTTAACAGGAACTCCTGGGAATGGACAAATCCCAGAGTGAGGGGCCAGGGGAGAGAGAAGAGAGAACAGGCCTGAGACATGACAGTTGGACAACGTCCACATTTTTGAGGCTGGAAGAAGGAAGGAGGGTCATTAGAAGAGACAAGAATGGACAGCAACTAGAAAAACATGACAATGAGGAGCTTTTGCACACCCAGGAAACCCATGGAGGAGGGAATTAACTTTGTCAAGTGCTTAGAGAGGGCCAGATGAATAAGAGCTTAAAAAGGACTGTGTTGGTCTGTCAGCTGCTTTCTTCAAAGCCTGAGGAGCTACTGGCAGCTGCCCCAGGTTAGGGAAGGAGTGGGCAGAGAGGGGATGGAGGCAGGAAGGGAATGACAGTCATCGTCCACAGAGTGGTTATTCAAAAGTTGGCTGTAAAATCATTTGTCCATTCTCAAAGTCCACCAAAATCCGTGGAGTGTTGGTAAGAGCCTGACCTGGCCAGGCAGAATGAGCCTGCAGTTGACTAGGGGGGGGGAGGAACAGGGAGGAGGCTGAGAAAGCTCCCAAGTGCTCGCATCCATCTCGGCCCCCTCCTCCCCTATGGGTCCTGCCTGTTGCGTCTATGTTTAGACACAGCTAGCACTAAAATACGTGCTGCCTGGCCCCTGGCAGCTCACGCTGAGCTGCTGGTGGACTTTTATATAGCTCTGAGGCACACAGGAGGGAGCAGATGGGACCTGAGGAACACAGAGCGCTCCATTGCCTGGTGCCGTGAAATTGGGCTGGCCAACAGATGGAGCCTTTGGGAATGGGCTCTGGGGTTGCCTGGCAACCGCTTCTTCCAGGCTGGGCTTCTACGGTTCCAGGAGGCTGGATTTGCTCTCCTCTGCTCACCAATGGCTCAGTCAGGCTCTGTCCAGGAGGAGGAGCGGAGCCCACTGTGACCTGAGTGTTGGTGGAGTGACACCCTCTTGGGGTTCCTTGCCTGGTCTGCGGCAAAGGGTAGCACAGCTCACCTTGAAGCCCATGGTGATAGAGCTCTCCCTGACCCAGTGCTTCAGCTCTAACCTGGTGCTTAATAAATATTTGTGGGGAGGAAGGGCAACAACGGCTCCCTGGAATGGATTGTTAGTACTTTTACTATTTAATGGAGGGTTGAATGGGCAGATTGGAGAGGGTTTTCCATGGCTGATGTTCAGTATGGCCATAGGAACTGTAACAATATTGACACTCTTACCTCCTGTACGATTTACAGCCTCTGCTCTGAGTCCCCAAATGCCCCCGCTAGAGAGGTGGCCCGGTTCTTCCCCCAGGACCCCTTGGACATGCTTAGGACTTAGCAATCAGGCCCTTTATTCCCGCCACAGCAGAGTCCGCTGGGCCTGTGCCGCAGCCTCTTGGCCAGCGTCTGACCTTTGGAGCGGAGGCATCCGTGGTGGCCTTGTTGCTCCACCGTTGGACTATCTCCTTTGGTCCACATGCCAGAGCCAGCAGCCAGGCCCTCTGCTGCCACTGCCCTCATTTCCACAGCCCTCCTTCCCCACTGCTCTGGTTCTCCTGATGAGGCTGACGGCACACAGGCTGAGCCTGGGCTGCAGACAGGGGTGGGGACGGTAGCAGATAGGGCGCAGGGGGTCCGGAAGGGCTGCCACCCTCTCTGGACCCTGGCAGACACATGGGGGAGCTGCGGGGCCCTTCCCCCGCTCCCTGCCTAGAGGGTAGGAGCTGGTGACGCAGCTGCCCCCGGAGGGAAACCCAGTCTCCCAGATTGGGTCAGAACCTCCTGCTTTTATTGCCGCTGAGGGCTCTCGGGCCTTGGCCTTATTTGGTTAAGAAGTCATAAGACAGAGCCTCGAAGAGGGAGCTGAAGGCATGCAGAACATGAACCTGCCCCCACCCCAGGCCTGAAATCCAGCTGAACAACCACTTACATTTTCCTCCTTAAAAGGAGCTGAGTTCCTACCAAGGCCACCCCGGCTTGCTCCTCCTCCACGCATCTCCCGCACCGTCCTCTTTGACCCTATCCCTGCTGGAAACTCCTAATTCAGGCTCTACCACCACGAACCACAACTTCGGACCCGCAGGCTTCTTGCTAGGCCTCCACCTGCAGTCTGACTTCCTCACCTGCCCCATGTACTGAGGCTAAAACAAGCCTTCTCGTCTTCCTCCTGGCTTCCTGACTCTCCTGCTCAAGAATCCATCTGCCTCACCCTGACCCTCAACCTCTGCTTAAACCCAGGCCTCCTCTCCCACCTGCTTCTCCCATTCCCAAAGCAACAAGGGCTTCTCCCCTTCCTGCTTTCCTTGACTTCCTTCCATCCTGCAAAGTCCATTGGCTTCCAGACGAGGGGCAAGGTGGGCAAGGAGGAAGCTGTGGGGGAGGCCAAAGGGGGTGGGGCGAGGTCAGAGCTCCAGCTTCCTGGGGAGAAATAAAGCAGGCCCTCCCGCATTACCTGAGTGGGGCAGGAGATGGCTACATCTGCTGTCAGGTCCAGGGTATCCGTTTTCCTTCCTAGCGGCTCAAGCTGATTGGGAAAGAACAAAGACACAGGTGTGCTCATTGGTTTCCATGGAAGTGAACATCCCCAGGCAGCAGGCTGCCATGGGAAAGCTCCAAACACGATTTCAGGGGCCTTGGCCTCCACCCCTGACTCTGCCAGCTGCCAGTTGCAGGGTATTGGGCAAGTCTCTCAGCTTCTCCAGGACTCAGCTTCCTCATAGACTCACAACACAGCAGGACTGTTGAGAAGCTTCCATGAGGTAACATGGCTTAAGCTGCCTGGCATAGGGGCGCACAGAGAATGTTGACTACGTGAGGGGTCTGCCTTGCATTCACGCAGAGTCCCTCAGCAGAGGTCAAAGCACAGAGGAGAAGGCATGGTTAATCCTGGGACCTTAGGGCTGTATTTTCAATTCAATAGACATCTACAGATGTGCCAGCCACTGCTCCTCTGCCCCTTGCTGGCAAAGGCAGGCCAAGAACAGTCCATTCTATGGATGCTGGTGCTTTGCTGTAGACTGGAACCCCAGTGGCACCCCACTTAATTTACCATATTGACCCAAAGGGCTCTGGAGAGCTGGGAGTGGAATTTCTGACTCGGGTGGATGCAGTCCGGGGCAAAGAAAGACATATCCGGGCGCCCATCCTGGAGGAGAGAAATAGATTTTTCTCAAGATCCTGTTGGTGCAGAGGGTTAAGAGGGAGCCACAATCATTGACCTGAGCCCTGGTCTTGACCCCTCAACCCCCTCCTTCCCGGAGGTGCTCTGAGCCATTGGACTTTTGCAGGGCTTGCTCACCTCGAGGGAGAGATCAGAGCAACCTCATAAATCAAAAGCCTTGGGTGATCGCAAACCCCCATCCTCCTTTCTGGCTCCACAATTTCCCTTATTTAATAATAAAAATAAAAAGTGCCATATTTCTTTTTAGGCATGCTGGTGTGAGGCCCTAGCCTATCCGTGGCTGAGGGAATATCTAGTCCCTAAGGGAGTCTTGGCCAGCCAACTGGGAAAAGCTACTTCCCAGTCACTGGCCAGGTAGAACTGGTGGTGTTGGTGGGGAGCATGGGGCTGAGCCTCAGGGAAGGCCTGGGCAAAGCCAATGCAGGGCAGCGTGCCACCCTCCTCTTCCTCAGGACTCACAGGGGCGCTAAAAGCCCCTTCCAGTCAGGTGAGGCCCTTAGGATGGCAGCCCAGCTGGATGGAGCCCAGGCCCTACCCCACCCACTTGCAGAGCTCAGCTGCAGCTGCGCAGAGTGGGAGTGTCAGGCGCAGAGCACAGCCAGGCTGCAAATGAACACCCCAAGTCCTCCTTTATGGCTACAGTGTCATGTACATATGGCAGAAAGTGAATCTTCTGGGGCTGACATATTCATATCTTGCCTCTCGGTCCCATATTTCCTGTGTGACTTTAGGAAGGCTGTTGACACCTCTGAGCCTGCGCTCTGTGGGGATGATAAAACTCACCTCAAAAGGCAGTTGTAAAGATTTTACGTCTGGCACGCACAGTGCCTGGCACATAATAGGTGCTCAACACAGCGGAGGCTGAGTGCCCATGCCCGGTTGCCTCTGGGAAGGCAGCTCAGATGTCCGAGGAGGCTGCACCCACCAGACCAGCACCTGCAGAGCCGCCTGAGTCTTTCCCATTTTATCCACACTCTGATGGAAACACGTGGCCCTTCTGCCCCGAACTTCCCTCCCTCTCTGGAAGCCCCATCGGAGAGGGCAGGGACGTACCTCCAGGACGGGGAGACTGATGTTGTAGAAGAAGGGCTGCAGCACCACGGAGAAGTCCTCCCGTGTGTCATAGCGGCCTGACTCCACCAGCTCACGCATGCTGCTCTGGGGACACACCCACAGGTGCCTTCAGCACAGGCCCTAGGTAGCCCGAGAGCCCAGTGGGGCAAGTGTGGGAGTGGTGGGCCGAGCCCCATCCCCCTGGGACATGAGACGGGGTGGGGGGAGTGCTGACTCAGCCCTTCTCTTGAGCAGGCAAACACTCTTGATTGCAAAGCTCTTTCCAGAGAATTGGGAACAGGTTGGGTCACCTTTTTGTTTTGCTTTTATGTGAACTACAAGCTCTGAAGGGCCAGGCTGGAAGTCCCAGAAGGAATGAAATCCTGGGAAGGGTCTCCAGAGAGCCCCCGGCCTGCCTGCTGAGGGGGTGAGGGGCAGGTGGCGTACGGGCAGCTGGACCGTGGGTCCCATGGGGCATCCAAGGCTACTGTCCTCCTCAGGTCAAGCATTAGAGTTAAGGCACTGTGGGCATCAGGGCCATGGCGGCTTTGCTTCCTAGGTTCCTTTGGAATGACTCCAACCATCCGGCTACCTGAGACACCTCAGCCAGGTGGGGCAGAGGAGGGGGCCTGGGTGGTGAAGTTCCCCCTCAAACCCTGAGCGGCTCGGCCCTCCCCTGGGTGCCTCCCCTGGGGGGCTCTGGGCAGGTGTGTTCACTGAGTGGGGGCAGGGGTGCGCCAAGTGGTGCCCTTCTTGGTCTCACCTCGTAGGCTCTGGCGGTGACCTCCAACCTGGCCAGCTCTTGGGAGTTCTCCCGAGGGGTCAGAACGCAGTTACAGAGGATGCTGCACAGAGAGAGGGAGGTAGGAGGGCGAGCTGGCGCTCTGGTCAGGGGCCGGTTCTGTGGCACAGGGCAGCTCCTCTGAGCCTGGGCTCTGGAGCCCATGTATTATGAGGCTCCGATGTGTGTGCTCAGGGGCAGGTTTCAGGCCTGACACGGGGACTGGATAAGCCCCCAAGGGCGCATGGATGAGCACCCTCTCACATTAACGGAGTCCCAGTGCCGGACTGCAGGCGCTGGGCCTGAAGTGAAGTACACTGAACGGATGAGTTTAGGCAATGAAAATGCAATGTTTAATTTTTTTTAAATAAAATAAAAATGCATCTTCGGTTACTGGAGCTGGTATTTGGGGGTCTCCAGTGGCTCATGTCCTTGGACATCTCCTCTGTTGACACAAGTGCCCCACTGTGTCTTCAATTTTGTTATGAATTATTTCATGCCCATAAAATATACTTAATGTTAAAAGAGACATTATCTCTAAAGCACTCAGGCAGTGCCTGGTTCACAGTAAGTTCTGTAAAAGTATTTGTTCAATAAATAAACATACATATAAGGTACAAATAACAATAAAACACACACCTATGTACCCTCTCACCCAGCTTAAGAACCAAAATCCTCCCAATTTGAAGTTCCCTCCCTAATCCACTTCTGCTAAAGGTGACTGGATTGTGTGGGTCATTTCGTCACCTCGGGTTCAGTTGACCATCCCATGCTGTTCCTTCATAGGCTGAGTGACACCGTCTCTCAAGCACGAGCCTTGCCCCAGGCCTGGCCTCACCCCGTGGCTTCCCCCGTATCACAGAGGCTCCTGCTGACCCCTTGAGGTTGGAGAAGGGGTAAGGCATGGCTCCAACTTCCCAGAAAGGGGTGGTTCTGGCACAAGAACCCCTTTCCAGACTTGGACACGTGGACAGACCCAGTCACAAAGACCCCAAGGAGTTACCGCTGCACAAGCTGGAACAGCGGATGAGGGCAGCCAGCACAGCCTACCTGGCCTGCTGCACTGGGCACTTGTCTGGGCTCCCCAGGAACACCTGCCGCATGACGCTGGGGCTCATGAAGTCCACAAGGTTGACCAGGGCTCTGGGCACCTGAGTGCAAGAGCACAGCTGGGAGGGGCCTCCAGGGGCTCCTCCCTCCAGCTGCCTTAGGGCCCTGAGAACACTGGGCTGCCCTAGGACCCTACAGGCCGTGCGCCCCCACGGGCTGCAGTGGGAATGGCACCTCCTGGAATGGGACAGCATGGCAGACCCAAGTCTAAAGGCTGAGAGGCCAGCTCCGTGCAGCCAGCAGTTAGTGAACCCAAATAGTCTAGCTTTAAATGTAGTGGGGTAGATGCCCCCTTGGGCAGGATGTCAGCCCTCGACCATTTGTCGTGAGCCCAGCCTGGACTAACTCTGCTGAGCAGGCCCAGGGACTCGGCTACCCAGAGAACCACCCGGTGGTCAGAGTGCAGGAGTGGCTTTGCTATGCGGGGGGTGGGGACAGAGCTCATTGCTGGGTGCTGAATCAGAGAAGGGCTTGCACTAGATACAATGTGTGGCCTAGCGTGCAGTGCCTGGCCTGGGAGCTGCCCAGCTGCTGCCACCAGGGAGTGTCCCAGGTAATAGTGTGGGGACGATTAGTACACACACTGCTTTTCCTTCCTCAAGCCTGACATCCTTCTGGGCTGATTCCAAATGCAATGAGGCTGCCCCGTGGGTGGGCCCTAACCTCTAGGACGGGTGGGTGCCTTCACCTTCTTTCCCCCTCCCTTTCCCCTGCCGTGCCCGGGCTGCTACCGCCCACCTCTCTGTGCAGGATGTCCAAGGCATTGCGGAGATGGCCAAAGAAGTTGGCTGCAGAATAGAGGTTCTGGAAAGAGACAGGAGGGAGAGGAGGAACTGGTTAGGAGGAGGGGGCCTCGGGGCAGTTGCAGGCCCCCCTCTGGCCTCCAGCTGTCCCCACCTCATCATGTCGGAATCTGAGATGAGCAGTTGCCCACTCGCTGTGATAAAAGCGGGCCAGCCAGAAGACGGGTACTTTCAGCCAGAGCTTAAGGTCAGGAGCTGAAAGCGGCAAGTCCTCCTTCTACTTGCCTGAGGCTTACAGTTTCTTCTCTTTCTGAATTCTCAGGAATTGTAAGGGAGGGAGGTAGAAGCACCATTGATCTGCCACCTGCTACCTTACACCACTGAGACATCAAGGGGGAGCCAGAAACCTGAGGGTCACGGGTAAGAAGCGTGTGCATGCACGCACCCATCGGCCTAGTTGTACAAATCTAGGGTTGACTTTATGGACTGTTTTCAAAGAGGAGCTCCCAGACCTACAGGTCAAAGTCAGGGGTGATGACAGGCCTGCCCGGCCCCTGTTACCGAATCTGTGCAGTAGTCGCATAAGTCACTGCCTCCGATCTGCACCGTGATGACCTTCCAGTCCTCATGGAAATTCACTCTCTACACAGGGGGAGGAAAACACTTCATGATTTCCAACAAACAAGCAAGCAAATAAAAAAATGCCACGGCTCTAGGAAATCCATTTAATGCTCTAAGGCTTCCTTGCTCACTTAAAATAGTAGAATCAGAACCTCAGAGCTGAAAGAATTTGAGAGGTTTCTAGACCACAGAATGTTAGCACCAGGAGAGACTTTCAAGGTCACTGTGATCAGCAACAAACATCTCCCCATTGACACACTCTCCCCTCCAGAAGGTACCCAACGACAGTTACCCTCCCGCCGCTTGAATGCCTCTCCTGACAGGGGGCTCACGGTCTTCATGGCAGACCAACCCACTGGGGACTTTTGTGGGTTAGAAAATTTTCGTTTAAAAGTAACCCTAAATCTGACTCACGTGGTCATCTTTCATCCTCTGTACCAGAGTGTGGACTTGGCTTGCAAGTTCCCTGAAAAGAAGAGGAAATCAGTCCTGTTCAGGAACAGTGCCTGGATTATTCCCCTCAAAGGGCCTGAACTGGAGGTTTTCATGGCCTTAGCCCAACTACATGAGCTGGTAGAGACCCTGAGGCTGAGGGACAAGGAGTTACTTGCTTGTTGCAGAGAGTTATTACCACAAATAACCCTCTGAAAGTCCAATTGTGTGTTTGTCTTAAAGTTGTGATCGAAGGTACAGCCAATTATATCTGTTGCTCATAATCTCCTTTCTAGAACTACTCGTGCAAAGTGTCTTCGAGGATTCCATCTCTGAAGGTCCCTGAAGTTAGATCTGGGACAGCTGTAGCGTGCTTCCTCTTTCTACCTTGGCTGCCAGGAAGCTGAGAATTTGATGCTCAAGCACAGTAACTATAAAAATGCTCAGACAGACAGAGTTGCTTCCTCTCTTTCCCCTCAGTGCCTGTGATTTTTCTCTTAAGTATACACTGTGTGTTTTTTAAAAATAAACTTATTTAAATGCTTCTTTTAGAAAGAGATGGAGAATAAATATTCATTGTACACATGCCTGGGTTTCTAATTCATGGGAGGACTAGGTTTTGGGCACCTGAGCTCCCCAGTCGTCCAGGGCCCTGTTACAGGTCTGGGTGGGATGGATCCACAGCACAGCAGTCTCCTGGGACCCGATAGTGGGTCCATCTGTCCCCAGCTATTTCTATTACCCCGCTGAATGACTGGTTCTGAGGGCCATGCCCATCAACCAGAAGTGTGTGGGCCAGAGCAAGAAGATGACAGCGTGACAGAGGCTCAGACAGCTGGGCCAAAACAAGGGGACCCAGCCTGCTGGGACCTCGAGGAGCAGGATGAGGGGCCTCCATGGGGGATTGTCCTGGGAGGCTGAGCACCTCTGCTTCACTGCTTCTGGCTTCTCAACTGAGCTTCCCGTTAGCTCGACAGCAGGCTGGTGACAGGACATGACTGGCTGCCCCAGTGGCCTCTACGGAAGGAGGTTCTGGCTTGCCCGTCCTTTTGTTTGGCACGTTCTGATCTTTTGGGGGGAATTGCCACTTGTAAGGCTTTGGAGAGAGGGAATCTCTCTAGTGCCATCATGCCATGCTAAGTGTTAAAAACTGGATAAGGCTGGTCAGTTAGTCGAATGATTAGAACATGCTGCACATGAAAGTAAAGTCCAGCCTTTAGGGTCATGACTCTGTCCAAGTCCCAGTTTCTCTGGCTTAGTGACAAGGGTGGCCAGGAAAGGAGTGGCTGAGAGCCTCTCAAATCATTGCTGCAAATGGATGAATGTGCCCTTTGCACACAGAGAGCAGTATTGCAACCTTAAAGGGGCGTGCCTCCCACAGGCCCCCCTCCCCACATGCCGTACTCAGCCTTTGCTCCAGGAACGGCCTGGTTGAGGAACGCATTTGTGCCGTTGGCGCTGCCCGTGCCCAGTGCGTAGCCTGTGAGATATCTGTTAAACTTCCGAAGGATATCTGGAAGAGGAGGGGGTGAACAGGAAACAGAAAGCTTATGACAAAAGGCCAGGGGGCTTTTCTGGCCTGGGGTCCCCACAGTGGGCTGTGTTACTGTCCTCAGGTGGCCGGGGGAGAAGCAGTGGACTGTGTGCCAAGCAGGGGCTGGGGCCTCGCGGAGTCAAAATGACTGGATGACAGGATGGGCCAAGGCAGCAGGGGTCCCAGCTTGCTCCCCCCCAACCAGAGAATTGTGCAGAGAATCCTCACTATCTCATTTGATTATCTCTGCATGCTCTGGGCCAGTGGGAGAGACCTGAGGTTCAGGATGTTCGGTGACCTGCCCTAGGTCACCTGGCAAGCACGTAGAAGGGCCAGAGTTTGACCCCAGGTCTCTGGGCTCCAAATACAAGGTTTATTCTACCCCCCTAAACCACCTATTCATGGGCCTCTCCTTCCATTTCAATGGTGGTCGGAAGGAAGATGCTGCTTCCTCCTTCCTTAGCAGAGGCACTCAAGCCTCGAGCCCCTGGCAGTTACTTACTTGGTAAGGTGGTTACAGTCTCCAGGGAGCCATCTCCTCCTGAGCTGTAGGGAGTAAGCCAGCGAGATTGAATCAGTACATAGGTTTTTAGCTCCTGTAAGAGATGCCAGACCCATCTCCTTGTGTTTGGGGGATTCTGAGAAAATCTGAATTCTCCAGTGGGTTGGTTCCCCCTAAATCCAGGATTTCAAGGCAAAAGAGAGCTGTTTCTTTTCTCCACCAAATCAGGAAGGAGAGTGCTTAGCCAGAATATTCTACATGCCCAGCCAAGAATTCAACACTCTACATTGATCTAGACCAATAGGCCATGGAAATCTCTCTCTCAGACCATTTTAGAGTGTACCATTCTAGGAGAAAAAAAGAGAATTATTCAAATAAATATGGAACAACAAGTTAAGCCCTCGTTTTGATCAGAGCTATGTGAAACATGAAAGAAAACAGATCCATATGAAACAGCTCAGACCTGCCAATTAATGTAATTTGTGGTAATTACACCATGAGCTCAATGGCTGGGCTTTGTTCCTCTGTCGTCACTGTGGAGCAGAGTAACACAGAGGAGATGTTTCATAACATTTGTTCAAGGAGTGTCAGTAATGCAAGGATTGAACTCCTAATTAACAAGACAAAGAAATGCGATTTTTTTTTTTTGGTAAGTAAATTTTATTTTGGTCTTTTGAATGGTGCCAAACAAGACAGTTTATTTCAACTGAGGAAAAGGCAATGCTCTGAAGACTGTTAAGCTATATGATTCTCACAGGCCCAGGGCCCTCGGAAGTCAGCCACACCTCCTCCCGCCCGCCCTGCTCACAGCTACCCACCGCTGGGCCAGCTCCATGAGGTCCGCTCCCTCCACTTCCTCCGCTTTGTATTTTTTTGGAGCAAGAGGCTCAAATCACATTTTTAATTCATTTAGAATCATTCATTGCTGAGCACTTCCAATCTAGAAGCTTTAATGACTTCAGAAAATTGCTTTTCTCAGATTACTCTACTACAGCCATTTTTCAACCTTTTTCACCTCATGGCACACATAAACTAATTACTAATATTCTGTGGCACACCAAAAAAATACATTACATTTTTTGATGATTGGACAAAAAATAAGGTTTAATATTGATTCATTTACACCGAATGGCTATTATTGCGTTGGCTGTTGTCATTTTTTAATCTGACAATCCGAAGGAAAAGAGGTCAGTGTCCCTGACTGCACAGACAGGCGTTGCATGTTTTAAACATTCCTGTAGCACACCGGTTGAAAGTCGCTGCTCTGGTATGTGGACAGTTTCCAGGGGATGCTAATAGGTATATGGACAAAGAAAGTGTTCTGAGATTAAAAGAAACACTAGATTAAACAGATACAATTTAAAAAAAATTCATTGTAGGTATTCTCAGAACCTTTAGTATGCTCACATGCACGTGAATTCCCCAGGGGAAGGATATAGTAAGTAATGTTTCCAAAAAAAAAAAAATACAAATAATTTTGCCCTCTTTAGGAACATGGCTGGGGCCAGTGTTCCATGGAACAAAATTTGGGAAATACTGGTCTATATATTCTACCCTGTGTCAAGCTGTCTCTCAGACTCTGACCCAGAGCTTCCATTTTTAACCTGGGGCAGGTATTTGAAACATTTAGAACAAAGGGTTTAAAGGGACAGCAGCATTAAATATATGAGGCTGAGTATATGAGCCAACGAGTACATAAGACTGAAGCATTAGGCCTCATTGGACCTCACTTGTAGGAAGAGACAGAGCACTGGCTGAATGTTTCCATTGCTGCAGAGAGAGACGTTTAGCAAATTGCCCATTTGCATCTGACTCTCAGAGCCTGTCCGCCCGCTGGAGCTGTGTGTGTAAAGTCGGGATCACCTCCCTTCCCCAGACCACACCACCAGGACCAGCTTCTCCATCGTCGGTTGGCTGGTTGTCTATTTTCTATTTCTCCGAGCTGTGCTGTGAGGCCACTGCCTTGGTTAGCTGGAACTGAACCCAGCCGCCACAACCTCATCCTTGGTCCGCTGTAGGAATGAGCTCTGCTTTCTCTCTGTCTCTCTGTCTCTCTGTCTCTCTCTCTGTCTGTCTCTCTGCCTCTCTCTGTCTCTCTGTCTGTCTGTCTGTCTGTCTGTCTCTCTCTCTCTGGCTTCTCTCTTGTAGCCTCAGTAGCATTTGGGGAAGAGTGGTCAGGAGGGCAGGCTCTGTTTTGCTCTGAGGCAGCCTGTTCAAGACCACCTACCTGGCCGAGGTATGTGGAAACCTAGGGACAGCAGGGGCTTAGAGGCCCGTACCCCAGCTCTCAGGGGGGGATGTGCCCACCTGCCCATGCCCTGGATCCTCTCTGTGGACACCTCTGGAGGGAGGATACCTCTCTCACCCAGGAAAACCTTTCTCTCTGAAACCGTCCTCAGAGTTTACCAGAAAACTGTCACAATTCTAGTCGTCCCCAGCGTTCCCTCTCACTTTCTCGGAAGAAACATTTCATTTGAATTCACGCTGAAGAAAAGGGAGGAGGTTTCTCATTAGCACTCTGCCCTCTAGTGGCTGGTTTTGTTCTAGGCGTTTTAATGCTGAGCTAATTGCCAGTCACTGTGAGGCGTATGTAAATACGAGCTTTATTAGGAAAGAAACTTAAGAATTCAACCGCTCACCTGACACCTTGTATCTGGAATGTTCTTTCTCACCCTTTCCACGACCTAATTGCTGTTCTGTCAAGACATCACGGGGCTACCACCTTCGCTGGGAAGCCAGGCTTGGCCATTCCCCCTTCTACGTCCCTGTGGCACTCAGGCATTTTTTACTTCTACCCAGCACTTGCCCAATGAACAGAAGCATTTGCCTGTGCTTCCCATACCTTCCCCTCATTCAATGTCTGCTGGTTGTGAGTTTGTCTTGGTTATTTCCTCCTGACATGTGTTGCATTGTGGAGTTTTCTGTACCGAGGTGTACATACATATAAAGGCAGAGGTGTGACTACAGACTGACACGAACGGATACATATAGACAGGAAACAGAGACGTATACATGCAAACGGGCAGGTGAAGACTCAGGGATTTGGTGCTTTTCGGGTGCATTTCATGTTGGATTTGCTGACTCAGGAGTCTAAGAACCCTGGTTTGTCTTCTCTGTACAATTTAAAAAAAAGAAAAAGAAAAAGAAGAAAAAAAGGTCATCAATAGTAAAAGACCCTCTCCACTCACCACACTGTCACATTTTGCAGACGTAACATAGGTTTTTCTTTTGAAAGCCCCTTCCAGACTGGATCCTTGCTCTCTGTTATTTATGGATTTACAGGAGACAAACCCCCACCCAAGCTCTGGGGGTGAACATGGGATGGGAAGGGGTGAAGTATTATCATTACCTGTATGACAGCCCCCGATATTGAGTGGTGACATCAGGAAGGTCGCCTGGTTTGGAGCCAATTCCACTGCCAGCCTTTGAAAACATACCAAAATCCACAGGAAGATCAGCAAGTCAGAGAAAACGGAGGCTGCCGAGGTGCAGGGCGCCTGCAGGTGGCTCCCAGCGCACCGTGCGCCCGAGCAGAACACTGGGCCGGGAGTCAGGGGACCTGGGCTCGCCTCCTGCAGATCGCAGCTGGCTCCTGACTGCACTGAGGACAAGGCCTTGCTTACCTCACAGGGCTCTCTGGATGACCAAAGAGGATCAGAGTTGTCAAATGGTTTGAAAGACTCTAAAGAGCTTTACTAATGGGAGACACTGTTATATTATTACTATCAGCCTCATGAGCCTCAGTTCTTCACAAGCAATGAAGAAAGAGCTCATAGATTTGAGTGGACTGCCTTGGGCAGATTTCTCTCAAACCTTACGTTCCTCTTCTTTCCCGCTGGGACAGCCCGCAAGGCTCCCGCAAGGCTCCCGCAAGGCTTTAGAAGTGCTGCCAGAAAGCTGTCCTCTGGGGCGGTGAAGAGCCCTGCTCCTCAGAACTGAGGAGCCCAGCTTTAGCTACAGCTCCGGAGCCTTTGCTACTTCCCATGCAAAGAGGAAACAGATGTGGGGCGGGGGGTGGGGAGGTGGTCTGAGCTGCTTGGAAAACATCATCCACAGGGAAAAGAGCACCCACACAGATAGGTGTAGAAGATTTTTTGAGTCAATATGATGGGTTTTTGCAATTGTTAAATAAGTGTTGTTAAGAGTTCAAAACCTCCACTATAATTCAGTTCACGCCTGAGAAAGACTTCCCTTTGCACAGCTGACTGAGAAAGTAGCGGCAAAACGAACCACTGCCATGTTCATGGACGGGCAAGGCCAGGAGGTGGGGGCGGAGCATAATGCAGGGGCCAGGAGTGCGGGCCCTGGAACGGGAGGACTCGGGGCTGGGACTGACACAGCCGCCCGCACCCCACCTGGGGCCCCGGTGTCCTTACGGTCAGAGAATCCCCCAGAGCAGCCACAACTTGGATATCCGCAGGTCTCAGGGCGTGCACTGGAGAGACAAGGGGACACGCGTGAGTGTGCGGGGAGGAAGCTGCAGTCAGAGTCTAGTGCTCCTTTAAACAAGATCAGAACACCATTCGCCTGTGTGTTTGGGCCACGTGGGACTGAGCGTCTGTGGTGCTCTGGAGGCAGAGGTTACATTGACAAATTTTCCCTATAAGAGACACAATAAAGGAATCCTGGACCTATGGGGAGAGAAGGGTGCTGAGAGAGAGGGAAAAGGAAAGGGGATGGATAAATGGCGGGGGGCGGGGGGGAAGGGACGGCATGGCGGGATCCCACCACTGCAGTGCCGGCAGTCGTGTGGCATGCCGGCTGTGACCTGAATGAAGAACCAGATGGCACTGGACCATCTGAGATGAGGTTCAGGGCCTGACGCACAGCCCATTTAGGGCTGGGTTCTGGACTTCCATCAAGACTCTGAGACATAATCATACCAGGCCTTTCTGGGCCCTCAAGTGTCTCCAAGACTCCAGGAAGTTTCCAGCCCTGCAGGTGCAGGCAGGGGTTGCAGAGCCAGGAGCCCCAAGACAGCCCGAAGAGCTGGCTCCCCCTTGGGACTCCCTTGGCACCCGATGCCCACCTCTGGGCCTCATGACCACAGGGCTAGGTCCCTGGAAGGGGAGCTCATGTGGCTCCGCCACTGTGCTCCCTTTAAGGGACAAAAAGTTCCTGGCCTGGCCACCTTGATGCCTGCCAGATAAGACATCTCTACAGGGCAGAGGGGACAAATCGGGGACTTGTCCCAGGTGGCCTCCCAGTCAGGAAGCAAACAATGGCCATAACTGCACCTTTGAGTTACATGTGAAAATTTTGTCAGAACATTCAAGGGCTTCTGAGGCCTTGTGCAGAGATCCTGCATCCCGATGGGTCCCACAGAGCTCACCTGAGGTGGGCAGCGAGGCAGAAGGGGCTCTGTCCCTGCACAGCAGGTGGCTCCCGTGACCCTAAGGGCGTAGAATGAATCTCAGGGGTGAAAGGGATCAGAGACTGGCTGAGTGTCAGACACGTAGAGACCTTAACAAACACAGGCTCCTGCATACACTGCACTCCACCCCCCACACTGGGAGAAGAGCCTAGAAGGGCATTTGAAGAAGGTCCCCTAGGCAATGCTGAACTTAGTCACCTGAGATCTGCTAATGTAGTTCAGACTCTTCCACCTTCTAATGAATCAAGGCATTAACAAAACCACCCACCCCACCCCATCCCTGCTTCCATAATGGCTTTATGGGGAGGGTAGGATCTTCACCTATGTCTTTACTGAAGCTGAGACTTGATTGGCTGGGCCCATTCTGGGCTGTTATTGGTGGAGCTTACTCTGCCCTCCACCCTGTCTGAAGTGTAGGTGGATGGACTTTATGAAAGAGTGTGAACCCCTTTGTTCTCACCCGCCCTGTTGGGCCAGTCCCTGCTCAGGGGCTGCCCACTGCATAGGCTGTCGAGAGGAAAGAAAGCAACAGGTAGATACCTGCACGCTGTTCTTGTAGGTGCTCAGGAACGGCCAGTTCTGTGAGAAGAGGGGGGTTAGAAGCCACAATGAATTGAGTTCGCCTCCTGAGTTGCTTTCTGTTCATCCACCCACAAGAGGTGCTGACCTCAGCACAAACACTGTAAACATCTTCGGCCTCCCTGCTCCACGTCGCAAGCCCGTCCCCACCAGGCTGACCCTGGGGGCTCTTTCCCAGGATGCACTGGGGCCTGCTCTGCAACACGGACCCAACCGGAACCCACAGGAGCAGTGAGAATAAACCCTGCAGTGGCTCCCAGGAATGGCCATGTCTGCTCTTCACCTCCTATGCAGTTGGCTGGGTGGCTGTGTCCCCTTTTTCTCAACCCTGCCCCCTGCCAACAGAGCACCACTTTCTGCTAAGACAAGCCCCTGTCCCTACTCCCCCTTGCCACCCCATGCCACTCCTACCCTACAGCAGCCTGGGCTCCTTCCTGCCCAGGCAAGAAAAGACAGGCTCTCTGAGGTCCTGCCTCAGGCAAGCCCAGCTCAGTGGGACCCCACTGGGAATACAAGGAGCGCACAGAGGGGAGGGGGCAGCCGCAGAGGTCCAAGAATCTTTCAACCACACGTGGGTGAATGGGGGGTGGAGGGGTGTTTGATCGGCTTTGCCTTCCTGGTTAATGTCTGCTTTCCTAGCTCCAGCTTCCAAATGACCACCCCTGCTTCCATCCCTGTCCTCGCAGATATTATTCTGGGTCTCTGTTCCTCACTCTTCCCATTGTGCCATGCAGACAGCCACATGGAGTGTCCTTCTGTCCCTTCCTGCCCCCGATGCTGTCCCCACTCTCTAGCCTTCCAAATGAGGGCTGGATGGTAGTACCACGTTCCTCTTTCCAACTGGAAAGAGCTGCCCGTAGCCTAGACTAGTGCTAGGGCTTGCTGTGACAGGAAGAGATGGAGGAGTGCCCGAGGGCCTCCTGGCCACCAGGGACTATCATCCATCACAGTCCAACCAGACTGGACATTGTGGATGGTTAACTGGAGTCTGGAATGAGCGAGCCGGTGAACACAGCTGGGCATGAGGGAGAGACCCTGGTATGCAATGAACTGAGAAGCCTTAATGAGACTTCAAAAGGCTGGAAAAGATGCTTTACATGGAGCCATTGCAAGGATGTGTTTTCCACTCTACCTCGTTCGGACACGTGATATTGATCTTGCTTTGAAAATCACGCTGTGTTGTCTTCTGGCCGACAGGTTCCAGCTAAACCAAGAAGCAGGAAGATGGGGAGTGAGAAAGAGGAGGCAAGAGTGGAAAGGCCAGGCTGTGGGTCAGGGCTGGAGAAGGGAGGGAGGGGCAAAGGAAATGAGATTTATTATCATTGCTGTGCCGGGACTCACACAGCCTGAGTGATGGGCCCCTGAGGTCCAGCCAAGGCTTTCTGCAGTCTTTTTCTTATCAGAGGAAGGCAAATGTTTCCCACCTTGATCGTCTTACCATATTGTTCCAGAGACCACTGGCTGCCTGGGCATGACTTTTTCTGCTGAAGTGGAAACAGTCAGGAGCAAAGAAAGAGCTGTCAGGCAACCCCTCCTGGTCACAGGACAGACAAGAGGGGCCGTGTTAGGAGATGTCAGGTAATGAGATGACACTCAGAGACCGGTGGGCACTACCTGCACCCCCCTTTATCTATGATGCTTGCTTTACTGACCGAGGTCTTCGGCATGTCCACTTTTTCAAAGAACGGCTGCACAACCACCGTAAAATCCTCCCTCGTGTCGTATCGCCCGCTCTCAACCAGCCGGTGGGTCCCCTCCTGCAGGGGGCGAATGGGACGAGGGTCAGGCTCTCCACACCTGCTTGACCTTTATGCCATCTCTCTCTCTCTGCCATAGAATTAGACAGAGTCTGACCTCGGAGTGACACCAATCTGCAGCAAAATCTCAACTGATTAGGAGCCAGCTACTGACTTTTTAAAGCAGTGTTTATCGCAACCTCTGTCCCCAACTTCTGCTGCCATTGCATGCATTTGACTGAGACTGTGAAAAAAGGAATGTAAGGAAAACCCAAAGCTCATCTTTAAAGGGGCTTGATCCCCTTTAAAGCTCCTGATAAAAAATTTGGGGGAGGGGGCAAGTATTTGATTAAATGACGTGTTTGGATTATTCTTACATTTTCTTTTTTCTGTACTACATATATTCAGAAAATCCAAGGTGAATCACTGACGACACTTAAGGCCCATCATAGCGTTTGCATATGGCCTGCGTGTGTGCGCGCACGGGGGCTCCCGTGCCTGCTCACTCTGGAGACTCTCGGATCTGACAGGGAGCCTAATGAAGCTGTCACGCTCACAGCTTCCACTTGGGCTCAGTTCCAGGAGGACCAATGAACCCAGTTCTGGCCCCCACTTGTGCCAGACCGCCATCTCACCGCTCGCCAGGTTCACACCATCGGGGGCCAAAGCCCTGGCTGGAGAGGGAAGCCAGGCGCGCAGATCTGAGAACATTAGTGTGGCCACTTGAAAAGGTACCATACACTTTTCTTTGCCCAGAGTCAGCCAGAAAGGGGGCCCCTATACTGGAGACACCTCAGTTTTGACCTCACAGGGGAGTCTCCTCATTACCTTCCTGGTTAATAGCAGAGCCGTTAATAAGGCAGAAGGTGCAATGCTACTAACTGTGTGACAAGATGCTTTCCCGCTCTGGAGCTCTATTTGGCAAGACCTGGGCCATCCCTTAAATCCTTTCCAATGCTACTGGTTACTCCACGGACCAACCACAACGGCTCCTAGCGGTACCATCTGTCTCTTGAGAAATGAAAGAAATAGTGTCTAGAATGCCTGGCACAGGATGGTACTAAGAGCAATGATCATCTCCAGGGAGGATGATGGGAACTGTAGCTTTGGCAGGAAGTGGGGAGTGAGGATTCGGAGAGAGGGCACGGTGGCCTCAGGTGGCTGAGCTGTGAGCTTCTCCAGGATGCTAAGTCAGGGTCTCAGTGGCACCCAGATCAGGCCTGGGAACAGCTGGCCAATCTAGAAAGGTGAGTGAAGTCAATTTTGGTGAATAGTTTTTCCTTTTGTCTACCCAGCATCTGAACCTACTTCCTGTTTGGAAAAACTTCACTGTATGAAGAGCAGCCTGACTCTCCCTGTAGCAGGTGAGAAAGACAAATGCTGGCTTTCTTAATGCCCCTCACAACGAGGGTGTGGGCACGTGCCGAGGGTCTCCAGTGAATGTTCCTGCTTGGGGCTGGACACTAGCAGTAGGAAGATGCAGGGACAGAACAAACTCCATTCTGCTGAGGGTGGCAGCTGCGTCGTAGACTAGGTCTTTGGTCTAATTCTGATTCTTATGGCTTGATTCCTAAAATTTCATGATTCTAGTGGCTTGGCCTCTGACCCTAGCTTTCTAGCTCTTCCAGATATTGTGCTTAAATAATAAACCTGCTTAAATAAACCAGAATTGCATATGCTTTTGTTGCTTGCACTGAAGCAGCCCACCTGGAACGGGTTAGCTCTCATGGCCCCAGCTGCCTTCCCTGTCCTGGCGCGGGCCATGGGGGCACAGGCGCCTGCGCACAGAGAAGGCCATGCAGCTGGGGAGGCACCCAGAGTGCTGGGCAGTGGGGTCAGAGCATGAAAAAGAGAGGTTCATTCTCCCGAGCCCTAATACCCCCGGCAGGTATGGCTGCCCCCGGAAGAGTCTGCTGAGAACGGGTTCTGCCCTAAGGAGTCCTTGGACCTGAAGGGTGAATACACCCTGGAAGTTGTTTGCAATCCATTCTAGAAGGGCCAGAAGGCTACTACTGTCCTCTTGGCTGACTGGACAATTATTTAGGGGGAAACTCAAGAGAGAGTCAAGGGAGTCAGCTGCTCTGGTCAAAGCTTTGGTGGAGAAAGGCCTGACAGGCACAACCCACGGGAGGGTTGGAGAACACCCGCTGACTTCCTCCTCCCGCTGCCCAGTAACACCTCTTCCCCTGGGGGGAGGACAGAGGGGATGCATGTCACCTCATGGAACCATGCGGACTCTCTTGGGTGGAAAGGCTTCCCAGCAGGAGTCGGGCTCATATGCATTCCCAGTGGAGAACTAAGAATCTTGTTTCTGTGTAAGGTCAGGAGCTGAGTCTTGGTAAAGCGTGTTCAGCGACCTGGCTTTATAGCTTGATTCGAAAAAAAGGAACCACAGTCCCTGCCGCCTTAAGGGGTGTCATCAAATCTGCAAACTGGTCAGAGGCGATCTCCCATCCAGTGGGGGTCAAAAAATGTAGGCATGTGCTCATTTTCCAACCAGAGCAACCAAGTCACACAGCGGTTTCTGTGCAGCCTGTTCCTGCCTTACCTGATACTTCTTATTCAGTTCAACGAGGGCGGCAAGTTCCGTTGAGTTATCAGGCAGCGTCAGGACACAGGGACACAAGTTCCTGCAGACCAAACAGAAGAGATGCCCCACCCCACCCAAATCACTGTCTGATTGCGTGATGCACAAATGGTGGCATGAGATTCAGATTCTATTTCACTTGGAGGTGTCAGGAGTCTGTGCTAACGGGGGCCCTGGCTGGCTAACCTGTCAGTGGTACCAGATGAAGCCGAAGAAAATTTCCCAGACCTGCATTGGCTCATGAAAATGAAATAGTTACTTCTCTCACATCTGCAGTTGGCGCCTTTTTGGAGCTGAGCTACCCTGGGTCTGTCTGAAGAACTGAAAGGTGGAGGTCAGGCACGCCTCCTTTTAAATGACAGTAGTGACAATGATGATAATAAGAATGGCTAACATATAGTGAATGCTTACTGTGCCAAGAGTTTTATGGGTATCAACCTGTTTGATCCTCTTTTGCCATTCTAGAAGTTGTATTATCATTACCCCCATTTTATAGTTGAGAAAGCTGAGGCTCGGTGTGGTCATTATCTCAAGGTCACATGGAAGTTAAGTGTAGAAGCCAGAACTTGAACTCAAGTCTGCCTGGGATGAACCTGAGCTCTCAATCCCTGGTTAAACCACTTCTGTCCAGTCTGTCGTTCTGATCTGGACGGCCGTCTTGCAAATCCAGGCTTTTGGTCCGGGGTGATAAAGGGTAATAGTGGGGATGGCTCGGGGTAGACTCAGCCCCACCAAGGAAAGAACCCCCACCGAGACGAAGGACAGAGAGGCAGGGAGGGCAGCGCACAGGAGAGGTGGTGGGACCAGGTGACCTTGAGCCTGCCTAACCATGGTCAGTGGCTTGGCCGTTGCAGGTCTGAGAAGCAGCGTGGTAAGTGCCTGCTCTAAGCCTTTAGCTATCATTGTCTAACAACCCTACCGTGATGGGTAGCAAGAGACTTTTGGGTGAGCTGCTCTGAAATGGAATGAAAACACTGAACCCCGCGTGGCCCAGAGATTGGAGAAAGTGGGAGCCGGGGGATGAGTCAGCAGCTGAAAATAGGATGCCTGACACCAGCTGCTCTAACAGGCATGTGTCATCCAGCAGCCTTCCTCCTGCTCTCAGCACCCGCGGGCCTCCCGAGGGGACCCGCGCAGTCGGGGCCCCCAGGTGAGGTTTCGCATGGATTTTCAGGGGAGCAGCCAAGATACCCCTTTGTTTCAAAGAGCAAATCTGGCCCTTGTGAATTATTCATTCAGCCCTTCAGCCAACAGCCGCTGAGCCCCTGTGCTGTGCTAGCAGTGACTCAGACACAGAGTTCGGGGCTGTGGGGGAGAAGCACATGAATAATTACCATGTGATATGCTTGGGGATATGGTGTGTGTGTGGGGAGGGTGGTACAGAGCTGGGGGGGGGCGCGGGGGAGGGGAGGATGGGCACAGCAACCATGACCTCAGCTAATGGTCCAGAAGAGGTCTGCAGGAAGCAATGCTGTGTGAATGTTCATGCTCAGGTTAGAAAGACATCTTAATCCTGACGGTCATGAAGATGCGCAGTACTAGAGAGGGAGCCACCTGTGTTTGGCTCTGGAGACTGGGGATGAAGAAGGCCTTCCGGGGGCTGTCCCAGGACAAGGCTCTTTGTTCTCTGGGGAAGACTCTGTGCTCTAGACCTTCCTGGTTCTGATATGACCACCTTCTCTTCTACCAAGCAACTAGAGCCCTACATTTGTGAATGCCCAGCCTGGAGCATCATGTCAAAGAGAGTCTCCCTCTGTTCTGGACGTGAGTCCCTAGGCGTGGGGGGAAGCACTGAACACACTTAAACGTAGGCCCTAGCAGCGGTGAGGCAGCCTGGCCCAACCAGGCTCCCTGCCCCGCTGTCCCTCATGCTGGTCTCTTCCCTCCCTGAGGCACTGAAGGGTGTCCTGAGCTACCATGACAATAGAAGCCCGTGTGGGTTGTAGATGCACACTCTAAGGGGAGCGAGGGTCTCTGATGGGGTCATGAAAGTCTCCTCCATTCAACCTTGTCAGGTGACAAAACAGGGCAGTCTCTACCCTCCTCCCGCTTCTGCCCTTGGGTTTTCTAACTCCTCAAAGCCAACTTTCTGATAAGGGCCCTATGGCCCCTTTGGGAAGGGGAAAAGCTTGCCTGAGGATCAGCCTTGGGCAGTTGACTTTCTTCTCATTGTACAGTTCCCTCAGGGCGATGATCTCCAACACCTTCACCAGGTTTACAAACGCCCGGGGAACCTGAGCAAAGGCAAGGCCAGTCACCGACAGGACGGGGCAGTTGCTCCTGCTGGGTGTCGGGCCTGGGGCCTTCCGTCTGGCCCCATCCACTTCCCACATCCCTGCCCCTCCCACCTCCGCTGCCCCTCCCGTCCCCATGAGCACCAGTGCGTTCAGGCCACTGGGACCAGGACTGACGGTGTGGTCATGCTGGTCTCCAGGTAAAGGGGACCTGGCAAGGAGGTCTCAGCCAGAAGCCAGAGCCCCCTCCAGGCTGGGTCTGAGGCCCGAGGAAAACCGTGGTTGAGCTGCACAGAGGCCACGTGCCCCAGCCTCTGTACCTCAGCATGGAGGATGTCCAGAGCTTTCCGAATGTTGTCCGTGAAGTTCTGGGGAGAATAGCGGGCCTGCAGGAAGAGGAAACATTGATCTCACACCATTTGTCACCCAATCCCTACGCAGACCAGGGCCGCTTCTTCTCTTGCCTCCCCTCCTCCCTGTGTTTCAGCCAGAATGCACAAGCCTGAAACACAGGTTTGCCTTGGGGCCCCCAGCCTCCAAGCCACCTCCACAGGCCTCAGGCTTATCATGGCTGTGACCCCTTTCTTCTGCAGGAGAGACGCCCTTTCGCCTGTGTGGAGCCATGGAAAGCTCCGGGTCCACTTCTGTCAACTAGACATAGGGTCCTAGCTATGTGCATGTCACATTCTGGGGTCCTCTGAAATGGGGTCCTGGAGCAGGGAACCTCTGAGGTCTCCTGCAGCTTGAACGTCCTCTGGGCTGAGCCTTGGTTTCTTCTGCTCAGAGCCTCAGGTGCCCACAGCCCAGGCACATCACTTAAGGAGACAATGGAGGGGAACAGGGCCCCGGGGGACCCCTCTCCCAAGGCTAAACACACTTTAATGGTTACTTCTCTTGATTTTGATACTTGCGGTTCTTCAACTTTTTAAAAAAACAGTGGAACCCTTTCTGAATGAAATCCAACCAAGAGCTCTGCTCTACCAAACAAATCCACGTTGCAGGGATGTGGGGGAGGACCCCCGACCCCACCTTGGGCCCCGGGCTCCCCTGTGGGCCTCTCACATCATAGCTTGAAACCTCCACACCTGGGTGACTTTGAGGCCAGGAAAGGAGGGGTCTCGGGAGCGGGGTCGCTCCTCAGGGCAGCGGCTCCCAGGCCACGGCAAGACTCTCCACGCCCTAAATTTCGCTCAGCTGGTCCCTTTTCTGCCTGACAAATGTTCTAGACTTCAAGTCCAAGTTGGAAAGCCTCCTGCTCTGTGTAAACTTCTGACACAGAAATTCTGCCTTCAGACCTCTGGGTGCACCCACAGACCCACGTCGCGGCGTTCTCTTCATCGTGTTACAGTCAACTGTCTGTGTCACCCCCACCCCCGCCCCCGCCCCCGACGGGGTGAGTGTCGTGAGGACACAGCCTGTGCTTCACGTGTCGGCCTAGCTCCTAGGACAATGCCCGGCATATAATACATGCCCAGCAAATGATACTAGACATTAAAAAAAAAAAATCCTGTTTATCAGAAAACACTGTCACCAAACTAAATGGAAGACAACAAATAGGCAACATATTTGACAAAGGGTTTTTATAAATCAATAATGAAAAGATAAACACCTTAATTGAAAATGGCCCACTGTACTTGAACAACAATAAAAAAAAGAGAAAAAAAAAGAAGAAAATGGCCAATAGGCATAATATAGAAGTTATCAAAAGGAAAGAGTCAAACAAGGGAAATAAAAGTTCATTCCTACCTAGAAAGTAAATAAAGGCAAAATTTGAAAACAGGGTTCAATTTTTTTTCATTTATCAGATTAGCAGTTATTAAATAATATGAATTGCCAGTTGGAATGTGGAGAAATAGGCATAATTATTATAAACATTCCAGGAATAGTTTGGCAATATGTATCTAAAGCATTAAAAATGTGCAGAGTCACCAAAAAATAAGATGGTTGGATAGATATGTGTTAATATAGCACAATATTAACAACTGTAAAATCTAGGTAGTGGGTATACGGGCACTTACTATACAAGTCTTTCAATTTCCCAGTATGTTTGCAAATAAGACATTGGAGAGAGTATACAGATATTTTTGCTTATAAAATGGTTTACTACCTAGAACATATACCAGGAAACAGTTGTGGATGTACATAAAGATGGTTGTTTATCCAGGTGTTACTTTATTATAGGTATAATTAGAAGTAATGTAAGTTAAATACCCAATAATTGGGAACAGCTAAGTAAATGATGGCCAATCTACATTATGGACTGCCATATAGCCATTAAGAATTATTTTTAGAAAAATAAATATTGACACAGGAATATCTGCCCAATGTGTAGCTATTGAAAAAGAGCAGGTTACCAAACAATATTTTTGAGATGATACCATTTTTAGAAAATAATAAAGCATTTTCTCCATATTCACAGAAAATGCTAAAGACATTTACCAAAGTGTTAATAATGGCATTTCTGGCTGTTGTAATTTGGTTACAGAGAATATTTTTTTCTCTGTGTTTTGATGTTTCCTGTGTGTACTACTTGCACAATTTAAAAAAAAGAAACAACTATCTTAAAAAAAAAGTCAGCTGGGTTGAATATAGAAGAGGCATCCCCAGCATAGGCAGCTTTGGGCTTAACACAAAGAAACACCACAGAACAAATTACACCCACTGAGATTACTAGTTAGGGCTACGTTGCCAATTAAAGAGCTGCCCACCAATGGAAATGTTCGACAAGTGAACTCTACGGAAGGCATTTTTGCTCTGGGCGGAGACTGGCCGGGAGGGCTGGCGGGCTGTCTTCCAGCTCACAGAACCTGGGATTCCAGGAAAAGGCGCCATACCCCCAGGGCAGCAGCCTGGCTCCGGGGTCCCCATTGGCCTGGGACGCCTGGGCTCTGACCTCCGCCTCTGCGCCTGAGGGCCAGCTGCGTGAGAAAATTGACCTTCCCATAGAAGTAGCAGCACGAAGGCAGGGATGGCGAGGCAGTCCAATGCCAGAGAAAGGAGCTGACTTATAATCAGCTATGAAGATACGCCAGACTTTCTGAGATCATTGGAATGTGATCATGGATTCTAGAATTATATGCTCAGGCTCCCTTGTTAGAAAACCTAATCAGGATTAATCTCATCATTGGTCCTGCTTGTCCTGTGGAGGCTTTCCCTGGATGCGAATGCCCTCCTGGTCTTGAGGTTAATCCCAGGTTGGATCCATGCTGGACCACAAGCCCCAAGTCCCAACCACGCTGCACTGATCTGGGAACCTGGGGCAGAAATTCTTCCCTGGGACCTACCGGGTCATTGCAGAAATCACAGAGGTCATTGCCTCCGATAAACATGGTTATTATCTTCCAATCTTCCTGAAAATTTATGTTCTGAAATGAATAGAAAACAAACAAGTGAGTGTCTTACCCCAAGGTCAAGTCAAGGAAAATACAAAATGCTGACCACTGGCAGGAATGGGTCCTCACACACCACATGTTTAGAGGACATCATCACTTTTTTTTTTTTTTTTTAGAGGTAAACTCTCTGGACTTCTTTGTGGCCCTGTCCTCCCCCAAGGCTACTCCTTCTGTCTCCATGGAGTTCTCCTGCCTCACCCCTATTCTGGGAGTCCTACCCCAGTGGCTCCAGGTGGCACTGCCCCCAGACTTACCATCGTGTTGTTCTTCATCAGATCTACCAGCCTCCTGGCCTGAACAGGTAGATCCCTGTGGGCAGACACAGGAAGAAGCCACATGAGGAGCAGGGACTGTGAAGCCAGGCTGGGAGGGGGCTTAGCAGAGAGAACAGGAATAAAATACGTGGCAGGAAAGTGGGACTGAAGGCCAGACTCCTGTCACAGAGCTGGAGCAGGGGTGGGGAGTCACCCCTGTGCGGTGGGACGAGCAGAACCCTCCATACGCCAGGAGGCAACTGCCAGGGGAATTGTGTCCTGATTGGCGTCTTTGATCACCTGCTTTCCATTCTCTCCCATGCCAGGCTCAGTCAGGGCAAACAGAAGGCTCCATGGGAGTGTTTCATGTCACGCATGGCTCACGCCATCACTTCGGCCGCAAGGGGCCCTCACCCTCCAGGGGACATAGTTGAGCCAGACATACTTGAGTTTCACATTCAGTTACCTCTTGCTCACTGTGGGAATGTGATTTAAGTTCCCAGTCCAAAAAGACTACAAACATGGAGAAAATCCCCAGTCTTAGAGGGTCCTTGGGAGCAGTGCGTGAGATGGGCAAAGCAGCCCTGTGGAGCAAGAGCCCTTACTGAAGTTGCCGGACAGCACGGGTTTGAATCCTGGTTCCACCACTGACCAGCTCCGAGACCTTGGCAAAGTGCTTAACCTTGCCAGCCCTCCGTTTTTCCCTATGTAAGATGGGGGTGGTGAGCACAGCTTCTTCACAGAGTTGTTGGGAAGATTAAATAAGGTGCCCATAAGGAACGTAGAACAACACATGGTCAGGATCCATACTGTAAATAAGCCGTTGGATTATTTGTGCCACCATCACCACCCTTATCATCAAGTCGGCCTCTGGTACAGTGGCCAGCAGGAACCGTTGGCCGCCATCCTCTTCCTCTCAACTGTCAGCCCAACTGGCCTGGTCTTAGTCACAGTAGGCTAGGAATCAGCTAACCTGGCTGGGAATTCTGAGTAAGCCACATCACCTCTTCAAGCCTCGGTTTCCTCATCTGAAAAGCAGAAGTTGTCAGAGCAGCTGCTTTTTCTATGGACCTGAGTTTTGGGTTGACTCATTGACCTCTCTGTATCACTAGTACCATCATTAAGAAAACATGGGTACCTGACCCTCTGCTTTGTCCACCTAACAGTTACTGCGTCGAACACAAGGAATAATGGAACAAAGGTACTTCGTAACTTGTACATTGCTGAATACCATGTATGATAATAACATGAAGCATTATTATCAAGCCTGGGATAAAGCCTGCAGGACACAAAGCCAACAGGCCATGTGGTTGAGTTGATGTGTCTGTTCAGGCCACTTTGCTTCTTTGTGCTTCCGTTTCTGTGATATGGGAATGATAGCTTCTAACCCTGCCCTACAACTCAGGATGTGTTGGACAAATGGATTACTTGCACGAAAGAGCCCCAAGGCCTCTGGGGAAGCAGGGAAGAAATCCAGGGCCATATGAATCACACTCCGTTTTGGTTACTTTTATGACTCAGGTTTCCTTCTGGGATGTCTTCCTGACCTAGTCATGCTTAGAACTGCCTCTCCTTTTACTCCACCAGCTGATGTGTACTTGGAAAAAAGCAAAATTATGCTAATGCTAAAGCAAGGCAAAAATTTAAAGCAGTAAAAGTGGTAGCCTTTCACTCCTCCCTCACCAAAAGGACAGCAAAGGCACAGAATTCATTCTGAACGCTATTAGGTTTTGTAGGGTCTCTGCTTTGGATAATTTGTCCTTTCCTGTCAGGAATACCTAAGAGTTACTTGGGTGTCTCACAGATTCAGGATTGCGTTGAGAACTGAGAGAATGAAATTAGGGAATCTAGGAACAAAAACACAGGAATCCCTAGGAACTACGTGGTAAAGTGAAGTTTGTGATTATTCTGAAAGAAGAAAAGGACTCAGAACCGGGATCTTTCCATTTATTTTCCCTAGATTGGGTGTAGCATTCACTTATTCTCTGTGAAGGTAGGACACCCAATGGAGCGCTCAAGGCTCCAGGACCTTGAAGAGAAATGGAGCCGTAGGACCCAGGGAAGCCAACGCTATTCATTCAGTACTCATGCACCAAGACACAGTAGTTCGCTTGCTCTCTAACAGGCTTCCCAGCCGGGTCTTGCATCTCTGCTGCACCGCTGCTGGGACCGCCATCCTGTCCCAACAGGTGTGCGCAGTTTACAGCTCACCAGGACTTCCACATTCAACATGGCATTGAGCCTCACAACTGCCCTGGGAGGTTTCACTGTGGGCCCATCCCTCATAGGCTAAGCCTAGTGAAGCCAGGTGAGGGGGCGGGAGTGACGGGGGAACCAGGACTCAGACTCAGGGGACCAGTGCTCTCCATGATTCAGGAAGGATGCAAGATCTAGAGCGTGAGAAAGCTGCCCAAAACGCGTGTCTGAGGAAGGGAAGGAGAAGAGGATGGGAAAGATAGAGATTAACAAAACAATAAAAACTGAGTCTCACAGTGAGCCCTCTTACATCATTCTCTTATGTGGACGTCAGATTCATAGACAAGAAAAAGTAATTTGCTCAAAGAATATTCCTGGCATCAGAGTCAACTGTGGCTAGTTCCTGGGGTGGAGTTGGGGACGGGCTAGCAGCTTCCTGTGTCCCACAGCCAGGGACACCCCCCAAAGAGCCCTCCTAGTCCAGTCTTTGACCCTTAGGCCCTTCCCCTGCACCAAACCTCCCGGCGGTCAGTCATAAATCCCAGTCCAGGCCAAGCTCTTAAGCAGGTCCCAGAAGGCCCATGCTGTTCACTCCGGAGCTCCCCTGCTCACCCAGCTACGCTTCCCGCCACAGCCTGGTTCAGGAAGGCTCCAGGACTGTTTTCCTTCCCGGTGCCAACAGAGAAGCCCTTCAGGGAGGGGTTGAATTCCCGGAGGATGTCTGGAAATACAGGGAAGAGACATGTTTAGTATACCCCAAGGCAATGTTCCAATTCCTTTCATAAGTGCCAGTGGGTGTTCAGGAGAGCCCCCACCCACAGCCCTTCCCCAAGCTATTCACTCAGCATGGAAAGACAATGACGGTCACTGATATTGAGTAGTTTTCCAGGTACTCACTGGCCATTTGAGTGTGTGAGTGTGTGAGAGTGTGTGTGTGTGTGTGTGTGTGTGTGTGTGTGTGTGTGTATCTGTATTTTTAGAAATGTCAATTCAAATTCTTTGTCCATTTTTAAAAATTATAGTAAAATACACATAATAAAACTTACCATTTTAACCATTTTTAAGTGTACAGTTTAGTGGCATTAAATACTTTTGTAATGTTGCCTTTGCCCATTTTTAATTGGGTTGTCTTTTTTTTTTTTTTTTTTTGCTGAGTTATAAGAAAAATTCATATTTTCTAGATTCAATTTTCTTACCAAATATATAATTTGCAAATATTTTCTCCCACTCTTTGGGTTCTCTCTCCCTTTCTTGGGGTTGTCTTTTTCCTTTGAAACACAAAAGCATTTACTTTTGCCCAAAATATCTGTTCTTTCTTTTTGTCACTTGTGCTTTTGGTATTATATCTAAGAAGGCTTTCTTGAACCTAGGGTCATAAAGACTTGCTCCTCTATTTCCTTCAAAGAGTTTGTTTTAGATCTTACATTTAGGTCTACATTTCATTTTGAGTTTATATTTGTGTATGGTGTGAGGTAGGGGTCCAATTTCATTCTGTGCATGTAGCTATACGGTTGTCCCAGTACCATTTATTGAAAAAGACAATTCTTTCCCCTTTGGATAGCATTCACATAGGCTAAATGTGTCAGGAGAGCCCACCTGAAGGGTGACATTGTCTCAATCCTTTGTAAGTCACTTTGGTGAAAGATCTTGAGCCTGATGATTTTCAATTATGTTATCCATGATAATGGCATGGGAATCAGAGAGCCCAGTAAGCTGCTGTACAGGCTGGCCAGCTCACAAGCAGCCAGTCACACTTACAAAAGCAACCCAAACCATCTCCTAGCAATAGGGGAGCTTATTAATAGCTCTTGTATGTAGACCTAGAAATAAAGAAGACAGGGAGTACTTGTGCCATGGAACTGTACCTACTTAAATTCAATGGGATTTGCAAACAGCAAAAACAGATAACAAATGTCAAGTCCAATCAGTTCTGCCTGCATGGAGATTAAGCAGTTCCTAGCACCAAATTCTTAGTGATTTGATGCTCAAATAACATCCTAGCCTCTAAAGATATATTACAAAGGGGTAATTACAAGAAGAATAATTGAGAATGGGACCAATGAAATTCCTCTCAGGTATAATTATTAGCTGTAAGATTGTAAGGGGGCAGAAATCAGTATTAACATTTATTGCATGTATCTTTAAGAACAAGCACAGTGATGTGTGTACACTAAGAATAAAAAGATGAATAAGACAAGGTTTTCCGAGAATGTAGTCAAGCTTTAAAAAAAATCATTCTGAGCTGTTACCCTTGTGAGGCAACTTCACCTTTACTGCTGCAACAGCAGCGTTTCCTAAAGCTACACACAGGAATCGAATATCTTTGCACGCAGTGGTGCCTACTGCAGCCCAAGCCTAGACCGATGCCTCTCAGAGAAAGGTGCTCTGCTCAGAATGACAGGCACAGCAGAGGATTTCCTTTCCTTCTTTCTTGAATCATTTCTTAGTAATGACTTGCACTAAGATTTGACCTGAGACCTCTTTCCTCTCTTACTTTCTTCCTTGGACAAATACGATTTCTAAAAAAAAAAAAAAAAAAAAAAAAAAAATCTCCCAGGCTTTTATCGCAGGGCGGCCATACCAGGGAAGCAGCGCCCCCTGCCGAACGTGGGTGTCTCCTACCACCCGGTTCTCTAAGCCCGCGGCCGCCACCAGGGGGCGCCGCAGAAACACGCGGGGAGATCACGATCCCGATCTAAAGCCCGAGAGAGAGAGCGCGCGTGGACTCACTGGTCAGGGTGATGACGGTGCTGAGGTTCCCATCTCCGCCGATGCTGAATGGTGGGAACAAAAAAGGAAATGAAGGTTGAAAATGCCAGCGACGCCAAAACACCTCAGACGCTACCAAGACAGAGCTTTCTGCTTCTGAGAAACACCTCGGGGGCTTAGAGCCTAACTTTTACTTATGATTTCAGGGAAAAACCTTGAAAAACAACCCAGAATACAGCAACTCCCCTCTCCCCACACACCTGAACGTCCAAACAAGAACCCCGTCATGGCTGACTTTGCTGATTTGTAACTTGGAGCGTTGGCCTTGGGGTAGGGGGAATACAGTGGGCCCTCTTTCCCCCAGCTTCGAAAGGGAAAGAGACTTCCTTCCAGGCTGTGTCCAGCCCTGCCCCACTATTGCTGCAGCTGCGCATTGCTGTTATTACCGAAAACACAGTAAAACGGTTGCCCTCATCTCTCTTTTCCTCTCTGGCTTGGGCAAACCCGTTTTCCAAGGGTACCTTCTTGAGGGCAACCGATCTTGCAAGCCACTTCTAAAATTCCAAGAAAATCAAAGTTGGATGGGTTTCTAGGCATGAAAACATGCAACATTCCGGAGTTTATTGAATCCCTTGCTTTTCCATATTCCTTCAGTCTCTGCCAAGTATGCCTGGGAACATTTTCAAGGTCCTCAAAGTATTTGGGATTTAACCCTGTGCGGCATTGCGAGGGAAGATGCCAGGGATTCAACACTCAGCTGGCGCCAGAGACACCAGATTCCAGGCGGAGAAAGCACCAAGCCTGCCCTCTCTTATCTTCAAAGCTCAGAGGTCAAACCCTCTTGCTGCGGCTTGGGGAAGCCTGGATTTGACTGCACGCAGGGCAGGGACGAGCCTGCAGGAAGCCATCATACACAATGGGGGAAGCGACCAGGCTAGGAGTCAACAAGTACCTACTCGACTTCTTGCTCTTTTACCATCTGGCTGTGTGATCTTGGACAGGTTACTTGCCTTCTCTGAGCTTTGCTTCCTCATCTGTAAACTGAAGGCCCCTTAATAATGACACCAGTGACCATTTATCCCTACTTTGTGTCAGGCACTGTGCTGGGGTACTCCGATCCTCAGGACAGTGCTCATGCAGTATTATTATCCCTGCATCAAAGATGAGGAGACAAGCTCAGAGAGGTTAAGTGACTGGCCCAAAGTTGCACAGAGCTGGGCTGCCAGGGTTCAGACACAACTCTGGCTCCAAAGGCCACTGCCTCCTTCCAAGATTACTTCCCAGAGGGAGAAATGGAAGCTAGAGAAGCTTCTCCAGCCCAAATGTTTATGCAGTTTCTCCTCCAAACTCTTGCTGGTCCCAGCCCCTGCTTTGGGAAATGCAGTGGTTTGGGGAAACTGATAAATATCTTCCTCATATTAAGCCTAGAAGTTTCTCATGAAAACTACTAGGTGGCTTATCCCTCTGCATTGTTTTCTGCCATGCCCAGGGGTCCTCTCAGTCCTGCCAGGAAGGAGTCTATTTGGGGGTCTCACCACGCCATCACTCACCTCCAGGACAGGCCTCGGTACTGAGTCAAGACGTCCAAGACATTCCCAGGCCTGGACCCGGCCCCGTTAGCTGCCTGAGAGGGAGCAAGCAGCAAGGCAATGAGCTTCCCTGCCCACCGGCCAGGAGCGCGCTCGTTCCGGCCAGGATCACCTGGGCCTCTCTAGGGTCCCGACAGCACCCTTTTCAGAGATGAGTGAGCCCCTGCTGGGCACCCTGGGCTCACCCCAAGAAAACCCTGTGCAGACCAAGACGCAGTGACACTAGTCTAGAGAAAGTGCTCCGAAAACCAGACCAGTGTCCATTTTCCAAAAGGGCACATTTTTGGACCCCGTTTTCTTCATTTTTAAAAAGCTGGGCTAAAAGACGGCTTATCACAATTCTTTTATATCACTATATCTTACGTATGGGCAATTTAAAAAGTAGTATCAAATGGCACGCCCTGTACCTGCCCCTCAGCTGACGCAAGAGCAGGGCCTTTAAACCACAATCCGGACGTGCTTTGCAGGTGCACAGCCCTCGCCTAAAGCATGTTATTTTTTAGCAGAGCCGTGTCAAAGGGCATGAGAGCCACCCCTAGGGTGGGATCCCTGCCTTGGTGCCCAGTTCTTTGCTACCTGCCAGGTACGTCATACCCAAAGTGCTGCCTCCCCAGGAAACCCTGGTCAGCTGTGCTGATTCTTGCCCACTTCTTACTCCTAGAGCATCTTCAAGGAGCCAGGGACGGGGGCAGGGGAGCACGGAGGCAGGTGATACCGGGCCACAGCTGGCAGGCAGTGGCTGGGGTAAGCAGTGCTAAGAACCAGCCTGACCGTCCTTCCTGGAGGGTTAGGAGCAGCAGGGCCTTTGGGGTGAAGAGTCACTGAGGGGTCAGGGAGGAGACAGCCACAGCACAGGGACGGAATTCTGGACTTAGAGGCAGGACCCATGAGTTCTGGTCCTGGTCCAGCACTTAACAAACTGTGTGGCCGTGGACACTGACTTTTCATCACTTGGCTTCACCTTCTTCATTGGTTAAGTTTAGGGAGTGCCAGACTTCAGGGGATTTTGTTGAGAATATTCAGTGAGATAATAATGTCAATGTGAACAGGCCGAAGACATGAAAGTTATCAGCTGGTCTTGGGGGACACTCAGCTGGAGGCCCTGGATGCGACAGCCAGCAGTGGGGCTGGCCTGCAAGGAGCTGCTGTTGAATGGAAGCTTCCGCCTGGGTCCCTCTGGGACACCCCAGCCAGGCTCTCTAAGGGCCTGATTTGGCTTTTCATGGACAGCTTTTTGTAGGGCTGGGTGTCACCAGGGAGAGGCTGGGATCATTTTCAGGAGCTCTGACTCTTCCAGGGCCCATTTTCTCACACCGCAACCCTCCCCTCCACCCCAGCGGCACTTGCTCCTGTCTCATCGTCTCTTTGCCCCTCCCTTAACTTTCCCACGTGGACACACACAACACCAGGTCTTTGAAGGAGTGCTGCTCCGTGGGTGGGAGGCCTAGTCCGGCTCCGCTGCATGATTCGCGCTGGGCCACTTCCATCACGGTGCTGCCGCTGGGAGCCCCCCACTTCCTGCCCTCTGGTTCGTTTCAGCATTGGGAGAGGAATGGTGAGTTTAGGGTGGGCAAACAAGATGGGCAAGGCATGCTCGCCTCCGGAGTGGGCGGGGGCACGGAGAGGGACCGAAGACCAGGACCCAAGATGACAATGTTTAAGAGCAAGGAGTGAGGATTCCTCACTCCAGGTTCTCGCGTGACTCCAGATCAGCCCCTCCCCTGCCCTTCCTTGTACAGTCAGGGTGACTCACCGTGAGAGAGTCCCCCAGGGCTCCGATCACCTTGATGTCCGCCACCTTCAGCCTGTGAACTGAGAACCCAGCAGGAGTGAATGGAAGAGCAGGGTTCCTATCTCCTCTGAAAACAAATGAAGATCTCCCAGAAAAACGGAGGGAAGGTCTGTCTTATTCAGCTTGGACAACAATATTAAGAGCCCATCCTTGTCCTAAGCTTCGGCAGCAGCAACCGTGGAGCCTGGCTACCAGTCTCCTCCCTGGGGCACCGGGCGCTGGCCTCCAGGCTGGATGATGACCAGCTTTCGAAGAGGAGTCTGCGGCTTTCAATGACCCCAATGCCACGAGGAGAGTAGTCATCCTCAGGGCATGAAACAGCCCACAACCAGTACTTAATCTATTCTAGGGTCTGGTCGTGTTTGGAATAAAGCATAGCATCTACAGAAAAAATGAGCTCAGCTTCTCTACAGTGAAAAGACAAATGCTTTCATACCATGATGTTTAAAAATCAAGGTGAAACTTGTAGAACATAAAATTAATCATTTTAAAGTCAACAACTCCTTGGCATTTAGTGCCATAGTCACAATGATGTGCATCCACCGCCTCTGTTAGTTCCAAAACGTTTTCGTTCCCCTCAAAGCAGACCTGCCCCCCTTCGCAGCCACTCCCCATTTCTCCCCCTCCCCCAGCTCCTGGCAACCACCAACCTGCTTTCTGTCCATGGATTTACCTATTCTGGACACTTCATTCAAATGCCTTCACACAGTATGTGACCTTTTGTGTCTGGCGTCTTCCACTTTCCATAATGCTTTCGAGGTTTGCCCTGGTTATAGCACGTGTCAATACTTCATTTCTTTGGTGGCTGAATAATATTCTATTGTATGGATATACCACTTCGAAGGACATTTGGCTCTTCTGAATAGTTCATGTATTGAATACTAGTATTTATTTGAATGCCTGTTTTCCATTATTTGGGGATACGTCTAGGAGTGGAATTGGTGGGTCCTATGATAATTCTATGCTTAGGTTTTTGAGGAACCACCAAACTGTTTCCTACAGCCTGACTCCATTTTTTATCTAGAGTTTAAGCACGTACTGTGATGTGGCTAAGCAGCTCTCTGCTCAAGTGACAAACACGTTCAACCCCAAGCAGTGGCTGGGTGTGCTGGAGACTGCACGGTGGTCAGAAATATTAAATGCCCCCAAGAACCTCACAGGGTAAGGAGGAAATAGGAAACATCCCTAGTTATAATAATTTATAGGCTGATAAGCACTCGGAGAGGTATAAAGTGACGCGAAGTTCTAGGGCTGAGGGGATGGTCCACCCCTAGGGGTGCCGCGGGGTTGGCTCGGAGCCGGCTTCATGGAGAAGGTGGCGTTTGAACTAAGCTTCAGGGCACTCTGAGATAAGGTGGAGGGAGAGCCAGGTAGGTGAGGGAAAGCAGAGAGGACGTGTATGGGATGGTAAAGGAGGCGATGTCTATGAAGATCAGATAATTGTACAGTTTGGCTTTAGTGATGGGTATAGAAGGAGATCAAGAAAAATAACGCTGAAAAGGAGATTAAGGCCACAGGCCTTTCATGCCTGGTGAACATGAATTGCTGTGCAGGGTGGGGCAAAAGGAGGCTTACAGCTGTTTGTGTGGAAAATAATACAATAATTAATAAATAATACAAGAATAAACTCTGGGTTTTACATACTCACAACTGTAAACCTAGTTTTGCCCCACCCTGTATATATAATAACTTGCTTGTGCACACCTGCACTGTATTTCTCTATCCAAGTGCATTGTGGGGACCACACCTAAGGCCCTTTAAGCCATATGTAGCTCTGTCCCCTCACATCACAGGCTCGCCTCCCACTCCCGCCGTACCGCCCAGCTCCTCAGGGCGCCTTGCTTCCACAGTCACCCTCGTTTGCCATAGCCCCACTCTCCTCTTAGATGCGCCTCCCCTTGGCTCCAGAGGTGCAATGCGAACTAAATTGTCAGCCAGCTTCCAGGCCTTGGGAGAAGTCTAGTATATCATTTGGACCAGGGAGCCGCCCATTCCCAGAGGGAAGAAGCCCATCCTTTCAGTGGGCCGTTGCTCCAGATGGGTAAACTGAAGCTTGTGTGCAAGGAGGCTTTCTCGGCGGCGCTTCTTTGCCAACTCACTCTATAAACATGCAGTGAAACACAGAGGACAAAATGCTTTCAACACAGCTGGACTGCACAGAGCCCACTTCACTCATCAACATCCAAATCATGCTTGCATAATTATACCTGTGGAGGAAGCTGTATTAACACTCAGAGCAGATGTCTCATTTCCCTCCATGGAGACGTCTTGTCTACCTGACTTCCCTGCTGTCTGTAGATGGGGAACGGCCACCTCCCCCAGGAATTGCTCTCATTAGACAAGTAAAAGTCCCTGCCTCTTCCTATGACAGCACATGAACTAACACATACCTAGGTGTGAATGTACGTATGCAAAATACATAGGTTTGTGGTTCTCAAATTTGAGCACGCATCAGAATCATCTGAAGAGTTGGTTAGAAGACAGATGGTTGGTCCTCGCCCTCAGAATTTGGGATTTAGTAGGACTGCAGTGGGCCCAAGGATATGTGGTTAGAAGAACAATATCAAGTCACAAAGCCAGCTACACACATTAGCACATACCCACAGGCTGAGCACAAGAACATTAAAATGATCTCTTCTCAAATAAATCAGGCTGTGTGTAAAAAAGAAGAAGAAGAAGAAGAAGAAGAAGAAGAAGAAGAAGAAGCAGTAACAACAAAGATTCCCCTTCCCCCCAACTCTAGAAGGTTCATTTTAGCTCCTGGTGATGACAGCTAATCACCATATTCTTGTTGCCATAATGTGTAATACAGTGAATTCTGTGAACACTGTAGGGTGTAAAGGTTAGGGGAAGTCTTTAAGGTTGACAAATGTGGAATAAATTGATATATCTGCACCAAAAGCACATTACAATTTGAAAAAGAGGCAGCTGAAATTGGCCATTCCTATCTCCAAAATTTGTAGCAGACAGGAAACACACATACACACAGGCATGTATATATCTATATATATGCATATGTGTAGAAAGATTGGTTTAAGTGTGGTGGGGAGGGGGGTTCTCCTGTTGATCATCCTAAAGGATTTCCCACAAGAGATAATAAACCATATGAGCCAAGCTTAGATAGGAGGAATTTGACTTATCTGGGATTTTCTTAAGATAGAGCCCAACACATATCATCAGTTTAATATCTGCTGACCTTGATTTGAGCTTTGTTAATATCATCATATATGACAAAGACACAGCTTGGAAACACAGCAAAACACTTTAGCAATTGGTCTCCTTGGGGAAAGAACTATCTAGAGATAAGATTAAATTTGCGTGGGCTGATTAGCTAAACATTATCTGGTACAAACTGTGCACCACCTTGAAAGAAATTGATAAACTCATCATTAAATCATCAAGATTTCTTCAGAAGAGATATCTTATCAGGAGGCAATCCAAATGATGATGAAATATCATGAATAGCAATGAAAGAGTAGCAAGTGCAGAGAGTTAGGGAAACTAATCTCTATACATGAAGAGGGATACCCAGGAGAGAGACTTGGTACTTTGGAGTTTTTGTCTCGTGTAACCCAATAGCTTAAATGACTGGGGTCCACAATCTGAATACCAACTTTCTCTTCACTGTTAGCTAGGGTTGCCCATCCCTAGCTAACAGTGAAGGATTTTAGGGACTTACATAAAGACTTCTTCAATGGTGATAAACTGCTGGCCCAAGGTTGGAACCTTGTTTCTGCCTCTGAAGGGCTTCTGGTGTGAGTTTATACAAAACACGTGCCTTGAACAGAGTAGGAGCTCTAGAAATGTGTTAAAGTAAGTGACAGACTAAGTAAGGGGCTCTGTGTCAGAGACTTGACAACTTTCCAAGCTCAAAAGGAAGGAAACTACAGGGAAGGAGAACACTTATTCATCCAGATGTTTTAGGGTGAGTTTGAACTTGCTTAGCAGGTGGGTCCTGCCTAGGGACAAGTAGGCGGTTCATCCTTGTGGGCTGTCATTCCTTCCTAGTCACAGGCTAGGTTCAGGTGCAAGACCCGTGAGCATGAGGTGACTAAAAAAACAGTTTGGGGTCTACACTGGCCACCAATCTGCTGGTTCACAATGAAGTGAAACCCTTAATGATCGCTCAGTGCTGTAACCTGGGGAATTTTTCATGTCAGCTTTTGAGTGGCTCATTTCAGCCAAATGGGTAACATAAATGATTTCAGGGACTTAGGAATCAATGGTTTAAATGAATGAACAGTTCGGATTCATACTGTCGGTGACAGTGACATATATGATTATAATTACATAATTAGCTTTGTGGATCCCTATTTTCAAATACTATAAATTTTCTCCTCTTCATGGAGTTAGCAGCTTGACTTTGAGACCAACTTCAATAGGCAGCCAATAAGCCATGTGCCGTCTGGCTTCTTATTATTACCACTCCTTTGTTTGCAAAATGCTACTCCTTACTCACTAGGAAACCCTCAGCTGCCAGGTCCCAACATTTTTTTTAAGTTATCCCAACTATGTTAGGGACAGAGCCATGGAGTAATATAAAATGATACAAGTATTTACAAAGTTATAAAACCCACAGGCCAGAGTGTCTAGCAAACTGCACTGTGTGAACTAAGTAGGGGGAAAAATTAGAGGCTTATATTCATTCATTCAGTCATTCATTTATTGGCTACCAAATGACAATTGGTTGTAAAAAAAAAAATTACATCCATCCTGTATATCTCATCCAAAGTGCCGCAGATCAATGGAAAAAGTTTATTACCTATGAGCGCTGATGGAATGAGAGCAAGACACCCTGGCCGCCAGGGTCCCTGGCCTGTTGAGAAAGGCAGTATCCTATTTTGAAACGTCACTTTTGGTTATCTAGGTATATACCTGTGAATTGGTTTGAGAGAAACACTAGAAAAGGGGACTAACAAAGAAGGTTTCTGAAAACAAGTCTGAAGGCAAAACAGCTATTTTATAAGAAAAATGGTTTGACAGAAGATACTTTGGTCTAGTTGGTTTTGAAAGTCTTTTTCAAGCATGAAAATTGTTGATTTGCTGAGTCAGAAATATTTGATGATTCAGATTAGTTCAGCAAACAGGTATGGGCTCATACCAGGTGCTGAGTCACTGGGGATATAAAGATAAAATAATCTGTTAAATACATATCAGATGCCTTCATCTCAATGAGAAATTGTAAACATGATCTCCAGAGGAGTGAACGACCTCACCAGAAATATGATCATTATCAAAGACAAATAAATAATGTGGACCGGTGCTAAGTCCTTTTGCCTGCCCCCACGGTCACAACTGTGTTTAAAATGTCCAATCATAAATCATGCACAGTGTCATGAAACTACAGTAGTAGTTTCTTACGGCTGTCGTTAGTAGTAGCCATTTGTCTAAATGATACTTTCCAGACGTGCGGGCCCAGCACTGATCCGTGAGTGGGGCCACACAGCTGGAGAGACAGGGTTTGGTCTCCACAGGCCCTTGGCTGGGTCAGGCAGGCCTGATTCTATCCGTCTGCTTATTCAAACAGCTCCCTATCACCAGTGTATCTCCGATCTCAAGGTTGCAAGATTTCCGGCTCTTACGTCTTCACGTGACAATAAACAATCTTCAGGGTCAGGGAATAAAGAAGAGGTTCACATTTTATTGGCTTTTAGATGTTGAGATACGCTCTCACGGATTGGTTGGTTATCATTGTCATGGCAGGAATATAATCTACAAAGATTGTGAAATGCTTTACAGATCATTCTTTCAGAAGGATAAGATTAAAAAGAGGCTGGATGTTATTTCACTGTAAAGACTATGGCTATTAAAACACAGAAATTCTGCATCTCTTTTTTTCTCTCTCTATACATAGACACATACATACATACATACACCTTTGAGTTTTTCTATAGGAAGGCCTACATATGAAGCTAATAATTTATTTCGGCTGCTAAAATCCTGCTAGTGAACTAACCAATAGGAGTGGGTTGCCCCCGAGTGTGTGCGTGTTGGGGGGAGTCAAAGACTACAAGTGAGTGTTTAGAGTGTGAGAGAGAGTGTGTGTGCATGTATGTGTAAGTTCTCAACCATGTGTTCCTTAATTCTGCAGTACAGAACAAGAGCCAGTTATACACCCAAGTGCGAGGAGATTTTTAACTCCCCATTCATTTGGCCTAAATAGTGTGTAGGGCTGAGACATGGGTGAAGGACAGGCTAACAGCCAGGGCATTTGTTTGTTCTACTAACACTCAGCAAAAGGGGACGACTTGAATACAAAGATGTGCATCCCTGAAAGATTCCTGCTAGGCACCACGGCGTCTACAAACCTAACTTTCTCTCCTGCGAGGCACATGGGAGGCACTCAACAAGCATCTGGTCAATGAATGAACAAGTGAACAAATCAATGAACAAGTGAGTCTCCCTTCAGGATCCTATCTCACTGCTGCGGAAATGCTCCTGGCTGTTGTTTTGATTCCTGCGGGTCACCACACACGAGTGCCTGACCTCCCCACCACCCGTGAGCGAGGCACGCTGCCACACCACTCCCACTCTGGCTGGCCTGGAGGAAAAGGCTCAGCCCTAAGGCAGCCCCTTTTTGGCAAGGTCTCTGCCTAGAACATTCCATGATTCTCCTTTTCATGATCCAACCATACCAGCCATTTGGGAAATACTGAGCAGCACTAAAAACAGCACATTTCTAAGACAGCACCCTCTCCTGTTCTGTGCGGGGCTGGTGGCACCCTGCCCATGGCTCTGACAGGGAGCGTGGACTGCTTATACTTGCCTCTGGCAGGAAGGCAGCTTTTGAGAACAAATTCACTTCATCAAGGCTTAAAGGCAGGGACAATGACATGAGCTGGCTCCTTGCAGAACGTGGCCTGGCACACAGCTTATGCTCAATAAATGCTTTCTGATAATGTTATCATATCTTATATGTCATATCACATCATACCATATCATAAGTTCTTTCAGTTAAAGAATACCCAAACACAGGCATGAACTTACAAATATACAGGTACACCTCAGCGGTATTACAGGTTTGGTTCCAGACCATGACAACAGTGTGTCATAATCTTTTTTTTGCTGGTGGACGGTATTGCCTTCAATTTGTTAATTAAAAAAAAAAAAAAAAAAAAAAAGCAACGGTGAATTACAACAAAACAGGACATGCCTGTACATACAGAGCTATTTCTATTGTCCTCAAAAACCCGCTGAGGTGTATCTCAGATTGTGTGGAAATCCCTTGTCATCCTACGGGTTGTTTTTACTTCGATGAGTTCAGGCCTCAAATGAGTTTAAAAATCACTTGACTCAAGCCGTGTACCTGAGGTGGGAACTGTGTTAGAGGGATCCTTGTCAGGGCACCTGATCTCCGGTCCATCTCCCACCTGGAATGAGACAAACAACGAGGTAAGGAGAAATGGAACATGTGAAATTGGGTGAGAAGTAGAGTCTCTACTTTGGAAAATATTCTATAATACAGCAACCTAAATGTCTTTTACAATTTCTTCCTCTCATGCAACACTCAAATTTGGGTACCCACAACATCCTCTCCAAATGCTCCCAAACCTGTCCCCTTCTCTGGTCCCTCCACCTCAGCGTACATCCAGGCCTGTGTTGCTTCTTGCCTGGAATATTGCAGTATTTGCAGCATCGCCACCTTCAGTCCCCTGGGCTTTCTCCCCAGCATCTGAACCCATTCAGGGGGGTGTCTCTCTCTCTCTCTCTCTCAACATAATGGAACTATGTCACTTCCCTGCCCAGCTTCTCAGTGAAAGCAGGGTTGTTTGTCTGTTGTGGGTATTGCTGTATCCGCAGAGGCTAGGACAGTACACAGAGATGTGCAATAAATATTTGTTGGGCAAACAGTAAATACATTTCTACTCTGTATTAATATCAACATAAAGTCCATCCTTCTCAGCATGGCCTAAGAGGTCCCCAGCCAGTCTAAACCGTACCCTCCATGCCCCCATGTCTTTGACTGAACAGTTCTCTCTGTTCTCCCTTTTTCTTTCCTTCCCTCCATTTTCCCACATTCCCATCCACCTGGTTCAGCCTTAGTCATCCTTAAAGTTAAGGTCATGGGTACTTTTTGGGAAGTCTTCTTCAACCCTCTCCTATCTCAATTAGTTGCTCTGCCTCTTTCCTCCTGAAAACTCCATGGAAACTTTAATTACAGAACTTACTCCATTGTACAATAATTGCTGGTTGACTCCACTGGACTGAGTGCCTTAGGACAAGCAAGTATCTTATTGATGTTTTTACCTCTTAGGCCTGGTATCCATCCTTCCACCCACCTGCCCACCCATTTAATTATTCAACAAATAATGATTAGGTACCTGTTCTGATTCCCTACCCTCACTGGCCCCGAGTCCTGGCAGTACAGAACAGGTAGGTATGTAGGAATGTATCACTCCCTATTATCACATGATAGTAATAGCAACACTTATACAGAACTCATAGCATGCCAGATCCTATTACACATGCTTTATACTTGTTATTTATTATGATTTAATGGCAACTCCATGAGGACTATGACTTTCACCACTTCCAATATGAAAATAAACAAGGCACAGAGAGAGTTAAATACCTTGTCCAGTGACACAGAGCCAGTTGAGTAGAAGAGCATGGATTTGAACCCAGAGCCAGTTCTCTCCCCTTACTGTGCCATGCTGCCCCTCTGGTGTATCCTCGTTGCTGTCACGTTAGTTTGAAAGTGTGAGGCAAACTGGTGAATCAAAGTGTGTTTCATACTGCATTTCTCGAGCTTTGTGGTACAGGACCAGGTCATTAGCTCTGCCTCCACCATCTGGAGTAACTCTCACCCTTTTATACAAGAAGGAGGCAGGGACAACACTAGGCCAAATTTGTTACAATCTGTATCAGTCCCCAGGCCTCAGAGAACGAGGACATCAACCTACAAGTGTCTCAGAGCAGTGGAGGGTGTCCTATCTAATCTTAGCAGGAAGTATCAGAAAGAGTCTTGAGATAAGCAACAAGCAATATGTGAGCAAGTGTAAGATGGCCCATGAGATGAGGGCCATCTTCTGAGGCCTTTTGGTCTCTTTACTACCTGGTTTCACCCTATTTCTTGGCCTTTTCTTGACTTTCTCTTCAGATTAAGGCCTCAACCAAGTTTAAAAGGACTTGTCCAAGGTTTGGGAAGCACCTGAAGAACCTTGCCTTCCAGCAGGATAGACAGGCAGCAGGCAAAGCTGAGCCCCCAACACTCTCCCTGAAGCTGTAACGTGCTGGTCGCCAGGCTGTTCTCAAGATGGAGCCAAAGGGCAGATCTGTTTCAAGTACCAAGGAGACGGCCACACACTTGATCTGTCACTCATCCCAGCCTGCCAGTGGGGTTCCAGGACATAAAGAACCACATAGAAGTTTCCATACACTCAGCAAGGTATATGACCCCCTGGTTCACTTGCATGTGCGTCAACTACAGAAGCCCTCTCCTTACCTCAGGCTTTTCTTGGAGCTTTGTGAACCTGGGCAGGTAGTTGCTGTTTCTATAGGTGAACAGATAGGGATTTTCCTGCAGAGAAAAGTAAGGTGTTATAACCATGACCCAGGAATCTATGCCCTTTCATCCTGAGCCTTTATCATCCAGCAATGCCTTTGGCCAGTTTGGAACATTCGTACCATCATTCGTATGAAAACCATTCTCTGCCTTCTCTTCTCTGTACTGCCCAGGAGTTCCCTGAAGGAGCCCATTAAAGCTTCAAAAGCTCCTGTGTGCTGCAGCCCTCACCTCTGCTCTCTGTGTAGGGGCCCATGCTGCCAGCAAAGTACACATATTTCCATAAAAGAAGAACTTAACTGTAAGCTTCCTGGCAGCCAAAGCAAAGAGGGAAACAGGATTAATGATATAGCCCTTATAACCTAGTGACAAAAAAATTACCAACTCATCAAGAAAGCCAAAACATTGACTACCATTACATGATAAAAGGAATTCTACTTGTTCATGTTGTTTTCTCATCCATTTATTAGGCAACTTTAATTATATGCCTATCACATATTTAACATATTTAAGAAACCCATCTTCACATTCGGGACATTTGGTGCCAGGTGAAATACGGTTTTGTCCCTATGCCCTTCCTACACAGGTGTGGAAGGGGCCATAACTCTATTCAAATGTCTCAGTTCTGTTACGCTGGTTAAATTTTGTAAACCTCAGGTGTGCCAAGAATGCAGAGCTGCGACCAGACCCAGGGAAGCAGACCCAAGACTCTACAGCAGCTAATTTTTCAGCCAGAGAAGCCCCACTTCACAGCAAAGCCCGCTCGGTGACCCCCTTCCTCCCCCAGTTCAGTGATAGATGTCCTCCCCTCCCCTGTCCTTGCTTACCTGAGAGGGACATTTCGTTAGCCTTTTCTCATTTGCACGGAACGGCTCATCCTTCTGTCCTGTTGGCTCCATCTAGAAAAGAAGGTGACCTCTAGAAGAGGGAAGTTGCACACAGGTGGCTGCATTCCAGGTGCCACTGAGAAAGGCTCGCAGGTCCAGTGCCTCTCTGAGTGTGGCCCCGGACCAGTAGCATGGGCATCACCCGGGAACGCATTAGCAACGTAGACTCCCCACCGCCACCCCAGCCTGCTAAGTCAGAAACCCTGGGGCGGGGTCCAGCTCTCGGCAGTTTAACGGGTCCTTCTGGGGAATCCGGCGCCCTTCTGAGCTGAGACCCATTGCACGGGGAATCGTGGATTCCTAGCCCGCCCCTCCTGATGTCACAGGAGACACTGAACACCAGGGAGGCTGGGCTGGGACTAGGACATCGAGGTCCTCATTGCAACCAAACATCTCTCAGTGGGTCACACGGCTTCCTGTGTCTATCGATTCAGGGATGAGTGACAGTGGCACCAGCTCTGGCATAGGCAGCCAGTGAAATGACAACCAAAGCCCCGCTAACAACCTGGACAAGTACATGGTGGAGCAGCAGATGAAAGCACTGAAGGGAAGAGGGGAAAGTGAGGGCAGTGAAGAACTTGACGTGGGAGCAATGTTTTAAAAGTTCCTTCTGTTTCCATGTTCATTAAATGTATGTAAACACTTAAAAAGGACCATGCAGTGGCCTTGAGACATCACAGATTTTCTTCTGCAAGAACAGTCATCTACTGTGGGAGGAGATTTCTTTAACACTCCTTTGGGGGGTGTTAAATATCAGAAATTATTGAGAAGGCAGAAAGAGCTCACAATTGCTGTCAGGGCTACTTCCCACAGGGGCTAGGCTCCTACGACACCTTTGTCCCTTATCATCCCTTCAAGGACCTTGACAGGGGACACAAGAGACAGGAGGCTCCAGGAGGGAGTGCCCTGTCTGGCTCTGTTACAGGTTCTGCCATCCTCCGTGAGGATTTGAGAGTCTTTGGCAATATCTTATCCCGGAATCTATGCCCACTAAGCAAGAAGCAGGAGAAGAACTTTACCCTTAAAGGAGTGGCAATCCTTTAGCCCAAGGGCTGGAGGAGGAACTGAGGTCCCTTTTCAGTTTTATTTTGATGGTGGACACTCTTAGAAATGGGAGGACCCACTGGAATGCCCAGGCCTGCTCGCAAAGGGAGTATTGGGTGGGCCTGGGTTGGCGGCCAGCTGTCAATCTGGCCTGCTTTCTTTCTCCAATCTTCTAAAAATTTAATGACTAATAGAGTCTGGAAAGAAGCATTGGAAGAGCCACATCTTCATGATGCTGGTAGAATGCATATAACATAACCTATTTTTTTAAGGACCTCCAAGAAGGGAAATTCATAAGTTCTCCCAATAAACCCATTCCCATTAAGAACCTTGTGCTAAACATCTCATTCTTAGTCACCTGAATCATCCTTCCACTAACCCCCTTTCCACCCTCTCTGACCCTCTATCCTCGAGGGGAAGATGGCGAGTGACTGCCCCTCATCCTCCTGCCACGCCGTGGGCACGCAAGCACACGCCCGACCCAGCACACCAGGTGCTGGTGTCTGTAATTGCTCAAATCTCCCCCCGCACAGATTCCCTGCCACCCTGACACAACCTGTAGTGTGGGAGAGGAGAGAGGGTGGCCGGAGACATTCTCTCCAAGGAGAATTTCCACTCAACTGTGAGCAGTTCTTGCATGTTCCCATCCTGCCCCGTGGCTCCAGTACCTTGCCCAGGGCTTGGCACAAGGTGGGGGTCAGCAATGGCTGGAAGGACCTGGGAATCGAGTTCCCCAAAGGTCGATCTCTTTAAAACTACTGTGGGGGTTTTAAAAACTATCAATATTATTGAGAAGGCAGAAAGGGCCTAGGGAATAACTTAAGTCCCCAACACAAGATCCTCCTCAGCTCTGCACCGGGGGCTCAGCTTCAGTCTGGGCGCATGTTCTGCAGGGACTGCCGTGCGGAGTTTCCGTTCCTGGTCACTGGCCCTCAGAGCTTATGAGAATGCTGGCGTTTGGGGGGCAGGGGGCGGGGGCGCAGAGCAGATGCTGCTGTGGCCCCCACAGTCACCCTGCTCCCCGGAGCCCTGGGCCGTGGGGGAGGAGAGGAGCGTGGAACCTGGGCACCTGTTGTCCCAGCGGTTCTCTGGGCCCCTCTCTGCTGCCCACTCTGGGGGCTGTGTGTGTCTGCGAATGTGGGCACGGGTGGACACACCAGGCTGTTGCTTCTTTGCTCTCGGTGAAGCCCACCACAGCAGAAGCTCCAGAGGGCGGAGGCAGACTCCTGGCCTCCCCGTGTCCCTGGGAGGACCCAAGATGGACCCAAGGGTGAACCACCCCCAAAACCCTTGGAGGCTGACCGAGGGTTATTATACCCCTCTGGCAAGTGGGCAAAAATGAGACCCAAAAAGGCCACGTGACTCACCTCAAAAAAAAAAAAAAGCAGCAAAAAACCAACCAAACAAACAAAAAACTCCCACACTGGGAAAGAGCCGTCCCTCTTTGGGGACTGGCTGCAGCATCCCTGAGAACTCTCGCCGGGAAATGACTGGTGACTGGGGGACAAGTCTCGGGGGAAAGGGGGCTACCTGTCCAGAAAAGCCACCTCCGCCACCTTGGAGCCCTTGTGTCATCTACTGTGTCCCAGCGCTTTGGCCTTGAGTGTGAAACCTTCTGTTCCCCCTCCCTGTACCTGCTCAACCTCATCCTCATCCTCACACGTAAATAGGTTCTAGGACACTGCTGTGCCTGTTTGAAGGAACAGGGCATCACCCGGGTTCAATAAAGGCCATTGTCACTGCTGCCGCCACCACGGATGATGCTCAAGAGCAAGATGAAGGAGAAAGAGGGAGAGGGAGGCCCTTACTCCCTATCTGTTCTCTGCAGCTTCTGTCTGGCTCGTGGTGCTCCCTTTGTTCTTGGGGCCTCCTTATCCTGCCTTATCAGACCAGCTTTTACTGCCTCCTGATAATGCATTTGCTTTTTTTCCTCCATGCCCTTCACTCATGGAGTTCTCTTGCCTGGGAATGACCACCTTGGCCCCCTCTGACATGCCCTGCAAAACCCACTCAAATCCCATCACTGTAGGGCTCTCCTGACATCTTGCTCATATCACTTTTGGGTGCAGAGTCCAGCAAATCACTGCTGGCTGAGTTCAAGTTTACTCTTGTTCCTCTCAGTTGCCTGACCCTTCCAGCTATACCCTAGGCTCGATGAAGGCAAAGGCCATTTGGGGCGTGTTTTGTATCTTCCTCAGGCCCAGCGCAGGGCGGGGTACGCTGTAGGTTCCCTTTCTCTGCTTGGGAGAGGGCTGACACAGGAGGGGAAGGAGACAGGTTTGGCTGAGCTGGAATGATCAGCCCTTCTCCCACCGCGGGAGGGCGGCCCCGGAAGGAGGGGTTGGGTTCCTTCCTTCTGCCCTTCACAGAAGATCAGCAGCAAAGTGGTTTCCTGGGGAGAAAAAATTCCACCCCAGGGCCTGGCCCACTAAGCAAGACATTGAGCTCTTTGTTAAAGGACAGCGGCATCCCAGAGGCCAGGGCTGTCTGGGGCCAGCGCCTGCCCCTGCCCCAGCCCCCACGCGCCCTGCTCTCTGTCTTGCCGGCTACTGCAACGTGAAACACAGCTGCTCCGGGCACTCGCCAAAGCATTTCTTTGAAAAGATGGAGCAAAAAATATTCTAATTCAAGGAAGAGAAAACCAAGTTTCTGTCACTGGAATTCTAAAAATAGGGCAGCTTCGATGGAGAAAAAAAAAACAGACGGCAAAATCAGGTGTCTGTCTGGTGCCCTCGAAAAGCTCAAAGTTTTGACATCGCACTCCATCCACTGACTCATCCCAGGTAGCCCTGGGGGGCCCTTGGAGGTGTGGGCGAACCTGTCACAGTCACAGGAAGCGAGGCCAGCGCGTGCTGAGTGCTCCCTCTGGGCCCGGAGTGAGCCACACGCCTGACAGTTCTTGGGCCAGGGGTTATGACCTGGGTTTTGGGGAGACCCCAAATTCACACAATTTGTGAGAGATGGAATTAGGATTCAAACCCAGATCTTCGTCACTCGAAAGCCCATGTTCATCCTGGAGCACCCCCCGCCCCCCGGGCCTTGAAACCACATGATAGCGCTGAAGTATGGTGTGAGGGGAAGCTGGCTGGAATCGCTGTGTGGGACGTTCCCCGGTGCCCCACTCTGAGTGAAGCCTCCTACGCCCACTCTGAGGCCACGCCCCTGCCTCTGGGGACGGTGACACTGAAGTGCCCAGAGAGCCCTGCTCGCTGCCCGGGCTGCGTCGCAGCTCTGAGACAAGGAGGTGAGACTCCCGGACAGTCAGAGCTGGGCTGGCCCCAGATGTGGGGAGCATCCCGGTGGCCCAGAATCATTGTCTGGGGATCCTGCTGGAACCCTGCGGCCCCTCCATCAGAGCAGTGGGCAGAGCAGATGTGACGGTGGCAGCCCCGCCCCTCCTGTGGGCCGGATGCCCGGGCTGACCCAGCAGCCTCCCGGTCCTGGCGACTCACCATGCTGTTCCAGAGATTCAAGGCGAGCGTGGTGGCATCCTGGAGTGGCCACTCCCGCTGAAAGAGAAGCAGATTAGAACCCTGTGAGCCCCCAAGGATAGGCGGGACCTGCCAGGCACTTTGAGGCTGTCTCTGGCAGAGAGGGAGTGGCCTTGATCTATCCAGACTCTTTCTCTCAGCCCCTTTCCATATCAGTAATGACAGGCACGTATAGGACCGCTATCTGGGGTCAGGGCTTGGAGTGAGGGCCTGCAGGAGCAGGTAGGACCCCCTCGTTACCATGGGGTTCTCCATAACTGAACAGTAGAGGCAGCGGCATCAGGAAGTGACTTGTGTGTGGTCTCGGTAGAGGGGAATGGGAACTAATATCCCTCCTCCTCCTTTTAAACCACTATTTAAACATTGTTTAAGTCCTGGAGGGGGCACAGTGACTCCAACAGGCAGGAGCCAGAGTCTGGAGGAAGGGACTGTCCCAGACCCTAGAGGGAGGAACAGTGCTGAAGTCTCGGTGGCGTCAGAGGCCCTACTGAGCACGTGTTGACCCGCCACCATGCTTGTGGTCTGGGTGTCCTGCTGGGCAAGAGACTTTTGCTCAGTGACCTGAGGAAATGGGGGCAAGTCAAATTACCCTTCCTCCCAGGGGTGGACATAGAGGGAGGTGGGTGACATGGCCCCCCTAAAATTCTATCCTGAATAGTTACAACAGCTGAGAGGTACTGAGGGCTTCCCAAGTTCCTAACAGCTATTTACTCATGCAATCTGACAATCTGCCTAGAGGGAGAGAATATTGATAATGGCCCTGATTTCCCAGATGAGGAACCAAGGCACAGAGAGCTCCAACAACTTGTCCGAGGTCACACAGCTGGCCCATTTCAGAGCCAGGAGCAGCCTGGCTCATGATTGCTGGGCCGCTCTGCCTCCAAGAACCTGCCTCATGGGGCCTCCAACCCCATGGGAAAGCATCCAGGAAGTAAAAGAGAGTATCGTAGCATTTTCCCCCTGCGAGTGCATACCCTGGGCTCAGTGGGTCCCAGATGGGTGAGAGAGGGCGGGGGTGGGCCAGGCTCCTTACGGTCACCTCACTCACCGAGAGTGGTGACAGGGCTGTCTCATAGAAGAAGGGCTGGAAAACCACTGTGAAGGACTCCTGCTCGTTGTACTTGCTGGTGGCCAGCAAACGTTCCCAGCTTTCCTGAAGGAGAGAGCAGAGGCGTGGGCCCAGGGGCACGAGCAAGGCACAGCCTGCCCTGTCCTCCCCCCGGGGAGCTCGCAGCAGCCCCTCCATCACAACCGCCTGTTGTGCGCCGCGCTGAATTAACACCAGAGATGGGTCTGAAACCTCTTCCGTGGGAGCTCAGGAGGCGCACGCCAGCGCGGCACGCAGCCAGGGCACCCACGCTCTGTCCACGGGCTGAGTTCCGGAGGGGGGTGTGCAGCTAACGGCACAAAGCATGTCACCACTGGAGTGAGAGAAGTGCCATACAGCTTCACATGTAACTTTCTTCTTAAACAACAGTCATCATGTCAACATATGACAATAGAGACTGTGCTTTGAGCCGCTTGCTGACAGGAATGATGGCTTCCACGGAGCCATCCTCACCCTGTTGGGGTCTCATCTCTAAATCAGAAAGCACAGCTTTGGGACCTCTGAGGCGCCCTTGGGCTGTCATCTGGGGGATTAGCCCGGCTTAGGCAGAATCAGCTCTGCAGCCACAGAGGCAGCGGTTCAAGCAGTGACAATGATCAGAACCCTTTCCAAACAGATCTGCCAAGTCCTTCGCTGTCTAAAGTACCAACTCTGTCCCCACCCCCACCCTGCCAGTACTGGCGCCCCCACGGTACATACAGGCAAATCAAGTCATCACTGGGGAGTGAGCTGAAAGCAGCTCTCTGGTTCCTGACCCCGTTGGAGACGTCCTATAGTCACAGACTTATACCTTAGTTGTTCCTTTCATCCCTATTCTCCTCCATGACCCCCAGCCTCCACAAACCACCAGCCCCCTAGAGTGGGCTCACCTGATAGGACCACTGTGCCACAAACTTGGACAGCTTCGAGGTGTCCCCGGAGCACGTACAGGGCTCTGCTGTGGGGCTGCAGGTTAAAATAAGCCAGAAATGAGAGCGGGATACAGTGCGGCTATTCAGCCTGCCCCGCGGAGAAATAAGAGGCCGGGGCCCCTGGGCGGTGCTCTGGGAGTGGGGAGAGGCTGGAAGTCCCAGGGGGTGCAGGAAAAGGAAGACGACCACATTGGGGAAAACAGAATTGAAAGGTACGCTGGGGTCTGGCCCCCCATCTGTCCCTCCGTCGGGGTGGGAAGGGGTGTGCAGACACGCTCCCTCTCACTCCGTCTCCTGACGCACCGCCCCCCTCGCTGCCTCCACCCCAGAAGCCCACCTCCAGCTCTTCCTCTCCCCACCCCATGTGTCCTCTCTTCAAACCCTCCTTTCCTCTCAGCGCTGTCCTCTCCTTCCCAGGGCCCCCACCTCCCGCGGCCCCTCCCCTGGCTTTTGCCATGTCAACTTCTTTTCTGGGTACAAAGCCAGGAGTCTTAGGATGTAGGCACAAGAAGCTGAAATTCTACAACAAATTTCAGAACTACATGGGAGTTCAGTTCTGTGAAGATAAAATACATATAGGCAAAAAAAAATTTTTTCCCCCACTTTCCAGAAGTATCAATTCTTGGCATATGGATATTCTGCCAAACCTGCTTTTTAAACTCTCAGATCGTTCTGGTGAGGGCAGGCCATCTAGCTACATCAGCCAGACTCAGTAGTTGACTCAGTCGCCAGAACGATGCTGCACCCACTAGCAGTGTGACCTCGCACATGTGGTGGCTTAATCTCTCCTGCCTTCTGTCCTTTAAACCTCTCATAGGGTTAATGCATGTGAAGGGCCCCACCCAGTGCCTGGCGCTCGGCAGCCACTCAACAAATGCTGGTTCCATTCCACTCCCCTTTTTACCTGAGCTGGGTCCCCAGATGCCAGGGAGAGACCCCCACAACCTCAGAGAGGTCCACCAGGTTCACAAATGCTTTAGGGACCTAAGAGGAAACGAGGGAGAAGGGCATTTGCAAAGTCACCATTGCTGCCCAGGGTCTTCCCTGGAGCCCAAATGGTTGGAGGCCCATTTGGGACCTGGTTGAGCACACTGCGCCTCTTTGGGAGAAGTTCGGTTGGGGTTGGCCCAAGGCTGCCCACTCTGCTAGCTATGCAGAAAAGCGTCATTCACCATTGCTCACGGTGTCAACAAGGAGGGATGACCACGATGGGCCCAACAGAGAAGCTGCCTCCCGGAAGTCTCGGAAGCTGTAGCACTTGCTCCTCTTGGCCATTTTAAGAAGGGAAGCCTCAAAGGCGCTCAGGGACACTCCAGGACATCACTGCCCCAGGCCAGGGAGGATAGAGTGGGGTTTGAGTCCTTAGGGCGAGCTGCACTCTGCTCCTTCTTCCCACCCAGAAGTCCGTCAGAAATACCTTTTGCAAGAGAAGGGCTCTACAACTGACCCAGGTTTGCATGAAAATGTTGAAAAGACTGGCTCCTAAACCTTTTCCCTAGTCATGGTCTCCCTCATGGGATGTCTGCCTCTACGTCATTTTTCTCAACCCAGTGGAGGCACTTTGAGAGTAACCAGAACCTTTCCTGCCAATCCTCAGAAGGGTGGTTCCCCCGTCTGCGGAAAACACCCAGGAGGAAGTGCCAAGTGCGTGGTCCCATGGAGCCGGCGGAGCTGCAAGCCTCACCTCCTGGAGCAGGTAGTCCAGCGTCCTGGTCAGCTTGTCCATGCCCCTTGTCACGTGCCTCTCCTGTGAGAGGAGACATGTGCTGAGTGCAGGTAGAGACAGAAGACATGGGGCCCAGGATGCTTGGGCTAACATTGCCTGACATTTCCCCTCCCTAAGCCCCACCCTCAGTTGAGATGGAAGTGACAAAAAGCCCTACTAGACCCCAGTGTCCCCCAAACAAGTGTGGAGTTCCCAGAGCTCCCCCAGGCTTTTGTCCATTCTGACTTCTTCAACCATCATCCACTAAAAATATCAAACTCCCCCAAATGAGAAGTTCCATGTCAGGGAAGGGCAAACTCAAGGTCAAGGAAACTCTACAGTTCACATTGAGAGACGGGAGACAGGACTTACTCCCAAAGGTGATAGAGTCGCTTTTGTCTGAGGAAAATCAGGTCCAAAGGGAGAACATAATTACTCTTGGATTTAAGGACCAAGATGGGCCTAAAACTTCCACATGACACTCTTATCAGACCTCTCTCTGCCACCAAATGTTAAAAGAACCTCCCCCTTTCCTACCCAATGCCTTGCAGGTAATGAAAATAAATAAGCAAATGAGAGCACTTCAAAAATAGGCCCTGGCTTACCTAATTCAGGGTTAAAAAAAAAACCAAAACAAACAGAAAACACTAAACAAAAATAAACTTTTACAACAAGACAAACTCCTAAGCTGCCTGCTAACCAGCTGTCCCCTGAGGGGACAGGGCTCAGACAGGAAGACAGGAAGGCCCAGGAGCTGTTCTGTTTCCTGGGGGAACACAGGCGGGGATTCTGGAGACAGCTGCCAATCACTCAGGCCATGGACGCAGCCTCACCGCACCAAGTCCCAGCCCAGGAGTCCCCGCTCAGGAGCGAGGCTGTCCTCTGGAAGCCAGTTCAGCCTACTAGTTTGCCATGACCGGCCATGACGCCTGCTGCCCCATTTTCTTCAGTCTCAGTGAGACTCTCTCTGAACAGGACCCTATGTCTCCCTTTTCCTTCTGAAGATTCCGGGGAGCTCTGTCTGAAAAGCCCCTCGCTGCCCCGCATTCAGGTCATTCAGGTCTCGTGGTGCTCCCCTGACCTCAAACTCCGCTACAGAAACCTCTCAGTCCAGGGTGTATTCATGGCCACAGAGTGAATTGGGGCCACCCAGTCACCCCAGAGTCTGAATGTGTGTCACCTGGGTCCCCACTGCCCCTGTTCCTTAGGGGAAGATGGTACACTCTTATAAAATGTTCCTTGTCTATAAGGGCACACATAATAAACTCCTCCTTGATCCCAATGTCAGGAAAAAGCTTATTTTTTTCCAAATGAACTTGCATATTTTTATTTATACCTTTTGCTTTCAGAGTCAGAAGAATGTTCTATTACCACACATGTGCCTGAGACAAAACTTAACTTTTTCTAATAAATCGTTTCCTTGGGATTATTCCAAGGAGTAGGATGATCCAGTCAAAAGGTACCAGCAGCCCCTCCACAGTGCTGACACTTGCTTCTAAAGGCATTTGCAAAAAATAAATGTATAAAGATTTTCCAGCAGTGTCCTTAGCTTTGAGTTTTCCTTCATTTTGCCTCTTCCGTTGCCCGATGTTTTCATCTTACTCATAACAGACTACACCGCAGAGAGCAGCGCTAAGACCCAGGCCCTGTGAGTACCTTCACTTCATGGCAGTGAGCCAGGGCGCCGGTGCCTGGCGACACCCCTGCCTTTGAACAGCTGAACCCGCAGCAGCAGCCCCAAAGAAACATTGTCACTGCCTAATGGCGCACTCCTGGCCTTACTCTCCTGTGACTTTGGTCTTAAGAAACCTCCAAAGAACAAATGTGGACACAGGCCCTTATCTACTTCCCACCCAAGAAGCCCTCTTAGAGGAGAAAATTCCAGGTTCTACGTAGGGCAAGACAGGAAAACACTTTTTTCCTCATAGGAATTACTTCGGAAAAGTTGACCTATGACACAGGCAAAGGCAGAGATACTCTGTGACCTCAGGCAGAAGCTGGGAGCCCACCACTCAGCTTTGCCTTCAGCCACCGGTGGCCCCCGTGACCCCGGGACTGCAGAGCGAGTCCCGGCCAGGGCTGTAGGAACACAGGAACGCTGTGGAGGGACTTCTCTGATGGGAAACACCCAGCAAGGCCCCTGGGTGAGCTTGAAGAGGGACCTGTGGCCACAGGCTCCGCCAGCAAGGCCAGCGGGTGAGGGGTGGGTCTGGGCGGCAGAAGTGTGACGGGCGGTGAGAAGAGGGGGCTGGCGGGCCTGGGGCAAAGAGGCCGAGAGCCTGTCCTAGGGGCCACGGGGTCCTTTGTGGGAAACGGAAGTGGGGGTGGGACTTAGTCCAGGCTCCAAAGACTTGGTGGTCTTTGTGCAAAAGGAAAACCAAGATGAAATTAAAAAATTCAATAAAGAGGGAACTTGAGTGGATGCTAATGAGCATCACCACAGTGAACTAAATTTATGGAGATGGAGTTACTTAAGGTCCTACATGTAAATAAATCCATATCTGTCAACGTGACTAGAACTTCACATATTGGAGGAATTTCACATATTGACAAAAAGTTTGGTTACAAGTGCGGGAAAAGTTGTAGAAAATGAGACTCTCGGGCACTGGAGAAATAGAAATGGGTTCAGCTACTTTGGAAGGTAACTAGGCAGTCCCTATTAAAACTTAGAGCGTATGTGTCTGATGACTAGCAATTCTATGTTTAAGAATCTATTCTAGCTACTTTTCTTCAAATTATTTCAAGCATGACCCACAGTGTAAGATGTACTTCATATTACAGTCCAATGAAATATCTACATAGAAAATGAAGAAAAATAACCCTGAATCTACACTTATCTTATAACATGCAATTAACTATAATATTTTATAGTTTATTCTACTTCCATCTTTATAATTTTGATTGCAACCGTTAAGCTTAATTTTGACCCACTAATATACTTCACTCTGCAACCTGAAAATCACTTTATTTAGAAAAACACACACACTCAGGTAAGTTAACAAAACTAGAAATACCTATGTGGCCATCAATAGGGAAATGACAAAACATGACTTAGTACATTTTCACAGTGGAATACTATTGAGCAAGTAACAGGAATAAACTCAGTCTATGGGTGGTATCAGCATGTCTACATCTTAAAAATGCTCAGTGAAAAAATTGCTCATGATATATTATTGTGTTAAATCCCTCTCTGTCTCTTGCACACACATACAATATGCTATACTAAGATTCATAAATATGTAAGAAGCTTGGAAATTAAAAGAGGGAGAGGATTGGAGGTGGTATTCTAGCTGTAACTGTAATGTTTTAGTTTTTTAAAGGAAAAAACATTTGTGCATTGTTTAAGTAAAAATTAGTAACAGTAAATAAATGGACACATGCAGACATAGGAATGCATCACATAGCCAAGAATGCTTCAAAGCATAAATACATGAAAGAATGCAAGAATTCACATAGGAATGCTTAAATACAAGAAAAGCACATGGGAGAAATCATGAATGAGTGTAAGCATCCATGAATGCATTCAAACATTTAAAAAAATCAAACAAAAGCCAACAGGAACATAACTTATCATAAATACAATAGCATGTGCTTACATGTAAAAAGGGAAAATGAATTTATGCATGAATAAACAACTAATGGACAGATAGACGGATGAGTGGATATACAGAGGAAGAAAGCGATGCCTAAATGCTGGTTTGAGCACTTTAACACATGAATACAAAAATTCATAAAGAAACTTTGGTGTACATAATCCCTAAAAAGAGGGGCACAGAATAAACAGAGCTTGTAAATTTCACTTGGCATGGGAGAAAACAGGGGGCGAAGTAAAATAAACCTTTAAGATCTATATGCCACAAACCCAGGAGGTCTGTGAGACTATTGCTCAACAGGAGCTAGTCCAGCGAGGTGGCCTTCCCTCAGCATTTTCCAAGGGCCCAATGTCACTGAAGGAGGGGGTCTGGGTGGTGGGCCAGGACTCGGTGGGAACACGGGGCGTTTGGGAGAAGGCCAGGGTATATGTTGTGGGAGCAGGGCACAGGTCAAAGGAAGGGAACACCTCAAAAACATTGCCCATGCCTGTGTCATGGCCTGGCAGAGGCCCTGGAAGGTGGCTGAGAGGACAGGGGCAGGTAATTTGTCTGCCGTAAGCGGCAAGGCCAGCTTGGTGGCAAGGGCCTCTTCAGGCCCTTGAAGAAGAGTGTGTGCACCATCTATGTCATCATAGCCTAGGTATCTCCGCCACCCCTTCCACTCTCAACTGATGCTGACCTGGATGATCGTCCATAAGAACTTATGTCCCAGATAGTCACCGACAGAAAAAATAAACGAAGCCACTCATTTCATGTGCTGCATCCAGGAACGCTAGAGAGCCTGCAGGATGGTCTACGTATGTGAGCAGAAGGCTTCCTGTTACAACTTGAGTTCACAGTGAGCTACATACAGTTCAAGAGGTGATGGCAAGACTGCACATTCTGCTTTATTTCCTCAATTCAGTATTTAAATGAAACCAGAGTTAAAAGAGACAAAATGAGTTTTCACTAGGAGGTTGATTCTTCTCAACTGCGGAATGATCATTGACTCGGCTTATCTACACCTCAATTTCCTTTATCTGATAGGAAAGCTGGGATGTTAAAACACCTGTCCCTGTATATGGTTCCTATCCATCCATTCATCCATCCATCCATCCGCCCAAATTCTGCAACAGGTGCCATGAGGCCCAGCCCAGGTGTAGATCAGGCGGGTCTAGTTCATTCGCCCTGCACCCACCCTGGCATTTGCAGTTCCTCTGCCCCTCTCCCCTGTGGTTTACCTGTTGGGTGGAGAGACACAGGTAGCACTGGTTTGCATTCGTGAAGAACACATTGATGAGCTTCCAGTCATTTTGAAAGTCAAGTTGCTGAAGAAAAAGGCAACAGCATCAAAAAGAGATAGTGGTCAAACCTGATACCTAAAGAACTTTCTTTTCATTATTTTTCTATTTCATATACCCACCCCCACAAAATCATATTTTATTTATGAATTTTTTCAAAAAGAAAAGTATATGGTAGGAAACTCAAAATGGGTAACTGCTTTCAAAGGCAATTTGGCAAAATAAACATTAAAAAATTTTAAAGGCATACTCTTTGATCCAACTATTCCGTTTCTTAAAATGTATTTTAAGGAAATAAGGAAACAGGGAAGATTTAGCTACCTCGATGAAGCCTTGTTTATAACATTAAAAAACTGGAAGCAACATAAATGTCTAAAATAGGGAATTGCCATGCAAGTTGTGAAACACTCATAAGATGAAACACTGTGTAGCTATTAAAGTGGTGCTGGAAAATGTAATGCTGTCATGGGAAAATACCATACTTAGAAAAGCAGGTTATAAAAAGTATCTACATCTAGTAACAGCCTTGTTTTATAAAATATACACATGTGCTTGGAAAAAATATGGAAGTGGTTATACACCGAGTTGTCAACAGCAATTATCTCAGGGGAATATTCTTCTTGTTTACTGGTGTTTTCTGATTTTTCTGTAATGAACATGTATCACTTATGGAACAAAAAATAAACGTTTGTTTTGCTTTTTAAGAGGCACCGGGATGCAGTTGAGCACAAGACTGCAAATCAGACATTTGGATTTAGCTCTAACTGCCTGCGTGAACTTGGACAGGTTGTATGAATTCCTGGGATTTCAGTTTCCTCATCTATAAAACTACGGGTTGGATTCAGCACCTCTCAGCTATTTTCTAGAATGCTGTGATTACCCCAGAAATTCTGGTATTCTCTTGTTAGGGGGAAACCACCTCTATTTAAATATTTTTATTTATTTATTTTTAGAGAGAGGGGAAGGGAGGGAAAAAGAGAAGAATATCAATCGGTTGCCTCTTCCACACGCCCCAACTGGGGATTGAACCTGCAACCCAGGCATGTGCCCCAACTGGCAACCGAATCAGCAACATTTCACTTTGCTGGATGATGCCCAGCCCTGTGAGCTACCCTGGTCAGAGTGGGAAACCAGTTCTCTGTGGCATATCTCCTGCATTTGTCCCTGACCCTGTATAACCTGCAGGGACCTGGCTTTAATGCCTGAGCCCTTTAATGAAAGCACAGCTGCCTGAGACAGTGCTGCCCTTGGTTCCAGCGGTCCAGGCGCAGCACTTGGTTGCAGCCAGGTGGGTACCAGGGCCCCGGCATGTATGGTACTAAGGCCCCACCTCAGAACTGAAATGAATACGGTAATTAACAACAACAACTGCCACTTCAGTGACGATGACAGCTACAGGCTTTCACTGAGCATCGCCTCTGGGCTAGGCACATCCAGCACCCCATTTCATGCTCCCTCAGTCCTGTGCTATAGCCTCTTATTATGCCCATTTCACAAATGGGAAAACTGAGGCTTAGAGAGGTAAAGGGTCTTAACCACCATTATACAGCTAACAGGAGAAGAATTCAGGATTCCCATTTAAACTGGCCTCCCTCTGGAACCCAGGCTCTCAACCGCCTTCCTAAGTGAGAAGTTGCATAGCCCTGCTGCTGACTTTTGGCAGGACCTCGCAGAACACCACTGTGCACCTAAGAAGCGGCCCTGTTTCAATGGCCTCCAGGAGGGGCATGTTTGGAGCGCCCAGGCCACCCGGGTTGCTGAGTCCAGGGCACAAGGGCCTCGGGGCCATGGCGGCCTGGTGTGTTTGGTCCAACTGCCTCACAGCAGACACGGGCAGCCCCAACCACGGAGCCGGGGGGATTCCCACCTGGTTCTCCTGCATGCTCTTCACCAGCTCTTTGGCCTGAATCCACAAGTCTCTGCACAGAGGGGGTTGGGTAGAGAGAAGATCAGTGAACCACAGCTTTGTCCAGGGCTGGAAGCTTGGCCCTCGCCCCGGCCCCGGAGCCAGCCTCCGAGTCTGAGGTGACATTGCACCACCCCTGGCTTCTGGAGGGCAGCCCTTGACCTGATTTTGAAAGCTAGGCCCATCAGACAGACTTAGATCAGTGCAGGAGATGCATTTTGGCCTTGACTTAATATGGGCCTCTATTTTCGAGCCCCTTTGACTATTCCAGCCCCCACCCCCAATCCTCCTGCCCACATGCCCTAGACCAATGGGAGTGCACAGCCCTGGAGGGAGCCAGGAAAGGGACTTACTCAGCACCACTGTGAGGTACCACTCTCTTCCCAGGAGCGCACACAGGCCTCAGAACAGATGGATTGAAGTGTCTGACGATGTCTGAAAGGACTAAAGGGAGAGGTGGTCTGAGCGTTGTGGCTCAGACAGTTGGGGGCCACCTGTGGAGACTGACCTCTCTGGGGTGAAGTGCCCAGAGTGGCTGTCCCTGTCCCAAACCCTGCCCTCCATACCTGCCTTAGGCTGCGAGGTCAGCCTCCTAGCAGGCCCCTGGAAGTGAACAGAGCTAAAACTTCACATCTGTTGAGTGCTAGGCCAGGCTCAGTGCTAAGCACCTTGTATATGTGAAGGGGAAACTGAGGCTGAGAGAAGCTAAGCAACCTACCCGAGGTGCCTGGGTTAACTGGAGTTGTGTGCTATCAACTTGCTAGGGAAAGTGCGCTGGGACAGGGATCTGGGCAGGCTGCGTCCCAGCTGCTCTCTCCCCCTGAGAGTGACAGCAGGCTGGGAAAGCTCCGGGGAGCGACAGAGAACATGTCCCAGAGCTGACAGCCAGCAGACCACTAAAAATAGCGCTGCCAGGAGCAGTGAAGCTGTGTCTCGCTCCCGAGAGAGGAGAGGGCAGAGCATGGAGAGTGTCACAGGAGGGAGACGTCTCCACCCCCCAGCCAGTTCTCCCCTCTTTCTGCCCCCATCCAGAAGTGCCGGGGGCTTCGTGGGGGCCGAATCCGGGAGGGGGCTCTAAAGGCGCCCCTGAAGGAGCTGACACGGCCCGCAGCAGGCCGGGGGGGCGGGCGGGGCTGCGCTGGGCTGGGAGTCAGGAGACTGGTCACTCAGCAGGGTTGGCTTGGGCAGCCGCCCAAGCCACGTGTGGCTCAATCTTCTTCATCCTCAGCCGAAACTAATGAGCCTCCTTGGACAAGCCCTGGCCGGCCTGAGGAAGGAGCCCCTTCTCACACGCGGTGAGAAAATGGAGAGCTCTGAGGCCAGTGGAAGACTGCAGGACAGTGTGTGCATGGGTCGCGTGTGTACGAGTGTGAGGTGTAAGTGCGTGTGAGAGTGTGTGAATGACTGTGTGAGAGTACGTGATGCGTGTGCATGAGTGTGTGAGAGGGCGCGTGAATGAGTGTGAGCGTGTGAGTGAGTGTGAGTGTGTGGGAGGGAGATTTTCCTCCCCGGCATCAGGATTGTCTGTGACAGCGAATGGACTACCTGGTGCTAAGTCTCTGAAAGAGAGTTGCTTTCTAATGAAAAGTATTTGTATTGCATGGCTTCTCTGTGGTCAAACAGGACCTTGGTTCTCCTCACATAAACCTGCCTGTCATTTTGCTTTACGCCTGCTGTGCACCTGCTCTGTCCTGGCTGCCTCTCTGTTGGCTCTCAGAGGGGTCAGAACAAAGGGCACAGGCTGAGGGGCTGGACCGCCTGCCCTCACAGGGACCCTGCCTGGTAGGGAGACAGTCCCTCCCTGCCCCCACTCAGTCTTCCCATCTGCACGCTGGCTGTGGTGGGCGAGGGCGTGGCTGGTTTGCAGAGATCCAAGGTCCTGGGACTGAAGGATGCAGGGGGTGCTGAGCTCGGGCGGGCCCCGTCACACGCGGCACGGGGCTGGCTGTCCTGGAGCATTTTCCCCGTGGAGGCCCAGGTGCTCCAGGCCCTGCGCTCCACTGCTCCCTGCTCCGCATGCGCTAGGGAGGCTGGATTCACTGACAGCTACAGGTGAGTCCTGCCTCTGAGGACATTCAGGTGCCCGATCTGCTCTCACTGCCCTGCCTGCTGCGGCATCTCTGGCCAGGCGGGACTCCTCTGGTCACTCTGCTTAAGGAGGGGCAGTCATGACTTGTTACCAGGTAGGTGAGGGACAAAAAAAGGAGGTAAATTGCGAAATCAGACAAAGCAGCTATATTTGTGGTTTCAGGGTCTAAACGACAACCTATCCTCCCAGACACCACAAATATGCCACTTCATTTCTTTCTTTCCTTCCATTTGAGGATAAACAGGGCCAACCCAGGCAGAGCTGCGGCAGTCACTCAGTTGGCAGGGGCCTCCTCTTTCAGAACCTTTTGACTCTTTCCAAGGGGACCCTCCCATCACTGTGGCCACAAATATCTCCTCACCTGTCAGTCGGATCCTGCGGGGCTGAACCAGGCCCCCACCTCCCCTGCTGGAAGGGGAGGGCTGAGGGCAGGCCCAGCGGTGTATTCACCTGTCCTCTGCAGGGAGCCTAGCAATGCCAGGCCCCGGGGGAAGCTCACTGGCTGAGCTGGCAGGCCACTGGCCACCCCGCTGCCATTGCTCCCACAGGAGCGTCAGCTCCGCGGAGCACACGCATTGCGTCTGAGCCCTCTTGCTCTAACTATGGAGTGAACAGTGGTTTCCTTGGCTGTGACCCTGAGCACCAAACAGAAGTGACTCTAACATCCCACTAGACTAATTCTGCTGGCATTAAGGGACTTGAGGTTTCAGAAGGACCTAATAGAATCATAAGGGGCTCTGATGTTAAATAAAAAAAAACCAGGTTACAGATAGCATATCATAAGCACATTCAAATGTAAAAAGGCCAAAATGTTAACAGTGATTATCTCCAGAGAGTGAGATACAGTTGGTTTTCATTTTCTTCATTTTTCTGAACCCAACTGATATAGTAAAAAGTGAGGGAGTTATTACAAAATGAAATAGGCTGAAAATAAGACCAGATCTTCTCTTGGTGTGGCGGGTGGGGGTAGTGAGTGGGGGGCAGTTTCCCCGGATGAAGGGCTGCTTGCCCAGCTCTGGGGTCGTGGGGGAGGCGGAGCCTGAGGACCCTGGCCTGGCCACCCCCGGCCCCCTCTCCTACGGCCTCGAACCTACCAAAGCTTCCTGGCTTCTCTTGGCTCAGGGACTGTCAGACACATTTCTCATGCCCTCCTTTCATGGTGGGTTGACTTTTCACACCCGGGTTCCCAGTCTCTCCCCCTTTCTCTCCTTAGGCTACGTGACAAAATGGCCAACAGGGTACATTCTGTTCATTTATCAAAATGCAGCTATGGCAGGAGAGATGGGGACAACCTGGAGTCTGGCCGTGAATGCCCAGAACTCACCTGTCACCACCCCCATGCACGCCTGCCGTGGTCTTGTTCCAGTCCTGCGAGCAGAAGCAAACATGCCCGTGTCAGGTTGTATTTGTCCCCTGCCAACAACCCTTTCACTGGCTGCTGCCATCTGTTTCCTGACAAGCTTCTGCTCAGCCCGGCTCCGCATCTTGGATGACCCTTCCTGGAGCGGGAGATGCAGCTCAGATGGCAATGGAGTCGCCTGAATAGGGTGCACAGCTCCATCCGTCTGGGCCCTTCTGCCTACATCTCCAGTCTGGCCCACAGCTGGAAGGGGGTGTGGACCCCGGTGTGGAATGAGACCGACCCGGTCCACACTGCGCGCTGCCCCCTGAGCAGGGCAGGGAGCCCGGCTGGTGGTGGGAAGTGAGAATCCCACAGGCGGGCTTTCCTGCCTTTCCTCCCATTCACCCAGAGGAGTCAGGGGGATTCAATGACACGGAGAGGCTGGAGACTGGGCCCTGTCCCACTCCTAAGGGACACCTGCTCCTAAGGGAGCTGGAGGAAGGCCTTTCCCCTCCGGCCCTGGGGTTTGCCTGTCAGTGAAACAAGGGGAGCAGATGCTCAGAGGCTTCGCTTGGCTCTACTACTCTGGGATTCCAACATCGTTACTTACCATGGGTGCTTCTCCGCGTTGGCCGTCCCCGAGTCTGGACGCTGGAGAAGACAGGAGGTGTTAATCCAGCCAGGGGGGCAGCAGAGCCTGCCCTCCCGAGACCCCGGCTGCCTGTCCCACACGCCCTCTCACTGTTTCCTAGGGAACCCACAGATCAGAGAAAGGTCCAGGTGCCCCCGTTAGTTTTGCAGGGAGGGGAGCACGCCAGGCTTCCCCTGCAGCATGTGGGTCGGAGCCCAGAGAAACAGGAGGGGGGTGTGTTTCCCTCGGAACAGAAAATGGGGACTGGAGAACATAGATTTAAAGGCATCGAAAACCCCCGTGAATATTCTACCCAAAAACGAAAGAGACCGTTTGTGACTGTCCACACTCTACAGCTAACTTGGCACATTGCCTGACTCCCCTGGCCAGCGCGTGAACACCACGAGGGCAGGAGCGTGTGTCTGCTTCGCCCTTGACGATATTCCTTACACCTAGAACAGTGCCTGACACATCCTAAGTACTCAGTAAATATTGGTTAAGTAAATACAATTTGAACGAACAAAATAAGTTTCTGATTTTCCCCTCGGGCAAGTGGTGGACAGCCCAGGACCTTCTCTATGGGCTGGAGGTGAGATTGTGGGAACCCGCCTGGGGATAGTGTCTTTTGCAAGGGCCTAGGGATGTCTGGATCCTGCCCCCCCGACATGGAGAGTGTTCAGTACACAGTAGCTGTTGCCAGTGGTATTATTTTCAGAGATTTTAATCCCTAGAAGACAGCGTCTCCAGGTATGGCAGGGACAGCTGTCCTCACCCTGCCCACAGCCGGCCTGCTGCTGCTTCCTTTTAATACTGTCACTCATACCCACCCAGCTCAAATGACAGCTAGTCCATACAACTGGGTCACACCCGCGGAGGTCCTCAGGAGGACAGGCTGACCACACGTTTCTCTGGAGTCCCTCGCCCCTCAGTAAGGAGGGGTGTGAAAGGCAACATTTCCAGAGAACAGTAACCTGTCAGATAAAGGTCCCACCACAATGCCAGTCAGAAATCGTAAACAAGGATGCCAGCAGGTGAAGCCCTGAGGGAAGCTGGCCCCCTGGGGCTGAGGCCACAAGGACAGCTGTGCCTGACCCAGGGGGGTCTCACCAACAGCAGGGCTCTTCCTCAGGACAAGCTTGATGGGGGAGGGGGGTGGGGATAGGGAAGGACGGGGGTCGGGGAAATCACAGAGAAAAGGCTCTGGGTAGGGAGAAGAGCTCAGGGAGAAAGGTAAGGCGGGCAAACCCAGCACACCCCCGTGTCTCCCTCGTGCCTGCGGCCAGGCACCTCCTCCCCGCACACCACTGGCTGAGTGCTTGCCGCGTGGCAGATACGATGTCTGGCACTGGGGACGCAAGGGGAAGTCAGACTCAGGCCCTGCCTTCAAGGCATTTGGTAGAGTGCATTGTCACCTCCCTGGCATGGAGAAATGTCTCCGACACTTAATCACAAAAACAAGTCGCAGACAGTATATTCAGGATGACCTTGCTTAGGCTACACACACACACCCACACGCACAACACACACACAGTGCACGCGCACTGAGGCTGAGGAATTGGAGCGGTGAGTGGGGTTTTCAATATTTTCTACTATATGCATGTGTTGTGGTTGATTTTTGCTTATATTAAACACGAATCACAAATGTCAGTTGAAAACAATATCTACAAACATTTACAAATCTGATATTTTAAGTTCTATGAGGAAAAGCGAGTCCAGAGCAATTAAACAAACAAGTGCTGGTTACTGCAGCAGGTAAGTGTTTGTCCTCAGTTACCAAAAGCTCCAGGAACTCAAAGCAAAAGCATCTGAGTTATGGACTTTTTCCACTTTAAATTCTCAGTCTCATTTTTCCCAATCCTGGCATTTTTTGCGCACTAGGCGAGGCTCCCAACAGCCGCTCTCGGGGCAGCCAGAGGAGGGCAGCCTCCGGGGAGCTGGGCTTCCAGGCTTCCTCCGATGGGCCGAGGTGCCGCCTGTGTCACGGCGATGATTCGGGGCCGGAGATGTCCTGGGCTGCAGCTGGAATGCTGCGCCAAGGCCTCGGGCTCACAGGAGGCGGAAGGATGAGCGGAGTGACAGGCCCAGCGGGGGTCTGAATAATGCACGAATAGGAGCCCTTCCAAACTGGGACCAAAGAGTGGAAGTCACTGATTGGTTTAACATAATTGGAAGCCTGACTTGGGTGGAGATTCTCCTGCAGTGAATTTCCTGCCCAAAGTGATAGAATACGCGCCTTCCAGTGGAGAGGCACACATTCCAGGCTCAGGAATGTCACCATCAGCATGCGGGGACACATGGGCTCAGCAAAGTCAATGCTCTCTCTATGACGTGGAACCTCTTTTCTCATTTACTCCCATCTCTCCTTCCATATCTCTCCCAGCAGTAAACCTCCACCTTCGCCCCGAAGCACAAGCGCGCGCGCGCGCGCGCGCGCACACACACACACACACACACACACACACACACACAGAGTCACACGTGCAGCTTCTCCACCACCAGCACCTCTAGGAGACAACAAGGATAGGAAGCTCTGCCTGCCAACTTCACTGGGGTTTCTCATGTGAAGTCTCATACTTTGCATACAGCTGCCACTATGCGCGGGGCGGTGGGCTGGGGCCTGTGGGCTGGGGCCCATGGGGAGGTGGCGGCCTGGGCCCGAGGGAAGGGGCCGAGGTTGCAGGGGGTGCTACCTGCAGCAGGGTCAGGGGAGGGGCACTGGGGAGACGATGACACTGGAGGAAGAGGAACGTCCTGGTTCGGTGTGGGAGGTAGAGCAGGGCTCTGGGGCAGAGCAGAGAACACCTGGTAAGTGGTCTGTCCAGCTGGGGTCACTGGGACTGGGGGTGGGGGCCGTGGGCAGCAGGGCTATGGGCTTTTACTAAGACCAGTGTGAGGGGGGATGTGGAAGGCCAGGGTGAGGAATTGTATTGGCATTCGCTCTGCTCTCCGACCCTCTGGTCTCCAGATGCCTCTCCTTGTGCTCATTCCTCTCTCTCCAACTTTCTCTTATCTCTTTCTCCTTTCGATCACGTGAAACACACCACTTAAAATGTATTAGCAAGGATTAATGGGTTTTTAAAAGTTTACCAAGCAGATAAGGACATTTTTTTCTTTATCTTATAAATAGAAAGCTTAAGAGATTACTTTTAAAATTCTTTGTGATCTTTGACTTAATTTATCAATGGGTCTAATTTATTAATGAGAAACCCCAAAAGGTTTCTAACCCGAACACAAAAGGAGGCATTGATCTGATGAAAGAAAAAAAGACTCAGAACGCCCCGGATACGAGGATTTCTCCAACTTAGAGAATAAGCTTCTCTCCCAAAATGAAACATCCTTTCTGGCGACCAGAAGCTCACTCAGAGGGTCACAGATCCCAAACTCTGGCTTCCACCTCCATCTTCTTGAAATACTCACAGTTTCCACATCGCCAATGGCTGCCACAAATTTAATATCAGAAGGTCTCAGGGAGTGGACTGCAAAGACAAGAACCAAGGTAAGAAAGTCAGGTCTGCATTCATCACAACGTGGGCCAGGGACAGCAGATGGGAGGGGCAGCCCCATGTCCCCATGTCCCCCAGGCAGAGGGCCGAGGCCAAGTCTTTTGGCCATGAGAGTGGGGAACTGAAGACCAGGTGGTCACTGGGAGGCCCAGGGACCTGCTCAAAAAGAGGCTCACTCCTCTCTGGAAGCCACACTGTGAACTGAACTCAAGATCTCCCGACCATGTCCCAGGGAGGGCCACCCATGGCTCTCACTTTCCCCTCTCACCTGTTCCACGGCTCTGTATTTCTGGACCACCATTAAAAAGGGAAAAATTAAAATGAAAACCACCTGGGTACATTGGCTTGGGGACTGCCAGAGAACGGCACTCAGAGCCATGAACACACATAACTATCAGGTGCAAGCGGCATGCAAATGGCACCCCAGGGAGCCTCCTTGACCCGCCTGGGCTGCCAGCACTTTCAGAATTAAGTCTCCCTAGAAACCACCGACATGCTTCCTGGTCATGTTATGGACTCCCAAAGAAGCCATTTCCTAAGAAATACATAGATGTCTTTTTCTGCCTCTACTCCTCATACAATGGAACGGTCAAAATGACATGCTTAACTGGATACTGTGGTAAGTCAGTGCAATGCAAACATAAATAAAGCCATTGAATGGTCTATGATGCGGCCTCTTACTAGGATAAAGCAAGAGAAGATGGCCAGCTGAAGAGCAACATGCATAACATCCAGGTGTTAGACAGGCCTAGCTCACAGGAAAAAAGTACCTAGAGCAGCCACCACGGCTATGTCACAGGACTGGGGAAGGCACAGCAGTGACTGGGCTCCAACCCGCTGCTCCTGTGATACTGTCTGCCTCCTGCGGGCGAGAGCTCCTGGAGGCTGCCCTCATCAGCCAGGCCTCCGTGGGCCATGCTGGTTTTCTCTCTGACTGGTGCATCAGCCTGTGTCCCCCCATAGAAATAAATGAGGGGGGAAAGGAGAAGGGGTGAGGGACTAAGGATGGGAAAGAGGAAGGACTTGAATGGCCAAAAGGTACCAGAGAAGTAGGGCTAGAGCCTCTGCTGGCCACGCCTGCGTCATGGCTCAGGGTCACCCACCTGACTTAGAAGGCATGCTGGAGCCTGACTTCTTTGGGTTGCACAGGAATTGAAAGTTCTGGCTCTGCAAATACAACCAAGCATTGAAGACATCAGCTGCCTTGTATGGAACTCCTGCAGGTCCTGAAAGCTTGGTGCAAAAACGACCATGTGCTTGTACCATCTAGGCTCGAAATCCAGAAGCAATAATTGTCCATAGTCATGGTCTTACTGATTAAGCCTAGATGACCTAGTATAAGGGGACATGTGTCTTCTAACAATGATTTTAGCAGGTGGGATGGAGAAGGAGGGAGACTAAAAATCCATTCCTGGGATGTTGACAAAGTCCTGGAGGTAGACAGGAATGATGGTTGCACAATGTGAATGCATTGTACTTAATGCCACTGAACTATACATTCAAAAATGATTAAAATGGTAAATTTTATATTGTATTCATTTTACCACAATAAAAAAAGGAATCATTAAGAAGAGACCCAGTGCACCTAGACTAAAAGATTTAAAAAATGCATCAACGTGCCCTGACCAGTGTGGCTCAGTTGGTTGGGCATCGCTCCACGAAGCGAAGGGCTGCCACTTCGATTCCCGGTCAGGGCACAGGCCTGGGCTGTAGGTTTGGTCCCCATTCGGGGTGCATGTGAGAGGCAACCGATCGCTGTTTCTCTCTCGCATCGATGTTTCTCTCCTTTTCTCCCTCCCTTCCCCTCTAAAAATAAATAAATAAAGTATTTCAAAAACTCATCTATGCTACATTTCTTTGTATTATCTACTTTCTCTCTTTTGATTATTTATACAAAGCAGGTATTTGAGGCATTATGTTTGTGTGCTGCCAGAAATGGGTAAACTTGAAACTAGAGACATGTGTCTCCACAGGACTGGTGTGCCCTAAACCCAGAGGGCTGCTGAGAGGTGGGGAGGGACCGGGCGACCAGTGCCTGGGTCCTCCAGGCTACTTAGGTTCGTAGGGGTCCAGGTCAGCCTCTGCTTCTGTGAATCACGTGAAAGGCTCTGGGAAGGGAGATCAGATGTTTTCTGCTCAGAATTGAGAGTGGACGAGGAAATATAGCAGGTCCTTAATTGAAGCCATCTCGTTCAACTTCTAATGTTGCTGAGATGCCACAGAAACTTAGCTCTTGTTTAGGCCAACTAGCCTGTGGGAAAACTGGTTTCATTACAAGCTGTGTCACTGCAGTTACGAGAGCCCATCCACGACTAAAGTGGGACTCACTGTACTCCCGCAGGGAAAACAGGCCGTAAATGAGTCCCCGGGCCACACCTCACGACCACAGGTTAGGTCCTCTGGAACTACTGATTAAAGGAAGAGATAAAGCATTTACTCTCCACTCTTATCTTGGGGATGTTCTGGGAAGACCTTACCCAGCTGCCTTCAGATAACTCATAGCATCTGCTTCAAGGTTCATAGAGATAACAAGCCCATTTACAACTCTTTCTGGACACGTCTGGGAACCACCCACTCAGTGCTCAGGAATGATGAAGCCCAAATTCCAGGAGACACGGCGTGCTGTCTCCGTCTCACGGCAACCAGACTTCCCTGGGGGAAGCAGCTCAGCCAGCCCTTTCCCTCAAGGAAGGAGCCTGCCAAGCTGCACTGAAACTTGCATTTGCCCACTGGAAGAAACCCCGCCAGCCCCTGAAGAGGACAAAGCTCTCACCTCCAGCCGCAGCTGCTCTTCCAATGTATTCTCTCCAGGAAAGGCATGGGCCTGGGTGGTCCCTAAAATAAAAAAAAACATATATAGTTCAGGTTATTTAGCTGGAGTTAAATACGTTCCTGCCCTTCTTCCCAGATATAACTATGTGCCCAGCTCAGTAACACCCTTTGTGTTAGGAAAATCTAGATTGCATTTCTTCAGCTATCACCTCCATTGTTTGAAACACTGCAGTTCCATTAATGCAGCCTGTTTAAGCAGAGTCCCCAGGTTGAAAAGTGGCAGTGTTTTCTGAGAGGGGTTGCACATTGTGCAGACTCCTTTACTGGTTCCTTAGCAAAAGGCGGGCCTCCCAAGAAGTGATGTTGGACAAATAGTTGCTGTTGTGTAGGAAGCGAGGACCTAGAAGGGGAGGTGAAGCACGTTCTGGAAGTCTGATGAGTGATGTGAGCTTAGAAGAGCTACTCATGGGATTCCCAGCAGCCACGGCTGCCATGATGGCTGGCCAGGGGCTGTCTCGTGGGGTCTTGCTGACTGTAGGTGACGGGGGCGGGGGGCGGGGGGGAAGCAGATGAGGAGACTGTAAAGATACTTCCCTCATCCCAGTGTACTTCGGGCCAGTCTTCTAAAACCTTTTTTTTTTTAACTTTTAAAAAACATAATTTACATCCAATAAAACAGACTCATTAACCTTTTAAATATACAAGTAATAGTATAGTACAATGAACACCACCCTCAATAAAGGCGCCAAAAAACCCCACCCACAGTGCCACCAGCCCTCCAACCAAAAGTGGCTTCATTTGCGGACACGCTCCTCCTGCCCACCATCAGACGCCCCATCAGGCACGCTTTTCGTTTGGTTGTAATCAACGCAGATGCAATTTTGTGTCCAGCGAGTTCCCTTTAATGCTGTACCTTGAGCATTTTTCATGTGGTTACATAATCTTGATGCTTACTTCAACAGACTCCTGATACATTTATGATACTGACATGTAATCAGAGATCAAGGTCCCTTGCTCCCTCTGACTTCTCCCCACCCAATCCTCTGCTCTGGATACCACGTGAGGCCGTACCATGAGAGACCCCCAAAGAGCATCACACAATGTGAAAGGGAGGCCCTACTGGGGGGAGAGAGCTTCATTTCTTTTCCACCCTAGTCATCTTTTGCAGTCTTACTTTTTTGACCCTGAAAAGATTTTATCTGGAATTTGATGAGGAGCAAGAGTGCATTTCATGCCCACTGAGAGATCAGGCACTAATTTCTATGTTAAAGCTCATACCAGGAATGGTAGCTGTGACCTGCCCTCAGATTTCAGCAACCCTTTTGAAATTCCCAGAGGAAAGCTCTGGACAGAAAGAGCCACTTGATGGGAAGGCGCCGAGGTGTGGACAAGCACAGAGCACTGCCAATGGCTGGAGGACAGGGTTTGTAACTGGAGGCAGGGGAAAGGCAGGCAGGCAGGGCAGGTGAGGTTCTGCAGACAAACAGCAGAGGGGCTGCAGACTGTGAACACCAGGCTACTCCGTGAGCAACAGTGAGCCATGGCGGGTCTTAGAAGAGACTCAAAGGCACATTTTTGTGAATTTAAGAAGATCGTCACTCTGGGACTAGTGAGGTAAGTGAATCAGCAGGGCAAAGATTTGAGACTATTTTGCTAATATTTCTAAGCAAGGACCAGAATCCATGTAGTAACCGATTCTTATGCGCAGCTTCTATGTGCCAGGCACTGTTCTAAGCACTTATATAAAATAATTCATTGGATCCTAACAACTCTATGAGCTGATTGTTATCCCCCCATTTGACTGATAATGCCCAGCAAGGTTGAGCAGCATTTTGAAGGTGACACAGTTAGCAAATAGTGATGACAGGATTTGAAAATGGGCAGTCTGGCTTCATGGGCCATGCTCATAACCAAGAAACTAAGTCAGAGCCTAACATCCCAGGACTTAGCAAGCTTGTCCTGTAAAGGGTCAGGTGGTCAATAGTTTAGGTTTTGCAGACCATACGGTCTCTTCCACAAATACTCAGTTCTGCTGTTGTCATGTAAAAGGAGCCACGGACAATGTAAAAACAAATTAACTTTATTTATGGAGACTAAAATTTGAATTTCATAAAATTTTCATGTGCCATGAAATACTCTTTTATCCCCCAACTACTTAAAAAAGTAAAAGTCTTTGCGAATATCACCAAACTGATTTTTGACATTTAATAGCCAACAGAAAATTGAAGGAGAAGAACAAAGTCAGAGAAGTAACGCTGCAAAACTTCAAGACTTATTCTAAAGCTGCAGTAATCAAGACAGTGTGGTATTGGCAAAAGAATAGACAAATAGTTGCATGCACCAGAATGCAGAGCCCAGAAAACCACATAAATAGAATGAACCGATCTTTGACAAAAGAACAAAAGCAATCCAGTGGAGGAGAAATGGTCTGTTCAACAAATGGTACTGGAACAACTAGACAACCACATGGGAAAAAAAGAATCTAAACATGGAAAAACCATTCTCAGCTCAAGGCAGAAGGCTGAATTTGGCCCATGGGCCATTGTTTGCCCTCCAATGCCTGCTCTGGACGGCCACAGAAGAGTGGTCATCAAGCAGAAATGGGCAGGTGGCATCTCTGATCAACAGCAGCCTTAGCCCAGGGGTCGTAGGTGGAAACCTGGGGTCTGCCTCTAGATTACCAGGCTGGTTGACGCTGCCACACCTCCTCAATGGGCTTTGCCAGGACCTTCACAGAGAGGGGAATGCAGATACCAGAAACTGACTCTCCCTGGTCTTTGAGAAATGTCCCACCCAGCACCTCTAGTCTTCCAGACTCCAAGTCTGAGAAAAAATAAAAATTTCCTCCTCAAAGTCATTGGTCCCCTGATACAAACAGTAGTTTTGTTTAAAGATTAAAAAAAAAAAATTTAGGCCCTGACTGATGTGGCTCAGTTGGTTAGAGCTTCCACTCATAAACCGAAAGTTCCCAGGTTCGATTCCCGGCCAGGACACATGCCTAGGTTGCACATTTGGTCCTCCAGTCTGGGTGCGTACAAGAGGCAACCCATCAATGCTTCTCTCTCACATTGATGTTTCTCTCCCTCTGCCTCGCTCTCTCCCCCTCTCTCTAAAATCAATAAGCATGTCCTCAGGTGAGGATAAAAAAAAATAATAAAACCATTTTTAAAAGATTTTTATGACAGTGAGTATACTCAGAACTCTATAAAAATTTTAAATTAATATAAGCTGAAGATCTAGCCCAGTGCCTGCACAAAGTGTTTATTGAAATATGTTAATTTTGGTAAAAGGTGCTATTGTTTTTGCCATCAAAACAATCCAGGGAGATAGATGTCATTATTAGTATGATTTTATAGCGGCAAAAGTTAAAAATTTCTCTTTAGAGAAGCAGGGCTGGGTTGAGAGGTCCTATGTGCTGACTCTAGTTCTAAAATGTTCCAAAGGGGCTCAGAGAGGTTATTTTTTAAGACAGTTGATGGATTCCTACAATTTTTCCTACAATTGTTCTGGACTATTCTGGACCTTATTTTTTTCCTCTGTAGACATTCCATTATCATGCATTTCCACATTGAGGGGAATGAGGGGGGAGAATGGGAAGAGGAGAGGAGGGGGCGGAGAGAGAGAGATTGAGAAAGATCATCTGTTGAAAGTCAAAAATGCGGTAAGTATTTGACGGGTCCAAAGTCAAAGAGATGTAAAGAAAGTAAAACCAACATTCGATGCTGTTTTTACTCTGAAAGCATTTGCCCCATCACAGGCAACAGCAGCAGAAGTTAGGAGGCTGATGTGCTGAGCGGAGCTTTAGGCAGTTCCACGGAGGTGGGGAAAATATGGGAGTCCCGTGCCCAGCAAGGCGGAGGGGCTGCGGTAAGTATCCCAGGCTTTCAGTTGGGACTTCACAGAGCTAGACCCTTGCAGCAGGGATAAACTTGAAACAGACCAGCCGCCAAAAAGACGGAAGCCCAGCTTTTTTGTTTTAGGGTTTGTTTTTCCTTTTTTCCAAGTTTTCAATTACAGTTTACATTTGTATTAGTTTCAGGTGTAAGTGTAGTAGTTAGAAAATCATGTACTTTATAGAGTAGTCCCCCTGATATTTCAAGTACCCACCTGGCCCCATACATAGTTATTACAACATTATCGACAACGTATATTCCCTATGCTGTAACTTACATATCTGTGACTATTCAGTAACTATCAATTTGTACTTCTTAATCCCTTCACTTTTTCACCCAGCCTCCCAACCCTCCTCCCCTTTGTCAACTCTCAGTCTGTTCTCTGTATCTATGAGTCTGTTTCTATTTTGTTAATTTTGTTCTTTAGATTCCACATATAAGTGAAATCATAGTATTTGTCTTTGTCTGAATTATCTCACTTAGCACAATACCCTCTAGGCCCATCCATGTTGTCACAAGAAGTAAGATTTCATTCCTTTTTTATCACATTCTTTTTTATGCCATTGTATATATTTATCACAGCTTTCAGTTTGACTCCAGCTTAGATTAAGGTGATCTGCCTCTACCTAACTGTCTGCTAAAAGCAAAAGTAAAGCCTTTATGGGAGAAGATAGCACCACCCAGAATATGATATTGTCTTTCTACTTATTCATATACCATGCCTGTCATTTAATTAAAACAAAAAAACAAAAAACAAAAAAAAACAAAAAAAAACAACAAAAAAACCAGGACACAACACAAGATAAACAGAAAACAAGAGGAGAAAAAAACCCAAAAAATAAAACAGACAATAGACAGTATAAAGTGGTACAACAATGTGGGAATAAATGGGTAATATCTGAGGCTTTGTTAGCATGATGTTTTGTTTCCTGTTTGGGATAGAGGTGAACCAATCAGATAACTTAATGGGGACACCCCAGCAATGAGACAGGCTGAGATATGCTCTTCACATATTCCAGGCTGACTGGAAATCTATGAATTTGGGGATGGGGAAACCTGCAAGAGGCCAATGTAAAATTAAGGTAAAGAGAAACTGGAGAACTGGCTGCAACTCTGTGTTTATTTGCCAACCTACTCACAGAAGAATGAACAGAGCCTCACAGACCTGAG